AGCAATAGCAGACATGTTATTCCAACACAGCATGAGCCTTACTAAACGACTTGATCAGGACAGCTAACAGGTAAGATTCTTACTATGCCCAGAGTTGTGTGATACTGCGGTCTGATGAAGCGTCGTCCCCCATTCGAGAGTGTGTGTCATAGACTAACATTAGGCTTTCTGAGGATTTTCCTTGTGATTCCTTGCCGTGGTCTCATTTTATCTGTACACAGCAGCATGTTACACGTGATGCCTTTCTGCTATCACCATGCCACACTCATTTCTTGAACATTGCATTATCACTTACCTCCAGATACATAGTTTGCTGCGGTACAAATTAACTTACACTATTTCAGCCATTGCTCCACCTCTTCCTATGTCGACTTTCCTCATTTAAGTTGTGTTTTTGTCATGCGTTACAGCTTTTTCTATTGCTGTTATTTTTTTATCAGTGCATCGAGTTATTTAGAGGCCCCTTCGTAGGGCATAATTGTGGGGTTTCTTCCTTTAAGGTTTCCCCCATTGCACAGGGCCAAACATCTACTCTGCGTAGTAGGAAAAACCTCTGATAAACACACAAAGAGAGATACCAACATTCAGAGTTTTCAGTGATGTGAAACCTGTATTAGGATGAAATGTTTTCAAATCCTTAAAACGAATTTTAAAAAAAATCCTAAAGACAGTGGGATTGATAAAGCAGACTCCTCACAGGCTACAAAAGGATTTCCAGATGTTATTGGAAAACACCGGTATTGGGCTATCTGAAGATGCCAAGGCAGTGATTCATGCACCACACAGACTAACCCACTAATAATGAAGAACAGTTAGGGTATAATTGAATAGATGAAGGAACTGTTGTGGTTGTTGTTTAGTCGTTTAGTCGTGTCCGTCTCTTCGTGACCCCATGGACCAGAGCACGCCAGGCACTCCTGTCAAATCCAATCAATGGTTGCTGTAAAACATAATACAGTGGTACCTCGCAAGACGAATGCCTCGCAAGACGAAAAACGCGCAAGACGAAAGAGTTTTTCGTTTTTTGAGTTGCTTCGCAAGACGAATTTCCCTATGGGCTTGCTTCGCAAGACGAAAACGAAAACGTCTTGCAAGTTTGTTTCCTTTTTCTTAAAACCGTTAATACCCTATGGGAAACCGTGCTTCGCAAGACGAAAAATTCGCAAGACAAAAAAACTCGCAGAACGAATTAATTTCGTCTTGCGAGGCACCACTGTATAGTGGTACCTTGACTCTCAAACTTAATCCGTTCCGGAAGTCTGTTCCAAAACCAAAGTGTTCCAAAACCAAGGCGTGCTTTCCCATAAAAAGTAATGCAAAATGGATTAATCTGTTCCAGACTTTTTTTAAAAAATCCCTAAAACAGCAATTTAACATGGATTTTACTATCTAACGAGACCATTGATCCATAAAATGAAAGCAATAACCAATGTACTGTACTATAAAATAAATAAGACAGTATTGTAGATGATAAAAATTTAAATTGATTTTTTCCCCTTACCTGTACTGATGATAGTAACTGTTTGGATAGGGGGCTTTTATCCATTTCTGCAGTCACACAATCAATCAATCAATCAATAGCTGAACTGGGTTCCACACAGTCACAATAACAAATTAACCAAAAAAGCCTCAAAAACAAAAACGCAAACTAAATAGCAAAAACAAAAGCGCCAAACGTAATCCGTTCTGGAAGTCCGTTTGACTTCCAAACGTTTGAAAACCAAGGCCCAGCTTCTGATTGGTGCAGGCACCCAGGAAACAATAGCCAACAACCATATTGGATGTTCAGCTTCTGAAAAATGTTCGAAAACTGGAACATTTACTTCCAGGTTTTCAGGGTTTGAGTACCAAGGAGTTTGAGAACCAAGGTACCACTGTAATCAGGAAATACATAGACATCCCTACAGGCTTGAATAAAGCCACCATAGCTTGCCCAAATAGGATAACATAGCTCACCAATTATCAGCCTCCAGGATGCTTAGTGTTCTAGATGCCCAACCAGGAAGTTGTTATAAAAATCAGTCTTTTTCTGTAAACTGCTTTGAGGTTTTATTACAATCAAGCCGGGTATAAGCTTTGTTAAATGAAAATAAAATAAAAGTTTGGACAAAGGCAGCAGCAAGCTGATCACATTCAACACCACACCTTTTGGAGGAAGATAGCTGTGGTTGGACAGGTGTAAGCGTTGTGGGATGAAATGGACTATCCTTTCCAGTCTGGCCTGGCCATGGGACAGAGTTAGCCTTGGTCTCAGTCTTTGCACAGAGCAGGACAGGGGAAGTGGGACCTTGCTACTGCTTCTTCACCTCTCTTCAGCTTTTCATACCAATTGACCATTGTTATCCTTCTGGACTTGCTCTGTAGAATAGGAACTGGGGCACTTAGGTTTTATTACAACCAGTGTCCACAAATGTGAAATAATCAGTGTTTTCTGTCTCCCACTTGGGTTTATTTTTAATTGAACAGTCTAAATACATGCTTCATGAAGTTTTCTAAGCTTGTAACAGTTAAAACCTAGAGTTATATATGTTTGAACAGTGTAAGTGTTGCAGTATCCCAGAAATTTATGGAAATCATTACAGAAAAATTGAATGAAACAAATATATATATTTATGGAAAGTCCTTTGGTTTGCAAGCATGGGTTGAAGGGGGGTAATGGATATCAGAAGGTGGTGTAAACAAATTTGAATGTCCAGATGGTTTTCATGGCTATTTTACATTTGAACAAATAAATTAACAATATTAAATTGACGGTTAAGTCAGGCAGTATGAACAATTAGGAACTATACTCAATTATCATTAGGATTGGTTTCCTAATTGCAGGGGGGGGGATACTGACATAAATATATGACATAGGTTTTAAGGTCGTAGGTAAATGGAACAAGAAGGTGGATGTTTTGATTGACGTTAAGAAAACGGGAAGTACTTTTGATATGCTTGGATGACTGATACATTTGGGGTTCTACAGTTTTAAAAACAGTATGCAAAACTTTGTCTGCCTTTGCAGTTAAGGCGAACTCAGTTAGGTGATGTAAAATGTCAAGGGATGGGAAACACCTTTGGAGTTTTCCATGAAATACTGTGACTCAGACACGATTGTTTTTAGTAAATGTCAGTACCTTGTTTGGCTCATAGTGTGGGAGGAAAGAATGATACAAATGTAGGGTCTGAGCAGGACGATGCTGCCTTCTTTCCTCAGAAGAGGTCCTGCCACATCGTTCACAAGATAATGTTATGAGCAAAACATAATATAATATAATTAATATAATATAATATAATATAATTAATATAATATAATATAATATAATATTGACACAAGGCAAGCATCCCTGGGAAGAGAATTAGGAAGGAAAGAGTTTGTAACATGCTCTGAACCCACCCCCACCCTCTCATTATACTAATGTGCAGTTATCTATACTTATTTTTCATTACCTTGTTGATTAATTGCTATACTGTATTCAAACAGGTGCATAGCAACATTGCTTTCATTATCCGTGGATAATATATCAGTCATACTAGTGGCCCAAAGTTGCCTATCAGTGCACCCCCTCGCATTCCTTTCTTGGTGCTAGGTTGCTTATCAGTTATTGCATTCCATCCTAGGACTCTTTCGTTCTTAAAAACAACCTGTTTCTTCTCTGTTAGAAGAGGTTAGGAAGAGTTCATACACATCGGCCAAGCAGTTATGCGAATATCAAATATGGAGTTTCAACAAAGCAAAATAGAGTTCCAACGGAGACAGATATAAGGGAATAGGAAATCCCCTTTCACGTTTATTTAGCAAAATGTAAAGAGCACTTGATTGTAAAAAAATAAATAAAAAATCTCTGTTTACAAAAATATGGAAGCAAATATTAAAATGAATTGTAAAAAGATTAAAAAGCAACAACCAAGTATTTAAAAGTATTCGGATGACACTAAACAACCTGCAGACTCCTGGGAGATATTTTAATAAGAAAAACCCAGGCACTGCAACTTTTAAATGATTGAAGAATCAATCAGCCCACGTTTTTTATGGTTTTCCTGCAGCAACTCTATCATGAGACTCTCCGTTTTAATAACATTCCGTATCTGTCTCCTCTTCACAGCGTTTTATGAGCCCGTTTACATCCCTTGAACAAATTTTACATATCATTGGGAGAAAAAGGTCACACCAGCACCATCTAGCTCTGAACTTATGAAATAGCATTTAAGAATAACCCAATGGCGTTCAATAGCTAGTCAGTCGTTTCTTTGAGTATCTCCTGAAGTGTGATCTGTTTTCTCCTCACCCAAATGTCAGTCACTCCAAGGACGTGGAGAAATCCTGTTGCTCATAAATTACAGCGATGGGCCCCATACAAGATTGCATATTTATTGCTGTCGTTTGAAGGGATTTAATGGCCGATCTATGGTGCATTCCTATTTACTGTAGTCTAAATTATTACAGTGGACTCGGGCTTCGCTCTGTTACAACCAGGAACTACACGGAATACAAGCAACAAGCCGTTCATCCTTTTTTCTATTGGGAGCATTCCGATTAGAAATAGCGCATCACTAGAAATACCATACACCATTTACTTCCAAAGCCTGGTAGGCCAAAGTTTAGGGGTTGGCTGCTATGGAAAAGATAATGGAGGAAAAACCAGGTGTTTGCAGGGAGTCAAAATGGAAAGTACATTTGAGAGTATACTACACGGTACTCTCTCATAGTTTATGTACCAGGAGTCTTCCACCTGTCTCTCAAAAATCTATATGCTTGATTGTATATGATCCCCATTTAATATTGGTTGCTGGCTTTAAAATATAGATGCTGAGACAAAAACAGCACATGAGGCTTATAAAGCACTGTTAATTTTTATTGTGAATATGTAAAATCATCTCCAGCACTCTCATTTTCGCCCTAGTGCCAGAGTTTGTGGGCAGACACCAAGGTTATGTTTGTTTTGGGTAGCGTTTGTTCTTGTTTGTTTCAATATTTTGTTTGTAAACATTAAACAGTTAATAAAATATATTATCCTTTACAAAATAGTGAGGGCATTCTTATTAACAACACTAATATCCATGCAAGTGTCATAACTTCTGTATCTTTGCTTCCGCAAAACACAAACTGTTATACTTACAATAGCACAAATTATAATTGCAGAAGCACATACGATGATCACAGTTTCCATAGTGGTATTTATTGCGTTGGTATCATTAGCACAGGTGGGTTTCACATTAGAGGGAGTTGTATGTTTGTCATCCAGAGTAGGCGAAACAGAGTATTTGTCATCTGGAGTAGTGTGAGCAGTAGAAGTTGTAACTGGACTAGCAGGAGTAGGTGGCAACGCAGGAAGAAGCACAACTGCTCTTGCTATGTTAGATACATCTCCAATGTTGCTGCTGCCATCAATGGCACGAATTGCAAAGTAGATGGAGGTGCCATTTTCTTTCATGAAGTTGTGGGGCTTATACCGAAACATTTGTTTGACCCCAGAAATTTCCACTGCAAGTCCAGTAGTGTTCACAGAAGTGGCGTCATTAAAAGTTTCATTTCTTAATTCAAAGGGATTTTCACTCATTTTTATTTCATATCTTTCAGCTGCGAAATGAAAACACACAACAGGCATCCATTAGGGACCTACGTCTTCAGGAATAACAGAGACAAAAATCTGCTTCCGTGTATTTTTTTTGTTTTTTCTAATGTGAACTAACCTGGGTTCTTCAGATGAAGGGCGGTACAGTGGTACCTCGGGTTACATACGCTTCAGGTTACATATACTTCAGGTTACAGACTCCACTAACCCAGAAATATTACCTCAGGTTAAGAACTTTGCTTCAGGATGAGAACAGAAATCGTGCAGTGGCGGCGTGGCAGCAGCGGGAGGCCCCTTTAGCTAAAGTGGTGCTTCAGGTTAAGAACAGTTTCAGGTTAAGAACGAATTAAGTTCTTAACCCGAGGTACCACTATACTTCAGTTTAAGAACAGTCCTGTTCACAAACGATTTGGTTTACAAACTCCACAAAACCGGAAGTAGTGTCCCGGTTTGAGAACTTTACCTCGGTCTAAGAATGGAATCTGAATGGTGGAAGGGCACCGGTGGTGGGAGGCCTCATTAGAGAAAACACACCTCAGTTTAAGAACGGTTTCGGTTTAAGAACGGACTTCCGGAATGGATTAAGTTCGGAAACCGAGGTACCACTGTATACATATTTAATAAACAGTGAAGATTAAAAAAATTTAAGAAACTGTCATGGGCACCATAGGGTACCCATTCCACAGAAGAAAAACAGCCACTCAACTCCCCCATTCCTGACATGGTGTGTCAGGAATCTAGACTTTTGCTACTTTATTATGCAGAAACTTTGGGAGGATGTTGCCATGCAGGTGGCAGTGTTGAGACAACCTTGGTTTTGGGCTATGTTGCTTTTGCAACCCAACAGCATTCTGGATCCTGTTGGATGGAGATTTGTGTTGCATGCTTTTATCAAGGCAGTTCTGTCTCAGTGCCAGTTGCGGAAGGCAGTTTGCGGAAGGCAAACCGCGGAAGGTAGTTTGGGGTAGAATGTTACCTCCAGGATATTACAGGGAGAGGTGGCTGGTGTAAATTCTCCATCCACCCCATTATACTTTTAAAAATAATAATAATAATAATCTTTTCTGTAAGCAAAGCAGCCTTGTGGGTTGATTAAAGCAGGCTTCCACACTTACCTTGTCCTGCATCATAGTCATTTCCAGGAGCCGTCCATGCGAAACAGAAATGATCATCATCCTCATCTAGTTTTACCTCAAGGTCAGTAATTTTAGAGGGTGGAAAAGCATCTGGGATGGTGTCTGCCAAAGGGACTCCTGATACTACAAAGGAACCACCTGAGGCAACTCTACTGACGCTTCCTAGATTGGTTTGGAGTTCATCATCTGTAGGTTCAGGTTTGGGGGGGTTCATTGTTATTTGACCTACAAAAGTGGGGGAAGAACAGCCATAACTATAAACATCTAAACTTTCTTGGTGCTTTACAGTTTTAACAGATTTTTATTTTCATTGTATTGCATTCCTCGTGTACCACTTGAGAAATCAATGTAATTGAGAGGCATATAAATTATCTACATGCAACACAAAACCAGGCTGCATTGCATATGATTGGCTAGAAATACTATGGCAAGACAAAGGCAACTTGCTCTAGACTTTGTGCTGGCAACGAGTGGAAACAGAAGAGAATCTGAAATGCTCGAAGTATAAGTATATGCAAACAATAAATCAATTAAGGCTGCACTCTTGTGCACTTAGGACCAAAAGAAGGATGGCAGAGTATTTATTTTAAACCCTAGTAAGAATTAGGTTGTTTCATCAGTTCAAATAACACATTTCGTTTACCTACTAATTTGGGAAGCGCACAGTAGATTAGAATATTATAGGATAGAAGGGTGTGGGTGCATCAGAGTTGTATACTCAATTGTCCAGATCTACATAAAGACAATGATAGGGAAGGAAAATGCTTGTGTTTCTACTGAGAGACCCAGGACTCAGCTGCATTAGTCAAAAAACAGTGTTTTGAATGTGTTATAAACATGCACACCAGATGGCGCTGTAGAGCACAAACCTTTCCTTTGAGATTTTACATAGCGTTCCCCCCCACTTTTGTTACAGTAGAACGATTTAATTTATGACTTACTTATAGCATTTCCCCCCTGTGTGTAGATCCATCCCCAATTTCATACTTGGAGAACCACAGAGCTAACATACCAGCAGTAGAGCTATTTCATAACACTTGCTTACCATCTTCTTCTACAAATCCTGTTAGATATAAAGCTTGACTCTGTCTACGGGACCGTCTGAGGGTCTGGTCTTTTCCTTGGACACGCACTTTGATATTGTGTCTACCGTTTCCTCTGAATGATGTGAAATACCTTGAGTAGATTCCGTCATTCTTGAGAATATCGGCGCCTGAGTACATAAATATTGAAAAGTGACATCCGAAGCAACTGTCACACTTCTGGTCATTAAAAAAAACCCAACAACCTACAAAACCTATGTTCATTTCACAGTATGTGTTGCTGTATCCGTGGAAATAGATGATTCTGAAAGTGGTAGTATGGAATCATAATGTTAATAGTTGATGTCAATAAAACACAGGCCAGCAAAACTTGGGACCAACCAAACACACCAGCATGTTTTGTGGCCTGCCGAACTCCTGCCGAGCTCAATTTTTGGCACTCCCAGGCAGCTAGCAAAATCAGCACATTTATCAAACTCCTGGTGGATTACTGTGATAAATAGATTTAAAGGACCCCCTTTCCGCATATGAACCCAGGTCCTGAGATCATCATCTGGGATGCTTCCCTATGTGCAATCTCTGAGGGAGGTCTGGAGGCTGGCAATCACCTCCCTCATATAAATTCAATAAAGAAAAAGAAGAAGAAGAAGAAGAAGAAGAAGAAGAAGAAGAAGAAGAAGAAGAAGACGACAGGTTCTCCCAGATACACCGGGCACCAATGTTGCCATTGTTTCAGCACCAGGCAAAGATGTTTTCTTTTTCCCAAACATTGGTAGGTCACCATGCTCCCCAACATTTCACAGACACAATTTGCACGACTTGATGGAGCTTGGGACAGAGCCCAGAATGAGGTCATTATATGCAATGATTCCAGTTCACAAAGGCAGGTATAGCGAGCCACATGGTACAAGGCAAGTCCAATACATATATTTGGATTTGCAATAATTATACATTTACTCCATTTCAAAGGAGTCAATGAAAATTGACTTTTGAAAAACTTGCTTTTGAAAAAATTTTAAATGCATACTTCCGTAAATGCTTTGAAATAAGCTTACCTGAACCATCATCATAAAGCTCCAGTTCTACTGGTGTTCCAATCTCTGGTTCGACCATCACTGTGACTTTTGCACCAATGACAGGCAAGAATCCTTGGCTGACTTCTGCATAAATAACCATCGGACTAGGAAACTTATTGGTATTGCTTTTCGTGTAGGGCTTCACAATCAAAGGAGGCACAGAGGCAGAGGCTGCTCGAGTGGTTGCCGCTATTGATATGACTTGTGCTCCCGAATGTGTGTTCTTGATTGAATAAATCCAGTCTCCTGTCTGAAAATCAAGTGTTGAAATACAGAAGACTATTGAGTATCTAAGTTGTGTTTATAAACGCATTTCCATTCCCTCTGGTTTCTCTTGTGCTTTGATAAAGGTAGGTGTCTTTTTATTAAAATGATTACAATTATGTATTGTTTGCAGGCTAACACAACCAACAATGGTGAATATTGATTGTATTTGCTTGCGCGGTTTCTTTCCTTGAGCACAAACACAATAGCAAATTCTATTCCCTTGTCTGCTCACTGCGAAACTTTCTGCCATTCCATTCCTCACACACACACACTTTTGTAAAAAAAGAGAGAGAAGTCAGCCCTACAAACTTTTTTCTCTGTTGGCTTTGGCCTAGTTAGTGAGCAGTGATGCCATAGGGAAACTGATCTCTCTCTCTCTCTCTCTCTCTCTCTCTCTCTCTCTCTTGCTGCAGGAAGGAGCCAAATTAGCAAGGCTGTGGTGAACGGGCTTGAATAACTCAGAGAAGCTATGAGCTATGCCGTGCAGGGCCACCCAAGATGGACAGGTCATAGTGGAGAGTTTTGACCAAACGTGATCCACCTAGAGCAGGAACCGGCAAGCCACTCCAATATCCCTGCCAAGAAAACTCAATGGACAAAGACAACCCTGATGTTGGGAAAGATTGAAGGCACAAGGAGAAGGGGACGACAGAGGACGAGATGGTTGGACAGTGTTCTTGAAGCTACCAGCATGAGTTTGACCAAACTGCGGGAGGCAGTGGAAGACAGGAGTGCCTGGTGTGCTCTGGTCCATGGGGTCACGAAGAGTCGGACACGACTAAACGACTAAACAACAACAACTTGCGGGAGAGACTGGTTTGCCATTTTCATCTCTCAGTTTGCCACCTCCCTCAAGGATCAGCCACCCTTCAAAGTCCCATGCTCCTCTCCACCATCTCATCCTACCAAGACACATAAGAGCTTGATATCACTCAAATAAGCAAAAGAGATTTTTTTTTTTAATAAAAAGAAACAGCTTAATCGTTGAAGAAGATTATTGAAAAAAATTGCTTCTTAGATGAATTGGACACAGCTAGTAATTCTCCAACAGCACACCATGAGAGTATTACTCCTTTGGGCACAAGAAAGATCGACAATAAATAATTACAGGCTCCCAGGAGTGCCCAGGATTCTACCACCCTAGATTTTTGAAGGATTCACTATTCTGCAGTGTAGTGGGTTGGCTCCAGGGGGGATGAATGATGCTTACTCTTAAAGGCAGTGGCCATTTTGCATGGGGGTTCTGTTCCCGCCCCCTGAGTGCCCTGCCCCATTATGTCCCGCTTCGAGTCGGTGGAAGAAGATTGGAAGAAATTTAAAGACTATTTACAGAAATACTGTAAAATTAATGAATGTTAGAATGATGTCAGAATGAAGTTAAGTGGTTTTAGCAGTAATGTTATAAGGTGTATGTAAAAATGGATTGTTAACAGGAGAGAACCTAAAGCTATAATATATTAAGTTAAAGGATTAAGATAAAAACAAAGAGGGAAAGGAATTGCTGAATTAATTAACTGAACTGGAATACAAAAAAGGGAGGCGTGAGGAGGTCAGGGAAACAAGCAAATGAAATGTAAGGCATGGAAAGATTGATTTGTTTTTTAAGTCTTTTTTATTTTTTCTGTATTTTGTATTTTGTATTTTGCATTTTTTCTATTTTTCTTTTTTTTACATATGTAACTTTTCTTTTTGGAAACCTTAATAAATATCATTTTAAAAAAAACACAAAACATTATGTCCCGCTTCTATTCCAGCCCGCCCTGCCCCCTTCCAGTTCCAAAAGGACCCTCAGGTCAATGATCAGGTGTCAATTGGACACGCCTAAAATGGTTCCCGCTTATAATCCGATTCTTGGTACCAATTTGGAACATGATTCAATTGACTCCTCACTCTGATCATTTTGCTTCATTTCTCATTTCACTATTGTTAACTATTCCTGATCTGGTCCTTTAGGTTTTCAAAACTAATGTTATTGTTTACCTTTTTTTACGGCAATTTCAGAGCTGGATGAAAACTCAACGAGCCAGTAATTACCCATTGAAGTATGTATCTTGCCTCAGGGTATGCTGTATGCTCAAGTGAGGGTGATGAGGTGACGGACACATGCAGGTACATACACCTGCTCACTTCCCAAATGACCATTAGGATCAGGAAGACAGGAAGGAAGCTTGTGCATTTCCCAGGTGAGGTCCAGCTTCAGAGAAGCCAACACAGATCCAGCAGCAGCTGTGAAGGGACCTTAAAAACACTTCATGAACCGTTTCATGGTATTGGACTCGGCAGGCACAGCCCTCATCACCATACTCTGAGGGTGTGGGAAATGCTAATCTGGAATACTGAAGCTCATTAAGACTACTGCAGAATGCTACATATGGGACTTCTGGAAGCAAATGGCTCTTCCCTGCTTGCATAATCTATATGCTACTTTAGCTGTAGTGGCAGAACCCTTTGCTGGCACTTGTTCCAAAAAAAATGCAATGAGACAGGCATTGCCCCATTTGGTTAGACAAGCAGAGAAGTTTGAGAAGAGCTCAGTTTTTACCTCTGCGGTTCCATCAATCTTGAGGCGAGCTGTTCGGACGTTGGTGTCATCAATTGCAAAGTCTTTTTCAGTGTACTCTCTTCCTTTGGGATCTGTGAGCAGAATTTCCGGTGGGGATGTGCCCCACGTCACCACGAAGAAAGTGTCATTCCCCACTGTTTTATCAATGGTTACAATACCATTCAGCTGGTCTTGGGAACCGACGCTTTGCCCGCTACTTTCAAGCTGTTGGTGGGAGGAGGGGGGAGAAATAAGTATACAGTATCTGAAAAGTTTTATAAATTGAATACATATGGTTTATTTCCTTTCATAAGGTGTAAAGAAATGAGTGGTGGTACATTGTTTAGAAGGTGCCTTCACAGTGGTTAGTTCTGCTGGACAAGTAATACGCAATACTCAGCCAGTAATAAAAGTGCTGGTACAGTCATGACATGATACGTCTTGCCCCATACAGATATTGGTTTGTCCAGTGGTGATAAATTTACTTTCTATCAATATTTCAATGTTACAGACATGGAGGAAGGCAGATAAGCAGCTACGTTGAATCAGGTGGAAACAATTGTACCTCTACCTCAATAGCCTTGGAAATGGCCAGCCAATATTTGGATAATGCTAGATGAGGCAACTCAAATTTCCAGTTTCCACATTTTGGCAAAGGGTTGCCAAGGAGATACAATCTTCTGGGCTGGAACCATGGTGCTGGGGTGGTTTTTAAGGAAACACTTTCCCCATATGCTATTTTCCTAATGAAACCTCTTCTCCAATTTGTTATTTGTCCAGACAGAGAAAAATAAAGTTGATTTGAACTCAGAATGGTACATTGTGAAATGTTTCAGCTCTGCCAAAATCCATCTTGGCCATTTGCCCTTCTCTTTGAACTCTACCTGGGGTCTCCCTCATTATTACAATAGCAAAATATGAACTGTAGAATTGATTTCACTCTGTGTTGCCTTTAGTTTTTCTATGCTGCCTAGTAATTTTAAGCTAATAATAATAATAATAATAATAATAAATGATGATGATGTTAGGGATAGCAATGATAGTTATAGTGATGATATACTCAAATCTTTGCAGTTCAAACCTGAATAGATTGTTGACTGATATCTCCACTTCCCGAAGAAAGTCCACTGAAAGCATCGATGAGGCTGTTGGAATCCAAACTGTCAGTGATAGAAAATTTCAGACCCCCTGAAATATGATTGAAGGAATAATTAGAATAGTTATTCTGTCAGGTGGAATAAAATGCAATACGCTTCGGCAGCACATATACTAAAATTGGAACGATACAGAGAAGATTAGCATGCCCTGCGCAATACGCATTGTGCCTTGTAGTGGCATGTGCAGGTGTGGTTGTGCAGGCACAGTTCGGAATTACAGGCGCTGCTTTTTAATGTTAGGAACTGTGAACACCCAGCAGGCCTTTGCTGCACCTTTCTATAGTTGGATCAGGATCTGTGGCCTCTGTGAAAATAGAAATAGTATTTCTTATACAGAGACATATAATAAAAATAATCTGAATACTCCCTTTTTGTCAGTTCCTCTAAATCAGATATTTACATTTGGCCAGGCATTTACAAGGAACGAATTTTGTGAGATTTTCCTGAGTAATTAACAGATTTTGGAAAGAAGCTGGGGGCCACTAGGGGACGCATCGGAAGATGGCTGACAATAACATCTCTCCGACCCACATGAGGTAATTTGGAGGCTATGATGGGAGTAATTAGCCTCCCTAACCCCCCCAGGACGGTGGGGGGGACTGCCTTTGCCTGCTGTGCCCTATACCACCCCCGAACTTGTGGGGATGGGGGCACTAGGCACAAAGCCCTCCTGTGGGATTCCGGCACTCCTGGACGCCGTCCCTGATTCGCGCCACTAGCTGCTAGAACTTCAAAAGAAAACAATTTGGATGAAGGAATGCACATATTTCAAGGAAGGAGGGAAGTAAAGACTGCTATAGAAGAGATCTCTGATAAAACAAGACAAGAATAAAACATGAGAAGATACGCCAAGACACGGTATGGCAAATGACTGATGGGGGAGGGGGAAAAAACTTTCCTTTCTTTTCTTATGTGATTAACAAGAATCCCCTCCCCTCACGAGTCACGAGTCAGAAATGTCGTTTTAAGGACTTAAGCTGTGGATTTAAGGCTGTGTGGAGATAAACTTTCGAACCAAAGCATGTTTTAAGAAGAGCGAGGAATGTATAAGAGCTTGGGAATGACGCAGTTAAAAATGCCGTCGCCATATTGGGAAGTTCTGTCGGAGGTCTTGAGTCTGGGAGGAGAAAGAGAGAAATAGAGCTGTTTATATATTGTGGGTGAAACTCCTCAGAGGGACTTAAGAGCGACAGCTTTGCGAGATGGAAAGAGCGATGTTATCTATGAAGGCGATGATATATGGAAACCATCTCGATTTGAGGAATGGAAGAACGGAAAATTCACACAGGATTATTATTATTATTGGTGTTTATCGGCTTAAGGAGACTATCAGAAGAGATCATAAAGAAAAAGAGAAAATATATAAACAAGATGTGATGTGGAAACAGCAAGATAAGACTGGATAGAATTATGAACTCTGTTTGGACTGATTTGGACTGATTTGGACATTAACGCAGTAGCAAGAAGATGATCAGAATCCCCCCTTCGGATCTTGAAATATGGGTCCCCCCAACAAAATTTAAAATTCGGCTTTGTAATTCGGAATTTATGTGATGTGATTTAATTTGATTTGATTGGCCGGTTAATAAAAATTATTTATAAAAAAAAAAAGATTTTGGAAAGAAGCTGATAGATACAAATTTACATAAATTTTGCAAGCGCTTTTGCTAATTTCCCCTAGGTTTCTTTTTTTAAAAAAATGTGTTCATCAATATAGTGTGAAAACATTATATCAAAAAGCTGATTGCAGATCTCTTACATATTTTTACATGTGTCAATACATGTGTATCTAATTCTTACACCCATGTTCCTGTCATGCCAGTGGACTTTTTAGGTTATTTCAATTGACACAATTGCAGTGCCACTCTTGCTCACTAGGGGGAGTGAGCAAGAAGTATGTGTGTTACTATGGTTAAAGATTTGTTCTCCAATAAAGATTTATTGGTTAAAGAAAATGGAGAAGAGTCATCAAACTGCCAAGTTATAGCATAGTACAGTGGTACCTCTGGTTAAGAACTTAATTCATTCTGGAGGTCTGTTCTTAACCTGAAACTGTTCTTAACCTGAGGTACCACTTTAGCTAATGGGGCCTCCTGCTGCTGCCGTGCTGCCGCCGCACAATTTCTGTTCTCATCCTGAAGCAAAGTTCTTAAGCCAAGGTACTATTTCTGGGTTAGCGGAGTCTGTAACCTGAAGCGTCTGTAACCTGAAGCATCTGTAACCTGAGGTAAAAGCAATGAGCTAAAAGCCAGATAAAACAGAGGCCACTCAAACCTTAACTATGACTGGAGAGTTGAGGGAAAGACAGAAGATGGAGAATTGCCTTGTATGGAGTTTTGGGATGGGCTTCTCAGTAACAGTAACTAGCCTGCACCTCAGTTTTGCATTCTTGAGCAATGGCTTGTCTCAGTCAAAGCCCACATTCTATTTCCAGCAGTGGCAACCAAATGCCGGTTGGATACTTACAAGCAGAACCTGAGGTCAAAATGGATTCCCTGCGGGTTCTGAATATGGCAATCTCATTTAGCTGTCATGGCTGAAATAAACGTTTCTGTGGACAGAGCAAGTAGGAGGAATATTGTGTGGCTGGGAGTAGCTTGGCGAAGTGGCTGGGCCTGGAGCGAACTCACTTTTTGGGGAGACACCAACTGGCTACCAGGTAGCATAGAAGAGTCTTGCAAGACATTATTCTTGCTCACTTACCCGTCTTGTCTGCCAATGTTTCTAGGTCTTTTGTAGCATTTGATCCCAAAGCAATGGTGTGAATTATAGACCCACTTCTTTGAACTTCATCCAAGCAAGAGCTTATAGCTGTATCTTCTCCATCTGTCAAGAGAACAATTTCACAGCCTTTGGTACTTCCATACTTGTGTAGAAACACCTGTATGGAAAAGAGGATTTAAAATTTTAGCAGCGATATTAAAACAAGCAACACAGAAGCCATAGGGCAGCGTTTTAGGCTTAACTTTCGCTTGTAACAATATGCATATGTGTCCTGCCCTCTTTTGCATCTGGTCACCCTACTAAGTAGAAGCATAGGAATAAAAGAATCTGGGGAAAAATTCTTCACCTGAAATCCTGACCGCACTCCAGAACATATGTTGGTTCCTCTAGTAGTTCTGGTAGGCAGGTACTCTGTGAGTGTTTTGCGCATACTATCGTTACTGATCTGCTTCAAATGAGTCTTAACTGCTGCTGTGCTACTGAATGCAACTATTCCAACCCAGGATCCCGCTTCAATAATCTGCAGGAGGAATATTTCTGCAGCTTGTTTCAGCCGAACAGTGCGATTGTTCTGCATATGAATTAAAAACAAAACAACAACAGCATTCACAGATCTGCCAGTGCATTCCGGGAAGCAAATGATGAAGATGACTGAAAACACAGTTGTTAACTCTATACTCTAAAAAAACAAGGCTTGATAAACATATAAGAATATAGACAAGTCCATAACATTTATGAATATCCGAATAATCTCATCCGTGTTGTGATTTAGGACACAATTCACCTGGACGTTTTCATGCACAGGCTCCATTGAAATAGATGGGAGGTGCACAAGAGCACCGTTTGTTTCAGTGGGCTTGTCCCATCAATTGTGTCATTGAATAGTATTTATTATATAATGTTTCATTATGTAATAATGAACCACAGAACTGTAGAGTTAGAAAGGACCAGGAGTCACAGCTGTTTTTGTGGCTGCTATACAAATGCCTATGTTATTATCTCCTGGGCAAATATCAACTCATTTCTACAATCTTGTTTTTCTTTGCTTATCAGTTAGATTATTCAAACCTTGTGATTTAACCGAATTATTTCGGTGTCTCTTAAGCCCCCTTCCCCAAGAGCTAAGTGGCTCTTCTAGGCCTGTGAATTTCTGCAGAAGGGAACTCTGAGTACAGTGGTACCTCTGGTTAAGAACTTAATTCGTTCTGGAGGTCCGTTCTTAACCTGAAACTGTTCTTAACCTGAAGCACCACTTTAGCTGATGGGGCCTCCCACTGTGGCCGTGCTGCTGCCGCACAATTTCTGTTCTCAACCTGAAGCAAAGTTCTTAACCCGAGGTACTATTTCTGGGTTAGTGGAGTCTGTAACCTGAAGCGTTTGTAACCCGAGGTACCACTGTATCTGTTGAAGCTTCCTGAAGTATCGAGAACCCTGAAAGACTAGACATCTAAACTGAATGCTTGCAGTGGGATTTCCTCGTCCTGCTTCTATTTGCCCATCTGTTTTGGCTCCCCACTCCCATGTTTTTCACCTCCCACAGTCCATCTCTCCCTCTGGGTTCCCTGCATCAATGTGACATTAGGCTGAGGGTTGCAGGCAGTGATTGCCTTGCACAACAGCCAAGTTGTCCTGCCCTAGAACCTCTGACCTCTACGAACAACTTGCTGTACTTTGATAAATATCCAAATAAACTAATCAAGTAGGCCAGGCATGGAGAATGTGTGGCCCTCCAGAGGTTGCTGAACTGCAACTCCCATTATTGTTTTGCCATTTTCCATGCTTCTGGGGCTGATGGGAGTTGTAGTTTAGCAATATGTGGAAGGTCAAAGGTTCCCAACAACTGAGGTGCAGCAAAATTTAGCCTCACAGTTCATAAATGCCAGTGCTGTATTGACACTTGTTTTCGCTATGGACATTAATACCATAATTTCTGAACTGTCTCAAAATAGGTCTTCTGAACATGGAAATCAGACTTACCAAATCCATACTTCCAGAAACATCAAGCACTAGACACAAAACTCTCTCCTGTTTTTGCAGCAAGGAGACAGTGGGATCAGGTGGGGGAACTGTTATTGGAGATGAACTGGCAAAGTCGGGAGAGTCCATAATTACTTCCCAGGTGCTCCTGTAGTTGCACATTTTATTCTGCAAATTTGTTGCTTTAATATTATGATTGCTTTTGTCACAGAACTGAGTAACCTAAATAAAAGATAGGGAAGGACAGATCAAGATCACATCCTCATTAGCAATTCCTGCTTCATGAGAGCCGTTCCGTACAAAGAGGTGCTGCAAAGATTGACATTCCTTGGCACGCAGACAAAAAAAGGCTACAGGGTGTTTGGCGGATTTTTAGTTCTAGACATATGTCGACCTAAACTTCACAAAAATGTAACAGAAACAATCTCCAAAGAGTCTGTTCTAGTTTAGCTACTGATCCAGGGATCACAGAGACATTCACTTTCCCTGTCATGGGTTGATATCTATAAATACAGTAACTGCAAGGGAGAACATCAACCTTTATGTCACTGAAATGGCAACAGCCATACACAAGAGGGAGGTATAAGACAACTTGGGTAATCCTTGAGGTACGCAGAAGTAGGGAAAAAATATTGGGTGAACCCCAAATAATTTTAAAAGCCACACACAAAAAAACACCCTACATAGAAACAGGCTACACATGTCTGCATCACTCTGCTCTGGGTTTTTTTCCTGAACTCCTGCAGGTGAAGGAAGAATGAAAGCCATTTGTCTAAAGCACTGGGGATTAAGCTGCCTCATCAAGCAGAGCCCTGCTGCCTTCTTCCTCAGATGGAAAAGGCGTCTTCTGTGTTAAGGAAATAAGAATAGGAGGAGATAGGGTTTAGCTACACCCAAGAGCATTGTCCTGGCAGCTTAGCCAAGCTTCAGCAGTCGCCAAGCAAACTCTTTTCCCCTCACCTCCATCCCTCAGCAAAAGAACACGTGTTAATGAGATACCTTCGCACCCGGAAGGGAAGCAGAGAAAGGCCTCTCACTGGTGCCAAAGGTCTGGGCATCCTACAAGGGAGAAAGATCGCCTGCTACATAGAGTGCCCAGCACCTTGCAACTCAAGGAGAGAAGAGTTGGCTTAACTATGAGACCATCAGCCAGAATGAAATAGCTAGTTCTAACCTGGACCAGCTGGCTCCACCGGAGGAGTATTTGGGCACTAGTCAGCCACCTGCTAGCTGTCCATTTACTCACTTGCCCTCTCTAGCTATCTGCCTGTTCACTGGGTCATGCACTCAGTCACTCATTCACTCACTTGGTCACCTACCTAGTCTTTCACTCTGGGCAGTATCTTGCCTAAGAAGGGGAAGCTTTGAAGGCTACCCCACCACACAAAAACAAGCAAGGTTTCATTGCAGAGCCTCACTTGTTTATATGAATAGGAAACTCAGTTCTCTGAATGTTGGTCATTACGCTGCAGAAAGCGCCATTCTTGCATGAGGGGAAGGTATCAGGAGGGTTAGGGGCAAACCCAAAGTTTGCAGAAATACAGAGTCAGAAGGTGAAGGAATTATTAAGTTGAGTAAGAGAAGAAAGAGATGAACAAGTAGCTCAACAGAAACAGTGCCAGATTAAACCCCCTGGAGGCCCCTAGGCAGTCCAAATCTCGTGGGATAACATTGAACTAAGAAAGCTAGATTCATTATACTTACTGAAGGGAGACTTTGCAAGTACATTATAGAAGCTGCAGTATCTTGATGTCTTTTTGGAACAAACAGGCAACCATGTTCATACAGCTGAGTTCGGTGGTCAATTTTGCAATCTCTGTAACTTTTTCCACCAAGCGGAAATATGTATTGACCAGTGAAACCAGCTGAGCATCTAACGAATGTAAAAAGAAACAGATACAGTCAATTTAAAAGTCAATAAACAATCACTTGGTGGCATGATTGCAATCCTATGCAGTTTTCTTCCATGCCAACCAGAGGAAGGGTGGGATTTAAATTGAATTGATAACAACAACAACAACAACAACAACAACAACAACATGTTGCAACTGGATTGGTAGGAGGAGCTGATTAAAATTAGCCTATGGGAAACAATGGCAAGCATTATCTCTGTGCTAACTGCTATGTCTGGAAGGACTCCTGAATGTTAACAATGGGAAGAAGGCTTAATGAAGTAGCCATGGGTCTCTCAACACCCTACCTAGGCTTTCTCAGGAGAGAAGAAATTGGTTGTGGGTGGGGGTGAGGAAAGGAATGTTGTTGCCCCTCACCTCCATTGGAGGCAGGAGTAATAATAATAATATTATAATAATTTATTATTTATACCCCGCCCATCTGGCTGGGTTTCCCCAGCCACTCTGGGCAGCTCCCAACAGAATATTAAAAACACAATAAAACATCAAACATTAAAAACTTCCCTAAACAGGGCTGCCTTCAGATGTTTACTAAAAGTCAGGTAGTTGTTTATTTCATTGACATCTATGGGAGGGCGTTCTACAGGGCGGGCACCACCACTAAGAAGGCCCTCTGCCTGGTTCCCTGTAACCTCACTTCTTGCAGTTAGCGAACTTCCAGAAGGCCCTCAGAGCAGAACCTCTGTGTCTGGGCTGAATGATGGGGGTGGAGACACTCCTTCAGGTATACAGGGCTGAGGCTGTGGGAGTGGGACCTAGCAGCACACAGCGATTGCTCATTGCTTTCATGAGTGCGTGCCAGAGTAAAGCTGATAAGCCATCATAATTAGAGTCTGAAAATGGTCTTCAGAGAGACTGAATCAGTGGCGTAGCAAGGTCAGGTGGTACCCGGCACGGAAAATTTCTTGTCACCCACTGAATAAGCTGGTTGATGTTAAGGGGTTGGGCAGAGCACAAGCGGCCACTAGCTGGGGTTACCAGCAGGCAGGGCATTGCCCAACTTGGCTCCCATAAGAGATTTCCTTTGTATATCTTCCAATTACAGTTTAATCCTCTAGAGGAGCCTTTCTCAACATCCGCAGGTGTTGTTGGACTACAACTGCCATCATCCTTTGACCACTGGTCCTACAACCTAGGGGTGATGTAGTCCAACAACATCTGGGGACCCAAAGATGCTCTCTAGGCAATAATTCACACCACTAAAAAACTAGCAAGCCCAAGGCAAACATCACTTCTTAAAGAAGAGATGCATTTGTTGGAGGTATTTGTGAAAGTACCTTGTTGCTTCAGGCAAGTTGTCTCCCCCAGGAGTGTAGAAAGGTGCATCATTGTTGTATTCATCAAAGACACCCCATCTGAGATGAGCCCATTCATGGACAAAGACCCTGCCTGTAGAACACCAATAACAAAACTAAAATTTGCGACACAGTTTTTTGTTTTTTTAAATGTACGACACACAGCTAGTAATTATAGCAAACATACATCCTGTTAAAAAAAACACTAAAATAAAATTTGAAATACTGTGAAATCACACCAGCAATTGAATAACTATAGAAGGGGTAGCCAACTTTTCAATCTGATTCAGAAGAGAAGTCCCTGTTTGTCTCCCTACATCACAGAAGCCAATGAGGTGATGACCCTTTAATCAACAGTTGCATCTGACAAGGCGGGTCTTACTATGGCCCCTGCAATCAAAGCACACGACTTCCTGGGAACTGTATGTAAGAAGTCATGTACTTTAAATGTATGGTACACAAGCAGCTGCGGTAACATGGGAAAGAGGAAGAGAGGCTCAGATAGCTTCAGCAAGATAGCTTTTTGGGGTTGAAAATGTATTGATGAACCTCATGTGAAACTATTGCAGATTTCTTACGTAAATTTAGGAGCGATTAAGCAACTGCATTGAAAGTCTTAATGGTTTCTTAGGAATTCTATCTTTATTACCTTTTGAAAACTTGACTAGCAATTCTAATAATTAAAAAACAACAACCCAGACAATTTAATCTGAATTAACAGGTGCTACCTCGTGGACCATAAGCATTATGCAACTTGTCATTTGTCAGGAAGTTAGGAGTGAAATGAATGTATCGCCCAGGTTCCCCGCATCCGCCATACTGTAGGGTGTAGGGATCATCTCCATGTTTCAAGTAATGATCCGCCACTATGACATCTGCCTAAAATAAAATAGAACAAAGAAGATATAGAGGTGGACAGCCCAGAAATTCCTGTCATACTCTGAGCTTCCATTAAAAGAAAAAGAAAAAGAAAGCTTACTAGACAATGCTACTATACAAGGAATAGCTTCAGGTATTTATTAAGAATACAATTGTCTATAAGTGAGCCCACGAAATCAGGTGTACTAAATTCATTTGTCTTTAAAGATATTTCAAGATGTAATTCTGGTACTGTTATGGCATGAATTCCTTTTGGAGAGAAGGCTGGGGGAACACACGAAGGCCCGCAACCACTTTAACCCAGCTTTAGATATCATGACGTCTATAAGAAAATTAAGCCGTATATAGCCCAGATCTGCATGTTTACTCAAAAATAAATCCAGTTGCATCCAAAAGTGGGAAATATAGATATTATTGCTTAGCATCTGCATTACTTATCTTTAGGCACCAGGCAAAGACATTCCTCTTCTCTCAGGCTTTTGGCTAATTAAACATTCTATGGACTTTTAAACTGGGGGGGGGAGGGAGAGGGTTGTTTTTGTTTGTTATTTTGGTATATATTTTTGTGTCATTGTATTGTAAAGAGTCCTGCGATCTTCAGATTAAGGGTTGTATAGAACTTTAATCATAAATAAATGAATAAATAATAAGAATTTTTATTAGATCATACAATATCTTGTATCCCCACCCCCCACAATCTCTCCATTTGCCCCAATCTTTTTAAAAATACCACAAGTATATTTAAATCTTAATGTATTCTTCAGCATTTACCTTATCATAGGATTCTGTAGTTACTCTTTGATATTCATTTTTTGGTTTCCATGTGGAAGGAATTATAACTTTCACTGTCTTGAAATAAAATCTTTGCCGTGTAGCGCTGAAGAGATAAGTTGATGCCTCTTTCACCATGTCCTAACAGGGAAAGGAGAAACCTTTGTGTGTCAATGGCTAGTTATTGGCATTTGTGTTTACAAAATGTGCCCTTTGGTCTCTTCTGCCATCTTTCTTTCCTGAAGCTGGAGTGCCTTGCATGTTGAAAAGTTGAACCCCTGTCTTCAAAAATCTGGTAGATGCAATTCACATACTTTTTTTGGTGGATCCTCCTGTGCCACTGAGTGTTGCTTGACATAGTATGCAAAGCTATTCCTGGTATGAAGGAGAAAATAGTGGGGGAAGCTGTACATGACAGGAGGGCGGCCATTTTTGTTTGTTTTTAAGTGGCCGTCATATTGTTTGTGCAAGTCTACCCTGCGCAACAACCTCGAGTGCACAATCAGCCCTGTATAGTGACAAAGGTTCTTCTGTGTTGCTTATTAACAGAGCAATCTGAAGCAATTCCTACAAAGTGCGACATTTATATATTTCTCCTTCAATGGAGCTGGCCATGGGGCCCCCAAACAGATTGAACTATTGCAATGCCAGGCAGGAAGCTGAAGCCTAGAGCAAAGAAACCGTCTTCCTCCACTGGGGGCAGCTGCCATGTGAGCTAAGGCAAAGCCACTGAGAGGAAGGGAGAGCACTTCCCAGAAACAGCACCCCATTTCTGGAACAATTTCCTGAAATCTGGTGTCAAAGCGCTCCGGTTAGTTAAAGAAACCTATGAACAGGACATTTTAACCTCTAATGGTCAAAACCTGCACAACATTTACCTCAGAGTACATTTACCTCAGAGTACATGCACCCAGTTCTGGCACAGACCCTTCCCTCTGTTTTCTGTTTCCAACACTCAGGCTGTGATTGCCATTGCTCGGGCAGCCAAAATAGAAGCGCCCATTTACAAGAGTAATCTAGCGGGCTTGGGAGCACCCAAGGTATTGCAGAAATTAAAAACAAAAAAGCAATGGTGAGAGACCTCAAAAAGGAAGGAGGACTAAATGTGCTCACTGGAAGGAGGTGCTAGGGGGAGATAGAACGAACTACCCCAGTTGTATGGATTAGGGAAGAGGAATATTCCAGGCTATCAATATTTTTTTTCTTGCAAGTGACCTAGGCTTGCACTATGGCAGGAACATTCCTGACATGACCTGGTTTTTGGGTGTAAAAATGGCGTCAGGGTGAAATTTTGCCGAACCAGCGGAAACCAGCTCTAAAAACTTAAAATCACTACTTTGGGCGGAGCTTTTGGGGTCTTGCTAAGAAGCTCAACAACTTTGTGGAATGTTACTTTTAGAAAGGGATGAAAAAGTTGTGGGGTGTAGGGGCAGCCAGGAGTACCCTGACACCCACGCTTGCAAAATGCAGAATTCAGAAACAATTTTGGTGGTTTCCTACAAAAAAGCTTAATAGCTCTGTGAGTGTCAGGAATTCTACTTTTTTAAATATGGCAACCCTATACAAGTCCCACCTGTACACTTGGGATAAGACTTGTGGTGTGGGGAGGTCAGAAGCACCTGGCACCCCACGCTTGCAAAATGCAACTTGCATTTTCCTAGAATATCACTGTCTGAAGTCGCTTATTCAATACATTCAGAAACATTTAACTATCTTACCTTGATGGCATCCACCATTTTGTTGTCTTCTGGGATCTGGGGATTGATTGCGATGACGACGTCTTCAAAACCGCCCATGTTGAGTTTTACCCTGGAACCTGTCACTTCGTGCAGCACTTGCAGCAGCAGCAGCAGCCAGTGGTTAAGCGCCATCTTTCCTTGTGGCACTTATTTATTTCAACCTTACAGAAATAAATAACAGCAGAGAGGCTTGTTAGTGCAAGAGCTTTGGCAGGGATAGAGAGACAGAAAAAAACCAAACAAACCTGTTTTGAAAGGACAAAGAATTCTGGAAATAATCCCCAACCTGGTGTTTCCTTGTTCAAATCCTTGTAAATACTTTTAACTTCCTATTTAACAAAAGGCATGGATACTCACTTTGGAGGCTCAGAACTCAAGGGTGTTTGCTGATGTACAGGCAAACACAACTGCCTAGGAAAGCGAAAGCATCCACAAGAATAAACTAAGGGGGAGAATGGTCCAACTCATAACAAAAAAAATCCTCGAATACAATGTTTAACTCTATCGTTGCCGGTTACCACTAATACATTGCAAGCATTTCTAAAGAAATCGAAACTAGTGTCAATAATAGCAGCAGTCTGGAACTTCTAGGTTGCTTTTATAGCTAGACACCCTGAAAAGAAAAACTTCACCTTAATCCAAGTGATATTTTCCTAGCTTTGTCTTATTTGGTGCCCAGGGGTGCCCAAAGGGTGGGGTATACCATATATTCGGCCTTCTTCTGCACCTGCCAAAGAAGACACAAATCTGCATAAAATTTGCGAACACTTTATGTCTCATGAAAATCTGTACCCTCTTTTGCAGATGGGGGTTGTGCACCAAAAATAAAGCAGGGGTCACAGAATTGTAGAGTTGGCTAAGGGACCATGAGAGCCGTCAAATCCAACTGCCTCCAATGCAGGAATCTTTTTGTCCAACATGGGGCTTGAACCCATGACCTTGAGATTAAGAGTCTTGTGCTTTAGAGACTGAGCTATTCTTGATGGCGAGCCAAGAACTAGAAATATAGCAGGGGTCAAACCAGTGATGACCAGTGCCCAATGGGACTGGGAGGGCACAAAACAGGGAGCCCAAATGCAGATGGAGCCAGAGCCTCTGTTGCCGCCTGAGGTCTACCTCCCCCTAGCCCTGCAGCTGGTGAGGCCAAGTTCTGGACAATGCTGGACAACTATGGGAAAATACAGATGATGTATAACCACTAACAGTGCCTTAATCTGGACTGAGCTTCAGTTTATTGGCTCTCATCCAATCCATTACCAAGTCAATACATTGACAATCAACCCTTGCCTTCCTACTATTACCATGCCACACATTTTTCCTGCCACTGTCTCTTACCTCAAGATAGATAGTTAACTGCCCAACCTTGATATAAAGTTTTTTGCTATATCATTAGCCAACATTTTACTCCATATCACTCAGAATCCTCTTAACACAATTCACTTGATAGCCAACAGCTAATCCATTTGTTGTTGTTCTGGAGTAAGGTTCCACATGATTAAAAAGTATCCTGGCAACACGATGAGTTACAGAAATGGCTTTAGGCAGGATCAAAACAGTCGCGAGGGACTACCACACCCACAAGCTGCAAATCAGCAACTGAACTACTGCAACGCACCCATGGAATCATGATCCTTATGAGCAAAAGGCTGAAATCCAGGTACCTGCTGTGAACTCCATCCTGAAGCCAAGAGCAGGAGATCACCGCCAAGTAAAACAAAGCTGGAACAATGGAAAATTAAAACAGAAATCCCACTAGGATGAAAGAGCCAAAATACTATGGACCCAGAAATTCAAACATAATGGCACAAAACCAAGATGGGAAATGGCCACCCTGGAATGGTTGCAGAGACTTTAGGATGGTCCAGGTTGTATGGTGTGTCAATAGAAAGTGGGTGGTCACTAAAGCAAACTCTTGCTGAAACAAGAGACGAGATAAAGGAAGACGCTAAGATGAATGAAACCATGGCCAATTTGGACACCCCAGGAAGGCCACCCAATAGCTAGAGAAAGAAAGAAAATGGCACAAGAGCCACAGGCAGAAGGACTTTCATCACATGACTCTCCAGAGCCACCTGCAAGTATGAGTAATGCCCACTCAAGGTACGGAAGAAAGTTCAAACCCCAAGAGTAGGTGGACAGCGTTATACAGTAGAAGCAATTATTGAACCCTGTACCTGCCTTGCCGCTGACATAATCTGGGACAGCGTGGTCCAACAAGCTGCCCTCAATGCCTTTTGGGGTGGTACTTGTCATTTAATGACCCCCCACAGCCCTCACGCTGCCTTCCCAAACCCAGGTAAGTGAGGTGCTGGGTTTTGAGAAGGAGGCAAGAGGGCTCTGGCAAGGTCCCAGAGTCTTCTCCCACCTCCTTCCCAAAGCCTAGTTAGCGCCTTATGGCTTCCCACATAAACTTGATGCTGAGCAGCAACTTGCGAATGCACAGTATAGGGTCTTGCTTGGGAGGTATTTATTTGTGGGTATCTATTAATGAATTTTCATGTGGTACATTGGTCATGTTACATTGGTCACAAGCCATTTGCCGGAAAAACCTTTCCCCCAGTTTCCAATAAACATTGCCGTAAATTTGACACTTGTCCATGAAACATTAGTTATTTATGTATATTGCCATACATTTGGGGAAGGGTGGGAACAGGTCGCAGATTTTAAAGCAGACTAACAAGAAAGCATTTTAACTACAGGTGACATACTTCTTGACTATTTCTGTAAGGAAGATCAAGGCAGTTAACATAGTTTAATGTTAATTAGAGTTCAATAATATTAGCTAAAACACAAAATATTATGTGAGGAAGCTTACAAATGGCACATTGGTCACTATGGAATTATGCATGAAATATCATTGATTGGGGGAGATGCACATAAAGTCACAACGTTTGTGTGTCTTTCTGTCTTCCTCATTTGTCTTTCTGTCCTCTCTCACACACGTGCCAGCATTCAAATAGGTTGGTATCCAACTCTCTTGTCCTATCAGCACAAGGATTTCCACTTGCACAATTGCCACACACACACACATGCTTAAATCTGCAGTAGAGGATTGGGGGACCCTCAGAACAGATTTAGGGGGCAGAAGAGAAGGAGAGGAGGGAAAGTCCCATTGTTAAAAATCCTTGCCCTGATGAGAGGTTTACTTAACCCTAAATTGGACACAAGCCAAAATCCAAGCACCCTATCTAACCTTCAAAAGGCTTGTTTTGATTAAGACATTGTCTTTTCAGAGCGTGTTTATATGTGTATTACAAACAATAGTGGAAAACATTTGGAAGACCTCATGGGTGTGTGTGAAAACTATTTCCTGTAAATCAAGTGGAAGAGAGGTTTGTTCCCTTTCATATTTGTTGATTTGTTTTATTAATTAAGAGGTCATGAGTTGTACTCAAGTTTAGTGCTACTCCGAGTTGACCCAAATCTCAATGGGTCTACTCTAAAGAAGACTTTGTTGAACCAGTGAAAGTAGATAAACAGGTACCACTGTGGTGGGAAGCTAAATGGCATTTCCGTGGCTTCCATCACAGTATCCCGTTGTGACAGGAGCGGATTAGTCATGCTGGCCACATGACCCGGAAAGCTGTCTGCGGACAAACGCCGGCTCCCTCAGCCTGAAGCAAGATGAGTGCTGCACCCCATAGTCTCCTTTGACTGGACTTAACCATCCAGGGGTCCTTTACCTTACGAGGAAAAGGGAGTAGAGCAAACATGCTTGAAGAAAAGCCTGGCAAAAGCAGCCCATTCCCTTTGGGTCTCTCCCAGTTGCTGAGCAACTTCAACGCACCAGCCTAGCATTTAAGAGGAGGTCCTCAGTGAAGAGGCCTCTGGTTCTGTCAAAACGTTTTTGTGGAAGAAAATTCTCTACATTTGTGCAGCCTACTTAACGTTTTGGGGTATCTCTCGTCCCTATGGGACTGTGCTTCAGTATTGACTTTGGACTGTATTCTGATTGCTGGACTTCAGACTTGGCTACTTGGATTGGCCTTGGACTGTGTTTCCTGACCTTTGGACTTCACTTGTGTGGCTTGAGCCCCGGACTTTGGACTTTGCACTTGCCATACTGATTTGCTGAGAGGTAATCCAGGGGTTCAGGACACGGAGCAACTGTCAATCAGCAGAAAACCTGGTTGATGTTTGCTCCGATTCAGCAATAAAGACCCGGTTTCCCTGGAGAAATGGAAGTGTTGAATATGAGCCCTCTCTTACACACGCAGGGTTAAAACACAACTCCCATTCAATTCCTGGTAGAAATGGGCTAAAACTCCTGTGCAGAACCACATCCCTTTTATGTGCTGATGCTGGCCATTTGGGGAAAAGCTACTGTTAATTGTGTAGAGTGGTACCTTGGTTCTCAAATGGCTTGGTACTCAAGCAACTTGGAACCCAAACACTGCAAACCCAGAAGTAAGTGTTCTGGTTTGTGAACTTTTTTCGGAAGCCAAATGTGCTCCATTTGGAGTGTTAAGCTTCCGATTTGAGTGCCACACTGCCGTTTTGAGTGTTACGCTGAGGTCTGTCTATTTATTTTGTGCTTTTGTTTTGGGGGCTTTTTTGTTTTGCTTTTGTGACTGTGTGGAACCCAGTTCAGCTACTGATTGATTGATTGATTGTGTGACTGCAGTACATTGTTTATTGCCTTCATGTTATGGAACAGTGGTCCTGTTAGATAGTAAAATTCATGTTAAATTGCTGTTTTAGGGGTTGTTTTTAAAAATCTAGAACAGATTAATCCATTTTGCATTACTTTCTACGGGAAAGCGAGCCTTGGTTTTGGAACGCTTTGGTTTTGGAATGGATTAAGTTTGAGAGCAAACAGCACACAGACCTAATGGTGGGAGGATAAAATCCTTAAATAAGAGTCATGGGGGAATGATTAATGGACTTCAATGTCTGTACACTAATGCGCAAAGCATGGGAAATAAACAAGATGAGCTTGAGCTCTTGGTACAGCAAACTAAATATGACATAATAGGCATCACTGAAACCTGGTGGGATAAGTCCCACGATTGGAATGTAATAATGGGGGATACAATCTATTTCAGAGAAACAGACCAGACAAGAAAGGAGGAGGAGTGGCGTTATATGTCAGGGATGTGTATACCTGTGAAGAGATCCAAGATTTAGAACCTCAAAGCCAAAGTGAGAGCATTTGGGTCAAAATTAAGGGAGAGAAGAATAACAGTGACCTCATTGTGGGAGTTTACTATAGATCCCCAAGCCAAACGGAGGACATAGATGATGCCTTCCTGGAACAGATGGCCAAGCATGCAAAAGGAAGGGAGATAGTAGTAATGGGGGACTTCAATTACCCGGATATTTGTTGGATGTCAAACTCAGCCAAGAGCACAAGGTCAAACAGATTCCTCACTGGCCTTGCAGACAACTTCATTGTCCAGAAAGTGGGAGAAGCAACAAGAGGAACAGCCATTTTAGATCTGGTCCTAACCAATGTTGATGACCTGGTTAGTGGGGTAGAAGTGGAAGGATCATTAGGCGCGAGTGATCATGCTCTTCTGGGAGAGGAAGATGGCGCCGGCAGTAAGCCTCCTGTGAGCCTCAACAGAGTGAGTAGGAGCTTTTACAGAATAATTACAATAATACAGAAAGACATTCAGAAAAAATCAAAGTTCTAGCCTGATAAAAGAATCCGGGAGTTACCAGGAGGTATTTCTTAAATCCTCCCCTTTCCTCCCCCATTCGAGGCTAATTACAACCTTTGAGCTCCTGTTGAATAAGGCCCTAGCACACGGCTAGAGAAGATAACTTAAATGGTTCTTACAAGACAGAATTATAAAGAACTGGGGATCCCTCTAGCTCAAGCACAAGCTGTTGAACCCCCTGCCCCAAAGAAGAAGCAGGCAAAAATTCCATATTATTTTAAACCAAAAGCAGAGGATGTGAAAAGAAATAAAAACATAGGGAGCCTGCATCCGCACGAATGGTCTGTCGACCGTATCTCGTTCAGAAGGGGCATGGAAGCAGAGGGAGGAGGAGGAAAAGGAGTTGACCTGGCAACCGAGTTGGCACAGGCAACTACAGAAAGTACAGCCCTTGAGGCCCGACCAGAACAGGAGCCTCAGCTGGGAGACCCAGAAACCAAGTCAAAAGAATCCACCCATCAACCTCTGTGTCTGCCAGGGCCCACTTAAGATTCCTACGATTTTACATCAACCTTGCAAACTCTTCAAACACCTTATTGGCCAAACAAGCCTTCGTATCTTTTCAAAAGAATACCACTTGGCGCCAAAACTTATCTGAGATCCTGGTTAGATACACCCTACCGGAGTTTAATATCCTCAAACGGTGGAGCCCGGACAAAGTCCGGAAATGGATCCTGGAGAGAGACGCTCTGTTAGATACCACAAAATACAGATCCCAGGGTCCTCCCACTGGCTTCCCCGACTGAAAGCAGTCAAAATCTGCGCCAACTACTTGGCGAATATCACCAATCCCACTCTTCGGAGAGCCTTTACTATGGCCCGTTTTCAAACCATTCCTACGGCCTATCTGTCAGGCAGATATGCAAAAATCCCAGTAGAGCAGCGGATATGTCCTTGTTATATGAGAACCAAAGAGGATCTCATACATTACATGTTGTATTGTCCCATCTATTCGGCCTTCAGAGATGCGATGTTACAAACCATACCTAAATCAATAGTCAACTCTGAGGACCAAGTAAAGTTTTTACTGGTAGACGCTGATCCACGGATTTCTCACGTGGTAGCGGTCTTTGTGGTGAAGGCTATGAAAACTAGGGTATGGTTCCTGGATGAAATGGTGAGGTCCCTCCCATTGCTCTCCTAACCTGTTGCTGAACCTTCTTCCTTGAATGGTGGGGTTTTTTGGGTAGTTTCCTTGCTGGGACAACATGGCATGAATTTTAGCTTATTTTTATAATCTTTTTGGTTTATCTTTTAATAATGTTTTATGGTATTTTGTGTAAAGGCATGGACCTCACAAATTTAATAAATTTGTTGTTGTTGGCTCTTCTGAAGTTTACTATACAGCGGAAAGGAGCAGCCAAGCATACTAGGACTCAATTTCTTGACTTTAAGAAAGCTGACTTCATAAAACTTAGGGAAGTGCTGAGTGAGATCCCATGGACAGTAATACTAAAAGGAAAGGGAGTTCATGATGGCTGGGAGTTTGTTAAGAGGGAGATACTAAAAGCACAACGTCAGGCAATACCAATGAGACAGAAACATGGAAGGTACCTAAAGAAGCCAGGGTGGCTATCTAAAGAACTTTTAACTGAGTTAAGATTAAAAAAGGATGTGTACAAAAAATGGAAAAGGGGGGAAACCACCAAAGAGAAATTCAAACAAATAGCCAGCACGTGTAGACACAAAGTCAGAAAAGCTAAAGCACAGAATGAACTCAGGCTTGCTAGAGAGGTTAAAAGCAACAAAAAAGGCTTTTATGGGTATGTCCGTAGCAAAAGGAAGAACAAAGAAACAGTGGGGTCACTCAGAGGAGAAGATGGTGAAATGCAAACAGGGGACACAGAATGGGCTGAACTCCTCAATGCCTTCTTTGCCTCAGTCTTCTCCGATAAAGAAAACAATGCCCGACCTGAAGAATTTGGAGCAAATGATTCAGCAAAGGAAACACAGCCCAGAATAACTAAGGAGATAGTACAAGAATACTTGGCTAGTTTAGATGTATTCAAGTCTCCAGGGCCAGATGAACTGCATCCAAGAGTATTAAAAGAACTGGCAGATGTGATCTCAGAACCACTGGCAATCATCTTTGAGAATTCCTGGAGAACAGGCAAAGTCCCGGCAGACTGGAGGAGGGCAAATGTTGTCCCTATTTTCAAAAAGGGGAAAAGTGAGGACCCAAATAATTACCGCCCAGTTAGTCTGACATCAATACCAGGGAAGATTCTGGAGCAGATCATTAAGCAAACAGTCTGTGAGCACCTAGAAAGGAATGCTGTGATCACCAATAGTCAGCATGGATTTCTGAAAAATAAGTCATGTCAGACTAACCTGATCTCGTTTTTGACAGAATTACAAGCCTGGTAGATGAAGGGAACGCAGTGGATGTAGCCTACCTTGATTTCAGCAAGGCATTTGACAAGGTGCCTCATGATATTCTTGTAAAGAAGCTGGTAAAATGTGGTCTTGACTATGCTACCACTCAGTGGATTTGTAACTGGCTGACTGACCGAACCCAAAGGGTGCTCATCAATGGTTCCTCTTCATCCTGGAGAAGAGTGACTAGTGGGGTGCCACAGGGTTCTGTCTTGGGCCCGGTCTTATTCAACATTTTTATCAACGACTTGGATGATGGACTCAAGGGCATCCTGATCAAATTTGCAGATGACACCAAATTGGGAGGGGTGGCTAACACCCCAGAGGACAGGATCACACTTCAAAACGACCTTGACAGATTAGAGAACTGGGCCAAAACAAACAAGATGAATTTTAACAGGGAGAAATGTAAAGTATTGCACTTGGGCAAAAAAATGAGAGGCACAAATACAAGATGGGGGACACCTGGCTTGAGAGCAGTACATGTGAAAAGGATCTAGGAGTCTTGGTTGACCACAAACTTGACATGAGCCAACAGTGTGACGCGGCAGCTAAAAAGCCAATGCAATTCTGGGCTGCATCAATAGGAGTATAGCATCTAGATCAAGGGAAGTAATAGTGCCACTGTATTCTGCTCTGGTCAGACCTCACCTGGAGTACTGTGTCCAGTTCTGGGCACCACAGTTCAAGAAGGACACTGACAAACTGGAACGTGTCCAGAGGAGGGCAACCAAAATGGTCAAAGGCCTGGAAACGATGCCTTATGAGGAACGGCTAAGGGAGCTGGGCATGTTTAGCCTGGAGAAGAGGAGGTTAAGGGGTGATATGATAGCCATGTTCAAATATATAAAAGGATGTCACATAGAGGAGGGAGAAAGGTTGTTTTCTGCTGCTCCAGAGAAGCGGACACGGAGCAATGGATCCAAACTACAAGAAAGAAGATTCCACCTAAACATTAGGAAGAACTTCCTGACAGTAAGAGCTGTTTGACAGTGGAATTTGCTGCCAAGGAGTGTGGTGGAGTCTCCTTCTTTGGAGGTCTTTAAGCAGAGGCTTGACAACCATATGTCAGGAGTGCTCTGATGGTGTTTCCTGCTTGGCAGGGGGTTGGACTCGATGGCCCTTGTGGTCTCTTCCAACTCTATGATTCTATGATTCTATGTACCACTGTACTTTTTCGACTTCTTTGATGGGTTGTGAGGTGCTGTACAGAAATAAAAGAACCAATGTAACAAATGCATTGTGCAAGCCAGAGTAAGCTTTCAGGAAGCCATAACGATGCTCTAGGCCTGGGTTAAAGGCCATGGAAGGCAAAAAGATGCTGACCAAGCATTCTTCTTTACAGAGGGTCATTCTTCCTGCCATAGAACTTTGAGATAAGCACTGAGACAAGCCCTATATCCTTCCTGGTGATGAAGGCATCTAGGTGGGGGAGAATGCTAACAATGGCATCAAAAGGACCATTAGAAAAATTCTGGTTTCCTTCCTGTCCCCCTCCCCACCGCCTTCCATTTTTGCAAATAAACAAGATAAGTAGATAACTTTTCTCTTTGAGCCATTTGAGCCTGCGCTGGGGAAACACAGGATCTTTGTTTAAATAGGAATGAAATATTATCCATTGGGATAGTTGAATTGACACGTTCCTTTTCAGAGTTCTGTGGGATGTTCATCCCATAGAATGTCCTGTTAGGTTAAGAAACAAAGCAGATTTTTTTTGTTTTTGTTTTTTGTCAATGCAGAATTTAAAAGTAACCAAGTATGGGACCAGATGAAATATTGGGTGTTTTAAGTTAAGATACAAAACATACATCTCAGTATATCTTGCTGTGGAAATTGAAAGCTTTTTGTTTCAAAAGAAATGAAATTTATCCCATCCACAGCCCCATTAAAAGAGAGGGAAGTGGATGCCCAAATTCTTGGAAAGTTCCCAAGTTTGGTAGAATCCACAATATATTTGTTATATTAGGGGATCCCCCCCCCCATTTTAAGTAACTTCAATCAATCTCTGACTTTTGTCTTCTGGGTTTCTGGGGGTTTTCCTGTTGTTATTCTGTCTCTCACAGCTACAATAAACCTACCATTAAAATTATGGACTGGACATTTCTTCATCAGAGGGCAAACGGGCAAATTTAGCAGAAGATCAGATACTTTACCCCCTCACTGTATAAGCATTTTGTTTTTTATGATTGAAAGGTAAAACAAGTAAAAAAATAATAATACAACAATAAAATAGGGGAATCCGTTCTGTGGTCTTGGATGATAACATTTAGAAGGCTGCATATGGTGAAGAATTTTCCAGCACTGGCTCGTCTTTTCTAAGCTCCAGCCTTCCTTCTGCAAATATTGCTATGTACTGGTGCTAGAGGATGAGAAGTACTCCTCTGCTGCTTAGGATTCTGCACTATGGGGCCACACTCAGCCCCAATGCTGCCCACCCCTCTGTGCCCTGAAATATCACTTGCATGGTGCTGTGGTGCCACACTGAATTGCTAACTGCTGCTCCAACATCACAACTCAGTTCCAGAGCAACGAGGCCAGGTATAAGTTATGATTATTCATGTGTATAACCAAAGTGAATAAGGAAAAAAAAATCAACATCCACTTGGATGGAGACAAGCAAAAAACTTGTGTCCTACTGTGGGAGAAATTCAGTTCAGTTCATATTTAAATGTAACGTTACCTAATTTGCACTTTACGAAACAGTAAGTGAACCATAACTTGGCTATCCTGTTAAATTCACAGTTTTCGGAATGTTGCAAGACAGTTCTCCAGCTAAGAAATATTTACAAAATGCATACATTCCCCACATTTACAAGTATGGGGTTCCCCTTTGTTACCTCAAAGAAATAGGGAAAGACTAATTGTTGTAATTGTAGGCTCCATTAATTGAGAAAATACACAATGACACACACACAAAATTGTATTATGAGCTCAGTAATGCTTTTAAAGAATCTTTAATTAATCTCACTTTTTATTAATCACAACAAATGTTATTAATTGTTATTACCTGCCGTTCAACAGCAATTTAAATAACAGCTTAATAAATTTTGAAGGGGAAGGCATGTGGGACCTTGTTCCACCTTATTGCCCCAAATCCTCCCTTCAGCACCTGACAGCACCTTCAGACACCCATAGCAACCAAAGGGGGGATATTTGGTGAGAAACTCATGGAAGACCACAATCTATATCACAATTGTGACCTGGGCTGGATCTACACACAGAGGAGGAAACACTATAAATAAGTCATAAATTAGATCGTTATAACAAAAGAAAAAAACAACCCTATGTAAAATTGCACAAACAAATTTTGTGCTCTACAGCCCCATCTGGCGCCGCATCTTTACAATGGAGTTACAACGATACAACTGACTGAGCGTAGCTGAGTCCCTGGATCAGAACTTCACACAGCTGCTTCCTTAAAAATAAAAATGGTCCAATTAAGCTCACTTTTGTAAAAGCATCTTTATCATGACATGTATGTTGGCCCTAAAATGTGAACATCACCAAAACAACAACAACAACAATACACAAAAAACACAGCTTTTGAGGCTCATTTGATGATAGACAGAAACTCGAACTGCTTTGCCTAAGTGTTTTTTGGATCTCATTATTCAACAGCTAGCAAGAGTAGAAGAGCTAAGAAATGAACTTGCTTACCCACCTGCTCAGAGGGTTGGAGAGATACAGCTGTGCAGTGGGGCAGCGAAGCAGGAAAATCTCTAAGAAACAAATCCTGGCATGCCGATTATTCTCCAGAAAAAAGTGTCAGAGCAGTGAAGGGGACAATGCAACAGATCTGTGCTCACATTCTTCCCCTTTGTAGGAAGGCAGGTATCTGTCTGCTCTGGACTATCCTTCATGCATCTGCTGAAAGTCCAGGAATCTGTCTCCCACATAAAGGCTACGATCCTCAGGACCCTACCCTTGTTCCATTTATCTTGATGTGATAGCCACATGATTTATGGACATTTTTTCCTAGAGGAAGCAAACTAACATGCTTGTCTCTGCTTCAAGCGCACACACACCCATTCCGACCTTCCCTAAGGTGAGCTGAGCTCTGGTTTGAAATTCAAGGGCACTTTGCCAGCCTTGACGGAGCAGAAATCTTGAGGAGAAATGAGCACTGCAGATCTCATGTCTCTCATTTTTTTTTTAAAATGATATTTATTCAAAGTTTCATCAATACATAAAAACTCCCCAACCCTAACCCAAAAAAGAAAAAAGAAAAAAATAAGAAAATAAGAAAAAAAGAGAAAAGAAAATACAAATCTCAAATTTCGACTTTTCATTTGCTTGATTCTTGAACCTCCTCACACCTCCCTTTTTGTATTCTAGTTTAATTCGTTATTTCAGCAAATTCTTCCCATATTTCTCAATTTTAATTTATAATTAATCTTCACAATCTATCTTATTTGTTAATCAACGTAACCTTTCCCTCTTTTAATATAATCTGTTATTCAATTTACCTTAATCTTTAACCTTATCTTATCTTAAAAATCTTAAAATTTCGAAATCTCATCACATTCATACATTTCTCCTTAAAATCATTTCTACTAAAGCCAATTTGGTTCCTTTCCAGCATATTCCCTCAAATTTCATTAATGTTAGACAAATTTCATTAATATTAGACTAATTCCAAAATTATCATAAAAATTTCTATGATTTTCATCCAACGTTCCATCTTCCTGGTTTCAGTCATATCAGTCCTTTCTGTCCGTTACATAGTCCATCAGTCTGGTGTTCTGATGTCCGAGGCCCTTAAATCACTTCTAGGCCCCTTCTGCAAATTTTTTTGTTCTTGTTTGTGTTTACGCAGTTCTTTGTCTATTGTTGGTTTCTGGGGGAGTGGGTCTCCGGAGGGTTCCATCCAGTGATAATTTCCATTTTCCTTCATTATATTGTCCCCTTCCCCCCAGTCCCACTCCCAATCTTCGTCTTTGTAGTCCAAAAAGTATGTATCCAGAAGATAGTTATTCACCTGTTTCACGGTCACACTGGAGTTAAAAGCTTCCTTAACTTCAAATGCTTCCCAGCACTCTCCAAAGTCAATCTTCCAACGCAGTAGCTTTTGTTCCTGGAAAACTTTGGGTCTTTCCATTTGTGTTGTGTAATAGATAGCTACTGCCTCTTCCTCCTCCATCTGCCCTTGGACTTGCCTTGTCAAGCCAGGTTCATCCTTATTCCCTGTTAAATCATATTGGTTGGCCACAGCACTCATAACATCCAGTTTTTCATTCATCAGACTCATTTTCTCGTGCAGCTGCTCCAGCAAAACATTAGTCCTATCAAGGGCAGACACCAAACCTTCCTGCCAATACATTTCTATTCGAAAACAAGGTCAAACGGCTGTTCCCATGATCCAAATCTCACAAATGCAAGCTGCGACCGCAAACTGACAGGCTCCCTCTAGGGGACACAATTTCTGTTTGTATCCATTTTTTTTTTAAAAGAAAGTATCCAACAAAGAAAGTTACTTTCAATTTCAGGTCCTTTCAATTTCAAATACTTTGTTTCTTTAAAGAGCAAAAATGCAGAAGGTAGCGTTGAAGTTAATTTGTTTCTTCTTTTTTTTTAACTATCTGTCAAAAGTACTCCACTTTCAATCAATGGACGTCTCAAGCGATTTCTGTCCCGACACTCCGTCCCCAGGTTTGGGACGGTGGAAATTTAGATTCCTTTTCTCACTTCCTGCAGGATTAAGCTGTCAAATCCCCCTCCCCTTCTCCTGCTTCCAAGGGGGTTTTGTTGGTTATGGGTGCAGGAAATTTCCAACTTTAAAAGAACTTTTCAGGCTATTAGGTTGCAAGATCTTTGCTTCAAGCTGTATACAAGGACGGGAGGCGGACTTCCTGTTTACACCTTCCCGCTTCGTGCCTAATTTCATAAATTTAAAAGTTCCTTAGTCCAATTCTCCGTTTTTACTCACGGGTACTTGATTTAGAGTCCGAATGTCATCAGGAAAAAGTCAGCGCTCTCCGGCGATGGCTGCGCGGCTTCCCTCCATGGAAATAGCAATCAGTTCGCAGCACCGCGCTGCTCCACCCGCTTCACTCCGGAGCCCGAAAATGGGTTTCCTCGTGAGTAGGGGAGGCGCTTTGGTGCTCTGCCGAACCCCACGTTCCCAGGCTTCTCCCGCCTGGGATTTCTAGTGGGCCCCCGCCTTCGCCGCGGCGGGAAGCCCCAGTTTCCACAGAGACCGTTCCTCCAGTCGGAGGAACTCCGCCATTCACCGATGGCGCTGACCCGGAAGTGTTGCAGATCTCATGTCTCTCAAGACAGCACAATTGGAGGGGGAATCACTCGGTGCTAGAGCATCTTTCCTATTGGGCTTACTGGCGCGTTGTGCCAGGGAAACGGGGGGCGCTGGAGGGATCTTTGCACCACAGTGTCAGATATGCTTAAGACGGCCCTGCACGCTGCAGCCATAGGAGTCCGTGCCTACCGAGGGATGCAGTGTTGTTTTTCTTGGGACAACATCTTCTGGAGGAGAGTGGCCTGCGAGCTATTGGCTAGTCTTAGAAAGGGGGCCTCGTATTACCTGTTCTGCGACTCTAGCAATGTCTGCAGTGATAAACGTAGGCCAGGCGGGTTTGGGAGTTCAACTTCTTGTGGCTTCTTAAGTACCCTGCATTTGGCCTCTCCACACCCTGGGGAATGAGAGGGCAGCCCCTTCTCTAGTTGCTTTGGGGGCAAGCTTGCCAGACGATGGTGCTGCTTTGTGGGCTGCAGTGAGGTTTCGAATTCACAAGAAACCCACACCCTTTCCTTTTAACTTTCTAACCAAGAAAATTACAAGGGGGGGCAGGGGGAGAAAGAGATGAACTGGCTTAATATATCATTAGGATGGGGAAAGCAACTTCATAAAAATTAGAGCCAAATTTGAAATTACAAACCTTCTTCAGCTTTGCTGAGTTAAATTTTTTTTGGGGGGGGGGAGGGGGGTTCCACGTTCTGGTTCTACAAGACAGTAAAAGGGTACATATATTTCCCTTCTTCCTCCATAGTTAAGAAATGGATGTAAAAGAACGCAAAAATAGATTGGCTGGATCAGACCAAAGGCCTATATAATTCTGCATTCTTTTCTCACAATGGCCAACCAGATGCCAATGGGAAGATGACAAGCAGAAAATGAGCACAGCAGCACTGTCCTGCTCATGTCCCCATGTTATTCAGCAGCAAGCTGCCCTGTCTCCTGAGTGAAGATGCAAAATATTAAAACCTTTCCTCATAGGAGAGTTGATCCAGCTTCATTTGGCTTGCCTTTTTCCAAACCTTTCCCAACTCTAACGTTTACTTTTTGGCATCCGGAATGGTGTACCGTATTCCAAGTGTGTTCACATCATAAATTTCTATAAATATCATATCAACGATTTTATTTGCGTGCCCAGGCGAAGACACCCCCCCCCAGCCCCAAGAGACCACCAGAAGGAATAATGACTTGTGACAACGTTTTTATGGAATTAAAAATTGGCCACAACTTTATTAAACCTTTCAGATGTAGGAAGACATTGGCTTAGGCATTGGGCGTGTATCCCTCCCAGCCCCCCAGCCAGAGGAACTGGGACTCCTCCTGGGGTGAATGGGACATGGGAGGGTGTACAGCAAGATGCTTGTGTACGCAGGCAGACCACCCCATATCCCTGCAACGCAGGGGAGTTCACTGACAACCTTTCAGTGTATAGCCAGTCACTCCCATTTTACAAACCCCTTTAAGAGGGGACCCTGAAGCTCTGGAGCCAACCGCATGGTTGCTGCTGGCTCCGCCTCCTATTTAAGCAACTGGCTCCACCTCCCTGTGGAACTGATTGGCTGAGGTTTGGCAGGAACCTCCAATGACTAACACAGGGAGGGAGGCCAGCCCAACTAGCTGGTGGGTCCCACGTGGCCCGAGGTGCTGCATGCGGTCCTGCAAAGGGCGCCCACAAAGGCAGGCATGAGCACTCATTTCGGTCCCTAATTATCACTAAACATAGATTTCTCCTTTCCCCCCACTGCTGCCACACACTGGGTCAATGTTTTCATCGAGCGACCCACCATAATCCCAAGATCTCTTTCCTGGTTATGTTATATTTGTATAGTTAAAGCTATGGTTTTCCCAGGAGTGATGTATGGAAGTGAGAGCTGGACCATAAAGAAGGCTGATTGCCGAAGAATTGATGCTTTTGAATTATGGTGCTGGAGGAGACTCTTGAGAGTCCCATGGACTGCAAGAAGATCAAACCTCTCCATTCTTAAGGAAATCAGCCCTGAGTGCTCACTGGAAGGACAGATCCTGAAGCTGAGGCTTCAATACTTTGGCCACCTCATGAGAAGAGAAGACTCCCTGGAAAAGACCCTGATGTTGGGAAAGATGGAGGACACAAGGAGAAGGGGACGACAGAGGACGAGATGGCTGGACAGTGTTCTCGAAGCTACGAACATGAGTTTGACCAAAATGCGGGAGGCAGTGGAAGACAGGAGTGCCTGGCGTGCTCTGGTCCATGGGGTCACGAAGAGTCGGACACGACTAAACAACGACTAAACTTCAAAAGAAGAAAACGCCTAAACTGCCAATGCTGAATCTGAATGTGATAGTATGGCTTCATCAATTGCTACTTTTTTCTTTTTCTTCGAAGTCCATAGAATGGTGCTTACAATAAGGCAAGAAGCAACCAATAACAGCAGCCCACATGTTGTCAGAACGACTGCTAAGGCACCGTACTTGGCAGGAGCGATGTGAGTACCCTTCCCAGGAATAATAAGTGCTTGAGCTATGTTGGAGAGGTCAGAGTACAAGAAAGACTTATCCACTGTGCGGATGCCCATGTAAATTAGGGTGACGTTTGCCGAGGCTTCTGGTTTAAACACAAACATTTCCTTGGAACCTGCAGGCTGAGGTGCCAAGCTGGAGGTATTTATGGGTACAGCGTTTTCAAATTCTTCCCTCAATTCCAGAGAACTTTGGCTTATTCTCACTTCATATCTTGCAGCTGGAAAAAAAAACCAAGATAACAAAAGGCTATAAAGTGTTGGTTTTTTTCCTGCAGTTGCCTGGAAGTAACAGGATTCAACACTTTTCACCCCAAGCTATTGCCTGTTTATAAGAAACTGCCAACAGAATTGCAGCCTCGGTCAACCAAAATAAGCAGACAATACTACGAAACAGGATATAATTAGCAAAAAACAATGGTTTCAGTCTAAGGACACAATAGGGCACCAAGGGCATTTTTATCATTGTCAGCACTCAGAGGCAAATACAAATTTGCATCTGAATTAACATGCGGGCAAGTGGGCCCTGCAACAAAACATTATACTGTGCAATGTGCTGCTACCCTCTTTCACTCTGGAGCCCCCACAAACTGTTGGCATACCCAGTCCTTAAAAGTTTGTTTTGGGGTTTCCCCAAAAAATATTTTTTAAAAAATAATAATAATAATAATCTGCAAATATTGGGGTTTTCTCAAGCCTGTTGATATCTCCCTTCTTGTACATAGATAGAGCCATTCTGGCTACATCAGCAAGGCATTCCTATCTGGATAGCTCAGTTGGTTGGAGCATGGTGCTGATAATGTCAAGGTTGCAGGTTTGATCCCCGTACGGAACAGTTGCATATTCCTGCATTGCAGGGGGTGGGACTAGATCAGGGGTCAGCAACCTTTTTCAGCTGTGGGCCAGTCCACCGTCCCTCAGACCTTGTGGGGGGCTGGACTATATTTTGAAGGAAAAAAATGAACGAATTCCTATGCCCCACAAATAACCCAGAGATGCATTTTAAATAAAAGGACACATTCAAGTCATGTGAAAACACGCCGATCCCTGGAGTGTCTGTGGGCCGGATTGAGAAGGCGATTGGGCCACATTGGGCCCACGGGCCTTAGGTTGCCTACCCCTGGACTAGATGATCATCAGGGTCCCTTCCAACTCTATGGTTCTATGATTCTAACTGTTCTTCTCTGCCAAAAGCACACAAGATATCTCTGTTATCCATGGGCAGCAGAACTGGACAAGTGTATAAAAGCATGCAGAGCAACTGATCCACAAACTGAGACTACTGGGGCAAAACTACTGCAGTAAAGAGCAGGTTTAACTAAGAGAGGATCACCACCAATACTTGCTATGATGATATTTAAGAAGGAACAAACAAGGAAGGAATTTTTTGGTTTCCGGTTTCCCTCTACAAATAGGATTTCCAGAGTCCAAGTTACAGCAGAGATGTGCAGAGGGTCATTTTGAATTGGAATTCTGTTTTACTTATATTTATGGGTCTCAAAAGTATATATATCCAAAGCTCAGTGCACATCCAATATGGATTTGCTTGCAGATTTTATCAACGTAGTTTAAAACAGGGTTTCCCAAACTTGGGTCTCCAGCTGTGTTCGGACTACAGTTCCCATCATCCTTGACCACTGGTCTTGCTAGCTATGGGTGATAGGAGTTGTAGTCCAAAAACAGCTGGAGACCCAAGTTTGGGAAACACTGGTGGTTGTTTTTTTGGGGTTGTTGGTTTTTTAAAAACACCCTACTTTTAAACAGTTTTCATTAGCAAAGAAAATAAGAAACACTGAACCTACCTTGTCCCTGGTCAAAGTCATCCCCTGGAGCTGTCCAGGTTAAAACAATTTTGTCCTCTTCTGTTCTGGCATCCAAATCAGTAATTTTGCATGGTGGGAACACATCCTTATAGGGGCCAGTGGGAACTCCAGATATGGTGAAAGCACTCCCAGCAGCTATTCTGCTGAAGCCCCCAGAGCTGATGTGTGTATCTTCACTATTCATCAATGGCCTTGGTGCATTCATCTGGATTGTACCTATGCCACACCAACATAAACAAATACACAAAAGAGAGCTAAAGACCAGCTGAGCATGCTTCCAACGAACTAGCGACTAATGGACTTTGGGGCAAGTAGGCCAAAAAGGAAATAAACAACCTGACAGTAATAGGTCCCTATCTCATTGGTAGTACCCGTGTTTTCCATAAAGAAACACCCAGGTTCCGTCTAAGGTAACAGCTTTGGGGATGCCCAGTAACATGGTATATGGTGGGTTAGAGCACTGGTTTTGCTGCTGCAGGGCTGGTGTGAGGCTGAGACCTCGCGGCTGCAATAGAGGGGAGTGCTGGATTGGTTCAGAGGGCCACTGATGGTCCCTCTGATGTAACCACACAATCCTGACCTTGCTGCTACCCTGCCCCAGCCAGGTTAGCCATTGTGATGCCCGTGGCTCTATCCCTGGAAAGCCCTTGCTAGCTAATAGCAGCATTAATCATCTCCATTCCTTCTAATACTGAGTTTGGTTCTTCCGATGCCTATCCACTTAGAAGTAAAATGGGGCTACCCCAACACAGAAGGTATGGGCTTCTTTATATTATGGAGACTCACCAAGTATGTAACAATATAAAAGGTAAAGGGACCCCTGACCATTAGGTCCAGTCGTGACCGACTCTGGGGTTGCAGCGCTCATCTCACTTTACTAGCCGAGGGAGCCGGCGTACAGCTTCCGGGTCATGTGGCCAGCATGACTAAGCCGCTTCTGGTGAACCAGAGCAGAGCACGGAAATGCCGTTTACCTTCCCGCCGGAGCGGTACCTATTTATCTACTTGCACTTTGACGTGCTTTCAAATTGCTAGGTTGGCAGGAGCAGGGAACGAGCAACGGGAGCTCACCCCGTCGCTGGGATTCAAACCGCCAACCTTCTGATCAGCAAGTCCTAGGCTCTGTGGTTTAACCCACAGCGCCACCCGCGTCCCTTCATGTAGCAATATATGTGCTTGCAATTTCAATTTTTATTTTAAAAGCTGCTAGAAACCTAAGTCTTGAAAGGTACTGGACTGAGTTCACTCATGGCTTGCTACACAGACTGGGGGTGGGACTTATCGCGGCGGAACCCATTCATAAATGCTCTTTGAAGAAGGGCTTTCTTCCGGCTGTGAAAGATGAACTTTCCTTCGGCGCCCAGGGCGGAGGCCCATGGACCAGCTGACCAAATCAGCGCCGGCTATAGGAGCGCCAGGAGGCGAGAGCATTGGAGAGGCGGGAAGGGAAAGGGGAACGCTGGGAAGGAGTCCCAGCATTCCAGACATTCCAGAGCCATCTCTTTCCGCGTCGGCAGAGCCGATGGAAATGGGAACAGTACGCGCGCGCGCAGCTTCAAAGCCCAGCGAGGGGGGAAAAAGGAGGGAAAAGGCGCCCGGAAATGCTATCTCTGCCAACAGCCAGGGCACTTTGCCAGAGTCTGCCCCTTAGACGACGTGTTGGTGTATTCTGAGAATGAGGAGCAGCATGTGAGAGACGTCAGAGAAGTGTTGAGCAGGCTGCAAGCCAACCAGCTGTGGGTGAAACTGGAGAAGTGTCAGTTTCATACCAAGGAGGTGGAATTCCTGGGGTATCGCCTGTCTGACAAGGGGTTGGCCATGGATCCCGGCAAGGTCCAGGCGGTACTGGAATGGAAAACACCCAAAACAAGGAAGGATGTGCAGAGGTTTTTAGGATTTGGGAACTTCTATCGTAAGTTCATCCCAAACTTTGCCCACCTGACGGCGCCCATTACGGACTGTCTCAGCAGTAAGAAGAAGTTCGTTTGGACGGAGGAGGCGGAGCAAGCATTTGAGGAACTAAAAAGGGCCTTCGCCTCGGAACAACAGCTCCTGCATGTGGATTTACAAAACCGATGAGAGTGGAAACTGACGCATCAGACAGAGCGGTTGGGGCGGTGCTTCTCCAGCCAGGGAAGGAGGAGTCAGAGTGGAGACCGTGTGCCTTTTTTCGCGAAAGCTGAACAAATCCGAGAGGAACTACACGGTGTATGACCGAGAACTACTAGCCATTCATGAGGCGTTCCGGAGATGGAGGCACCTGCTAATTGGCGCACAACATAAGGTGCAAGTGTGCACTGACCACAAGAACCTAGAGTATTGGAGGACGGCACGAGTGCTCAACCAACGGCAAGTGAGGTGGGCCCAGGAATTCTCCAAATTTAACTTTGAGATTTGTTACGTGCCAGGCCCAGAGAACATTAGGGCGGACGCTCTCTCACGCAAACCTGAATATTTGGAGGGGGGAGGGAGCACCCGAAGAGAGACATGTCATTCCAGAGGACCGCTGGGTGTGTGGGGCGGCATTGGTGGGACAAAGAGAACTGGTAGAAGAAACAGAGAATGATGAATACGCCCAGAATAAGCTCAGAGGTCTTAGGGATGAGGGAGAGGAATCAAGGGGTTTCGAGGAAAGAAATGGAGCTTTGTATTACAAAGGGGCACTGTATATCCCTGAAGGAGACTTAAGGGGAGGGTACTCAAGCAGTTGCATGACAGCCCCACGGCGGGCATTTTGGGCAACACAAAACCATGTGGTTGGTCACCAGGGAATTTTGGTGGCCTAAGGTGAGGGAGGATGTACGTGAGTATGTAAGAGGGTGCGAGCAGTGCCAGCGAGCCAAAGGGGAAAGGCGGGCGCCGGCGGGGCTATTAGAACCCTTACCAACACCAGAACGACCTTGGGAGGCAGTGTCGATAGATTTTATGACTGATCTGCCGAAGTCCAAAGGGAAAACAGCCATCATGGTGGTGGTAGACCTACTAACAAAGATGGGCCACTTTGTAGCTTGCTCGCATGCAGTCACGGCGGAAGAGACAGCGAAGTTATTTGTAGAACACATTTTTAGGTTGCACGGGGTGCCATTGAGGGTGGTCTCAGACCGAGGAAAACAATTTACTTCCAGGTTCTGGAGGAAGCTCATGAGCTTACTGCAGGTGGAGGTCAACTTTCGACTGCCCGGCACCCTGAAACCAACGGGCAGGCGGAAAGAGCAAACGGTGTCCTCCAGCAATACCTGAGGTGTTATGTCAATGACAGAGAGAATGACTGGGTAGAAAAGTTGGCGCTGGCGGAATTTGCCTACAACAATGCCGAGAATGTGTCCACAGGGATGAGCCCCTTCTTGGCTAATTATGGGTGTCATCCCAGGGCTTTCCCAGGGGGAGAAGGGGAGAGATGGAGCGTACCGGCAGCCGAGCATTTTGTAGAAGAAATGGAAGCAATCCACCGTCAGCTTCAACTCAACTTAGAAAGGGCGAAGGAAGAATACAAGAGGCAGGCAGACAAGAACCGAAGGGAAGGTGAAACCATAAGGGTTGGAGATAGGGTGTGGCTGTCAACCCGAGGGTTGCCGTTCAAAGGAGGTTGTAAGAAATTAAGACCCAGGAGGTTGGGTCCCTTTGAGGTCATTCAACAGGTCAACCCAGTGGCTTTCAGGCTCCGGTTACCCAACCACATGAAACTGCACCCAGTATTTCACAGGTCGTTACTGTCACCGTACGAGGGGGGACGAGAAGGGATGGCCACTCGGGACCGGTCATAGAAGAAAGAGAATGCAGCAGTCATGTGGCAGAAATCCTTGATGCCAGGTGGAAGGGGAATCAGGTGGAGTATTTGGTAGCGTGGGAAGGAGAACCGGAGTCAGAAAACACGTGGGTAATGGCCGAAGATATCAATGACGAGGTATTGATAGAAACGTTCCATCAAAGGTTCCCGAGGAAACCTCAGCCTGTGGAGAGGTTCCGGAGGGAATACTTTGGGACCACTGAGGAGGAGGAGGAGTTGGAAGGATTCCCAGAATCGGAAGGGGAAGGGGAGATGGACTCGGAGGAGGAGGAGTGCTTCGAGACCAGGAACCGCAACAGGTGGAGAGAAGTGTTCGAGACATCGGAAGATGAAGGAAGTTCATTCCGGGGTTTTGCCTCCTCACCGCCCGTAGAGGAGGGTGCGAGAGGGGGTGAAGGGGGCCCTGGAGGGGAGGTGGATGTCAGGGAACTGCCATCGGAAGGAAGGGAGGTGAAAGGACTCAGACAGGTTGGAAGAGACTCAGCAGCTGAAGAGGGAACCAGCAAGGGGAGAGAAGCTGAACTGAGGGAGGTGAAAGGGCTCAGACAGGTTGGAAGAGACTCAGCAGCTGAAGAGGAAACCAGCAGGGGAGAGAAGCTGAACTGAGGGAAAGGGAGCTGGGGGATGGCTCAGAGATACTTCCAGCGAAAACAGTGGTGAGGTTTCCGGACCTCCTGTAGGGACACCCACTCCTCGCCGGAAACTGTCACGCAGAGAGTCCAGAAGACGTGTTTCCGTTAAGGAGCTTTTATGTTGGAAGCGATTACGAAAGCAACCACTGTCGGAATCTTCTAGTGACTAGAGGAGCCATGTCAGAGGGGCTCAGTCACAGACAGAGGTTTGTGGACTTGAACAAACTCTGAGGGAATACGATTTTTACGCACAAGCAGCTCATCTTCCCATCACAAGGACCTATGCCCAATGACCTCTACAGAATGATGAGGGCAATTTGGCCACAGAATGCTGAGGGTGCCAAATGGGGGGGAAAGAAGTGGAAGGAAAGAAAAATATCCTATCTGAGACCTTAACAGGCTTCAGCATCCTTCAGAGAGGATAACTGGGTTGGGCAGAAAGTAGAGCTCAGCACAATGAAGCTACAAAACACACTATGGAGGCTGAATGTTTCTAGGACGTATGCATCTAGAAATATTTCATCCCAATGAACCATTCATGTAAACTGCTTGGATCTGCGTGTTGACAAGTTTTTTTAAAACTAGATTCAGCTTTCCATGAGGTACAGCCTGGTGAGAGTTTTCCACATGATTATGAGGATAATTCAAAGAGGCCATGACATAGTTGTCTCCCAAATATTTCCACAGCGGTGCTTGTGCAAAGTAGTGCTTCTTCTTGCTGTAATACACTAAGAACACCTTCTGTTCAAGTCCATGGAGGTAAACAAGTGCACAAGAGCACGGCTTGACGACTGACATCCCAAAGCCTTACCATTTGTTATGTAACCAGGAATATACATTGCAGGACTCCAAAGCGTTGCAGGGTATGGGCTAATTGTCTGGTTGTCCCTCTGGACGTGGACTTTCAAGCTATATCTTCCATTTCTCGCGAAAGAAAAGAGGTATTTAGAATACACACCATCGTTTTTTATCGTATCTGCACCTGCAGCAGCGAGGAAATACAAACACAAAAAGTGTTTAATCTGCTTTGGAAAAATCCTCTTAGTCTGTGCTTGAATCAGCCAGTTTCTGCCACCCCATTAAAAATTCCCTAAAATATAATATTGTTTAAGTAATGGTGAAAAGTACCACTAAGCCTGCAATTCTATACATATTTACTTGACGGCAAGCCTTATGGGACACACTTCTCACTTCATACCCCATTGTATTCCATTGCCATTCAACTCATATACAATTGATTTTCCCTTTATACCTTCTGGACAAATTGGATTATAACTGTCATTCATATTTTGCCCTTCTCCAAATTTTTCTATGTAATTCTCAGTCAAAAACCTTACCCCAATGTGTTTAAAATATGTGTTTTAGAATAAAGTGCATTTCTTTGCCAATAAAATACACATTTTCCAACTTAAACACACATTTTTTCTCTGGATTTTTTTTTTAATTGATGTGCAAACAGGACCGGAATCTGACTTGAAGCAGAGTGATCCATTCATCAGCTAAAAAAATAAACTTATAAAAACATATGTTACCTGCACCATTGTCAAAAAGGTCCAAGATAATTGGATCTCCACTCTCTGGCTCAATAATGGCAGTCACATTTGCACCAAGAATGGGAGAGAAGCCTTGATTAACCTGTGCATACACAATCATTGGACTTGGGTAGGCGTTTGTATCTTTATTTGTGTGGGTTCTCACGGTGATGGTAGACACGTCAGACTTTACGGCTCGCGAGGTCACAGTCATTGTGAGGACTTCAGGGAGCCCATGAGAGTTAGTGAGTAAGTATGTCCAATCCCCAGCCTGAAAAACAAATTTATATGCTCAAAAGCGTTCAGCCTAAATAGATTTTTTTTGGGGGGGGGTTTATAAACAAGAATAACGCTGTAGAAATAAGTACACCAAGTTTTCTCATGCCACTTGTATATCACAAAAATAGCATAATAAATGTGGGGAAATATCTAGAACAGATGTTTCATTATTAGTGGTCAAGATGAACTTTCTTGGTTCACGAATTGGTTTAAACAATTTGAAAGAAGAAGGGGGAAAGGAAAAGGGGGAAAGGGAGTTGAAGGGGGTGTGGCAAGTGGGGTGGGGTGGGGTTGTTATGCTTCTATTATTCTACTTAGTGTGTGTGAGGGATTGTGTCAGCGTTACTTGCGTGGGTTCTCTTCTTATTCACCTGACGTATTTCCTTGGTGGTGAGAGAAGTTGGGTGTGGCTTAAGGTGTGGTTGGTTGTCTTTGGTTGGCTGTAGTGAGAATTGTTTTCATGTGTGAGCAGGGTGTGAGTGTGTATTTATGAATCAGGTTAGCCAGATTGATTCGTATTATTTTTCCATCCAAAGGCAAGTCCCCGATAGAAACAACTGAAGGACAATTCACTGTTACCTCAGCAATCCCCGGAATCTGCAGACGAGCTGTGCGGAAAAGTGGATTGACATCAAATTCCCCATTTGTAAAGTGTTTTCCTCTAGGGCCACGAAGAACGATATTGGGTTCCTTTGCCAGCCACGTCACTACAAAAAATGTGTCGTTTCCTACTGTGCTGTCAATAAGCATCGACCTTTCAATCTGACCATTGCCCTTCACTCTTTCAGCCGCACTTTCAATCTGTACAAAACCAGAATAATGATAACTTCCCGTTTGCTTTGACACAGGCATGGCCAGACTTGGCCCTCCAGATGTTTTGGGACTACAATTCCCACCATCCCTGACCACTGGTCCTGTTAGCTAGGGATGATGGGAGCTGTAGTTCCAAAACATCTGGAGGGCCAAGACTGGCCATGCTTGCTTAACATATCCTCTTTGTAGCAATGTAAAATAAGCCCCAGTTGAAATATTCCATTCGGCACACATCAACATTGCAATGATTCTTTATAGCATTTAAAAACGCTACGGGAGACAAGCAATTAAAACAAATTAACAAAGCCAGATAGGGGCACAGAAATCCCCCGAAACAAAATCCACACCTTTTCAGCCACAGCCATGTTCCAAAAATACTTTTTTTGCTCACTCTGGCAGATGAGTACTATGGCAATTGCAAGCGAGTAAGCAGTTAAGTTCCTTCTGGATTCTGCCTCCCCAGCCCCCCACCCCACCCCCAAAAGAAGACAGCACACGTCACAAAATAGCACTTCAACCCTTAGGCTGCAATTCATGGATTTCAATGGAATGGAAGATTCATACTTGTGTTGAGGATTACAGCCTTGATTGTTATTCACCCCTGTGCTTAAAGGTAAAGGGACCCCTGACCATTGGGTCCAGTTGCGGACGACTCTGGGCTTGCGGTGCTCATCTCGCTTTATTGGTCGAGGGAGCCAGTGTACAGCTTCCGGGCCAGCATGACTAAGCCACTTCTGGCGAACCAGAGCAGTGCACGGAAACACCGTTTACCTTCCTGCCTATTTATCTACTTGCACTTTGATGTACTTTCAAACTGCTAGGTTGGCAGGAGCTGGGACCGAGCAATGGGGCTCACCCCATCTCGGGGATTCGAACTGCCAACCTTCTGATTGGCAAGCCCTAGGCTCTGTGGTTCCTTTTATAGGGATGTGGGTGGTGCTGTGGTCTAAACCACTGAGCCTCTTGGGCTTGCTGATCAGAAGGTTGGCGGTTCGAATACACACAATGGGGTGAGCTCTTGTTGCTCTGTCCCAGCTCCTGCCAACCTAGCAGTTCAAAAGCACGCCAGCGTGAGTAGATAGGTAAATGGCTTTCTGTGCGCTCTGGTTTCCGTCACGGTGTTCTGTTGCACCAGAAGCGGTTTAGCCATGCTGGCCCCATGACCCAGAAAAGCTGTCTGTCATCTCGGCCTGAAGCGAGATGAGTGCCGCAACCCCATAGTCAAGTTTGACTGGGCTTCACTGCCCAGGGGTCCTTACCTTTTACCTTCTTTAGCTACCTATAGGCCCTTTTATAACTTGCCATGGGCTGCATCAACAAGCAGAGCAAGTATGTACATAATTAAGTTGATAACTAAGTAAATTGAGCTATTAAGGTAAGTTGCAAGATTTGTACATTCCGGACAGGAATGACAAAGGGCCAAATTAAACATGTCACCACAGTTTGTTTGGTTTTTTAAAAAACACGAATATCTGGTTCTGGGAAAGGAGCTGGTCAGGACAGTGGGATGGGAAATTAGTGAACTGAGAGGAAAGGGAGGTGTAACCCTTTTAGAGCAGTGGGTGTGACTCTGGAATGCTTTCATTGTGTTTTCTATGCTTAAAGTAGTTTTTATGCTTCAAGTAGAAGGTACCTTTGGATTGGTGGGCCTGGGAAAGATGGTTATCGCAAAGAAACTTCCTTCTCCCTCAATTTTCAAAAAAAAATTTTTTTTGTTCTGGGTGTTGTTACTTTTTTTTTTTAATGTGGTGATGAATAGATAAATGCATAAATTGTATGTATACTGCTTTAATTCATCCACACACACCCCAAAAAAGATACGCATCCCACCTGAAACATAGACAGAGGCAATACTGAGAGCTGAATGAGCGATCAATTGCTTGTAATGCCACAATGCCATTCAAACTGTACAGCCTGAGAAAATTAAGCTCACAGTGCAACTGACTGCATGCATACCTGAGGGATAGCTCCATCAGTAAAGCATGAGACTCTTAATCTCAGGGCCTTGCGTTCAAGTCCCATGTTGGATAAAAGATTTGGACAGAATGATCTTTGTGGCTGCTTCCAAATCTATGGTTCTAAGACTCTCTCTCTTTTTTTTATTACATCTGCCTTCTTCTTCCCAATATGCCCTCAATTGACTAATTGTTGTCCAAGCAGTCATATCAAATTCAAATAATACAAAATTTGAGATAAAAGTCTAGAGCTACAGTATGAGATATAAGGGGCACCCGTTCTATTTTATCAAACTAAAATAATGCTCTAAAATAACAGATTATGAATGTGTTGGCTCCAGAAATGCTTTCTCCATGCCTCCTATTAAAATGTATTCGCTTTATTAAGTAAAACAGCCTTCCTTATAGCAAGATATACAGTATCTACATGAACAGACCTGGACAGGCTGGTGGCTGGTATCTCCATCACTTGCTACAATGGCGCTGAATACGTCTATTAGGCTATTTGAATCTTGTCTATCAGTGACAAAAAAACTCAGCCCCCCTGAAAAAGAGAGTACAAGGAGAAATCTTAAAAGGTGAATAAAAAATTAACTTCATTTGACAAGGTTATTATTTCAGAGATTAATGGAGCTGTCCAGACGTTGGCTCACACTGAATTTTCCTTTGAAATATTCTTGTTTGTTTTATGAGCAAAAACCACAAAGGGTGTTTGCTATTGCTAAAACAGACAGTCTTACCTGTCATTTTGCCCAGTTGTTCCAGTTCTTGGGAGACAGAATGCCCCAGAGCAATGGTATGAACGATTAAGCCAGCGTCAATGACATCAGAGAAACACTTGCTGAGTGAACTGTCGTCTCCACTGGTCAATAAGATGATTTCAGAACCAGAAACACTTTCGTCATGTTTTTTAATTACCTGGAAGCAAATAATTAACCATGAATATGAAGGACACTCAGTAAATTATCTTGGCAAAGAAAATGTCACAAGTTAAGAGACTCCTTAATACTTCACTATATTGCTGTGATTCATATCCACAGGACTAAAGTCATGTATTTCCAAAGATTTGTATACTGACAACTTTTGAGAAAAATAAGGCAATGAAAAGCATCCATTTCTTTGATGGTTTTAATTGTTAAATAGTAAGGGTTTTGTGGAATTGTTTAATTGTTAAATAGTAAGAGTTTTGTGGAATTTATAAATGTTGAGGACATCAGCAATGGGAGCAAGGGAGGAAGCAAATCTAAAAAATAACTATGAAATAAATAAATAATAATAATAATATCTGCCATGTCTAGCCTTATGCCCATCACTTATTTATCTCAGTCTTAGTATTCCTAATCTGCAAAACAAGACTTATTTAACAATAGGACACAATTGACTCAAGCCACTGTTTTGCCCTAGCTCTGGATGCCAGACCTCAGGTTTTTAGGGGAGGAAATCTTTGAGCCTAAAGTCAACCTACTTCTGACATAGCAGATGCTGAGTGAGAGCCAGTTTATTATTGTAGGTACAGAACTTCACCCTCATCAACCTATGTTGTTGTGTGTTTTTTGCGGGTGGTTTTATTGTGCTGTTATTGCTCAAGTCCTGTTTGTAAGCTTCCCACAGGCATCTGTGAGAACAGAATGCAGGATTAAATGAGTCACCCAGCAAGATCTTCTATGTTCTTGTTTATTTTGTTGCAATTTTGCATGCTGTCTACTCCCTTGCTGAGCTTTTATGGAAGTGCATGTCAACCCAGAAAGTAAGTCCTATGAAGACCAGGTGCATCTTATTAAGTTCCGTGCATAAAAGACTGCAACCTAAACAAGGATTATGAGTCTGAACACTTAACGTGGAGCTCATTTCGGTTTGTTGTTATTCCGTTTTAAGTATTCTATTTTTCCTTCTGTATCCCGATTTGCTGTCTCTTGTTAGCTAGATAGAGGACCTTTCCAAAGTCTTTTCTTTTCAATTGCATTTGGAAGTTCTGTTCAAAAACACTGGGTGACTACACAATTGCCCTGCAAGAATAGTTCCGGTTCCTGCACCAAAAACCAAAATGTTCCTATGAGCCGAAATGCGGCAAGAGAGGCAATAATAAATAGGACTCGCCTGCAGCGCCAGCTGTAAACCCATGCAAACATTTGCTCTGTCGCCGTATGTAGCAACTGGCAAGTCGGAGGCAAGCTGCTTCCGTATATCAGCACTCGTTATTTGCCGGATCTGAGATTTTACTTCTCCTCCTTCACTGAATGTGACAACCCCAATGTAGGAGTTCTCTTCCACAATTTGCAGTAGATACACTTCTACTGCCTGACGCATCCGAATGATTCGATTGTTCTGTAGGAGGTAAAATATCACCTGTTATTCATTCACCCACAAATAATAATGCAACATGTTTTCACGGACACAATATCAGGCAGGGTATACTGCCTGTTCAAGAATTCTCCTACAACCAGAAAATTTGCATGTGGCTCTCCAAACAGAAGGCTGTCTTGGGGGGTGGGGGTGGAGAAAGAGGTATCATTAAAAGTTTATTCTTCTTCTTGATAATGCTAGAGATTAGGATAGAATGGAAGAACAATAGCCCCATCTCTCTCCCCAACCACAAGATGTCTGTGACAAAAGTATCTCTCACTAAACGTAAATGAACTGTGAAAAAGACCATGAATTGAAAGTGGAGACGATAGATGTGCCTTTCCCTGTTTGTGTTTGTTTTGTAATACAAAATTTTTTTAATAACAACTTTTTTTTTATTCTCCGGCACTTACCTGACGTCGGTGATCTTTAATAAACTCTATAATCGATAGCATTTTTGAAAACAAAAGCAAAAGAATTTCAATTTCAGAGCAGGTGTTCATTTTTGCCTCAAAGAGTAAGACTTTACCTCATCCATGCTGCTGGAAAAATCCAAGACTAAACAGATCACTCTGTCTGTTGCTTGTAAAAGTGAGAAGGTTGGGGGCAAAGGACTGTTTTTGCTGGTCAGAGGAATATCGGATTTAAAGTCATCAGAGCTCATGATGACTTCCCATGTGCTCTTGTAACTGCACATCCTGTTCTGGGCATTGAGAGCTTCAGCGTTATGGTTGCTTGAGTCACAGAATTCAAACACCTGAAAACAGAAAACAGCAAGACAGTTCTGGGCACCACAATTTAAGATGGATATTGACAAGCTGGAACGTGTACAGAGGAGGGCACCCAAGATAATCAAGGATCTGGAAACTGAGCCTTATGAGGAACGGTTGAAGGAGCTGGGTATGTTTAGCCTGGGTAAAGAGGAGACTGAGAGGAGATATGATTGCCATCTTCAGCTATCTCAAGGGCTGTCACGTGGAAGATGGAGCAAGCTTGTTTTCTCCTGCTCTGGAGGGTAGGACTCGAACCAATGGCTTTAAGTTACAAGGAAGGAGATTCCAACCAAACATTAGGAATAACTTTCTGACAGTAAGAGCTGTTTGATGGGGGAACTTACTCCCTTGGGAGGTTGTTCTCTGAGAATGCTGTTTAGACTCTCCTTCTTTGGAGGTTTTTAAGCAGAGGTTGGATGGCCATCTTTCAGGGATGCTTTAGTTGAGATTCCTGCATCACAGGGCGTTGGACTAGATGACCCTTGGGTCCCTTCCATCTCTACAATTCTATGATTGTGTGAAACACTTGCAGAAAGCATCTCCATTAGTAACTACAGAAATTCCACACACACAAGGTCTTAGAGAGAAAGGCTTCCAGCTCCAAGAGTGCTGTTTCCATCCCATCTTCTTCTGGAAACGAACAATTGCGAATGACAGAAACAGATTACCCAGAATACCCAGGAAGTTGTGACGATTTGCTATGAGGTAGGTGAAAACCAAGTGGCTGGTGCCAATTTGCCAAGTGGAAAAATTCCTACTTGGCCCCTCAACGGCGACTAACCAAGGTCCATAGCAAGGTCAGAAAGAAAACCTTATAGGGTGGGAGGGTGGGGAAAAAGCAGGAACAGCTGGCAGGCAGCAAAGAGGGAGATCCCCAGCCGTGTCCTGCCTTTATAGGGCAGGCCCCACCCCCCAGCCAGCTGATTGGCTGGCTAGGGAGTGACACAGCCGGGAATCCCCTCCAATCACACGGGGCCGCTGCGCGCGTGGAGGTACCGTGAAGCCTGCAACCCCACCTCCATCTTAGTGCGGTAGTGGCTTTATGAGCAATACATTCAAGATCATCACCTAAACACCTGGGAAGATATACCATATTTTTTGCTCTATAAGACTCACTTTTTCCCTCCTAAAAAGTAAGGGGAAATGTGTGTGCATCTTATGGAGCGAATGCAGGCTGCACAGCTATCCCAGAAGCCAGAACAGCAAGAGGGATTGCTGCTTTCACTGCGTAGCGATTCCTCTTGCTGTTCTGGCTTCTGAGATTCAGAATATTTTTCTTCTTGTTTTCCTCCTCCAACAACTAGGTGCGTCTTGTGGTCTGGTGCGTCTTATAGAGCGAAAAATATGGTAAGCCCCCTTTTCTACATGCAACCTTCAGGCACTGATCCTTCAGATGCTGCTGGACTCCAGCCACCCCCAGCCAGCATGCCCAATGGTCAGAGATGTGGGAGATGCAGTTCAGCCACAGTTTCCCCATCCCTGAAGTACAGGAAACGTCATGTACGATCTCTCTTGAACTGTACTTACAGAAGATAAGCTTTGCATGTACATTATGGAAGATGATGCATTTTGCTCCTTGTCGTGTATAAAAGTGCACCCTTCTTTTAAGAGTCCTGTTGCCTGGTCAATGACACAGGTGCCTTCAGTGCAGGATTCTTTCTCGCAGACATAAATTCCCGTTAGGTCAGAAGAACACCTAGGAATAGGCACAAGGCAATCAGGACATGAAGAGGAAGAAGAAGAAGAAGAGGAGGAGGAGGAGGAGGAGTTTGGATTTGATATCCCGCCTTTCACTCCCTTTAAGGAGTCTCAAAGCGGCTAACATTCTCCTTTCCCTTCCTCCCTCACAACAAACACTCTGTGAGGTGAGTGAGGCTGAGAGACTTCAGAGAAGTGTGACTGGCCCAAGGTCACCCAGCAGCTGCATGTGGAGGAGCGGAGACACGAACCCGGTTCCCCAGATTACGAGACTACCACTCTTAACCACTACACCACACTGGCTCTCAACAACATATTGTGCTCCCCAAGGGAGTGTGAGTGCAAAAGAAAACAAACATTTAAAACCTTTAAAGAAACACAAAGCAGGTAATTTTTATTCTGAAAAAAGCACACCTGTGGCTGCAGCTGCATCAGTCTTTACAAAAAGGAGCACAGTTAGAGGCGATTTATTTGGTGGAGCACTGAATTGCCATTATACCGGTATGTAAGCGAGTTGTCTTACGCCCACAATTCTTGTCCTTGTTTATGGTTTGTATTGAATGAAGTTATTACAAGCTCGTTATGTACAATTCAGAGCTCCTTTTTGGGCCGACCAGAAGAAGATTCACGAAACAGAGACTGAAATCCAGGCATCTCGTTGTCAGGGTCGCACCATCACAAGTATATACAGAGGGAATCGCTCTCATGGACTTAATTCAGGAATATACGAACTGTTTGGCTGAGATACTGAATGGCACATGTCATTATTATTTTGGCATTGTAGATATTATTTAAGATTCCATGTAACAGAAGGTGTTGAAATGCCGCACATTATTGATAATGTGTTTTTTTTGCAAACTATATACAGAGTTGTTTAGTTTGAACCCACCTGCACATACACAAATTTTACCTGGTGGCTTTCACCTGGTTTTGACTCGATATGTAGAAAGGCTTTTCACTGTCATATTCATCAAATACCCCCCACCGAAGATGGGCCCACTCATGGACGAAAAGCCTGCCTGTATAGATAAAAGCACGGAAATTGCATTGTGACATTTGGTAGTAATCTAACATAGTCCCATAGCAGCAAACGCTACAGAGCAGGTAGTGTTGCAGCAAAGGGGATTTGTGTGTTTGACTTGTAAGACAGGAAGAGTTCAAGTTCCTGTACTGACACCCTAACTCAGCGGTTCTCAATCTGTGGGTCCCCAGATGATGTTGGACTACAACTCCCATCATCCCTGAGCTCTGGCCTTGCTAACTAAGGTTGATGGAAGTTGTAGTCCAACAACATCTGAGGACCCACAGGTTGAGAAAGGCTACCGTAACTGGTTGAGCCTGCCCCAAAAGCTGGATCTGCAAGCTTCCCAAACACAAATCTGGTCTGGAGACCCTTAAACAGCCATTCTTTTCCTGGGTATCGATTGCAGTGAAAGCCCCAGCCCAGTTAGGATACCTATTGCAGCTTACGAAATGCACCTGTCCAAGTGTCTTAAGGCTGCCAATGGCACCAGTTTGTGCCAATTTTCAGAAGTTGACACCTTCCCAACTTTGTCAGTGCCTTTATCGCAAGAGAATATTTGGAGAATTTCAAATATTTTCCTAGCACCACAGCAATCGAGACATTGTGTTATCTCTCGATTGCTGTGGTGCCAGGAAAATATTTGAAATTTCCTCTAGCAAACAGAGCATGCCATTTAATAAATTTCCTTTTTACAAAACCACTGCTTTTAATCAATTATTTTCCCCCATTATCTGAAAAGTAATATGTAGTAATATGATACTCTATGTCCCAATTCAAATGTGAGGCTTCTGGTTTCAAGATTCAACAACCAGTACTTAATTTCTGTTTTGAAAATGTTATGAGTTTTTTTGGAAGGACCAGTTCCCTTGTGTTTATACTGAATGTTAACTATAGGTGGATTTATCACAATGGCATATGGTATGCAATATATGTATAAATATATATATATATAAACTTTACAGTGTGATAAACGTTTATTAAAAACTAAAAAGAGTCACGTATGAAGACACCGTTACTGTTAATTATTAAAGATATTCTTTGTTGATTACGATGCAGATGTGAGATTTTAAAATTGTACTTTTTTGAAACACAAAAGGTAACAGAAGAAGAAAGGTAATAATTATTTGTTTAGGATTTACCATGTGGTCCATAGATTCCAATCGAATCATTATTTACCAGGAAGTCAGAGGTGAAATGTATGTATTTTCCCTTTTCTCCACACCCTCCATATTGCAATGTGTATGGATCGTGTCCATGTTTCCAATAAGGAGGAGCAACAATGACATCTGCCTAAAATGAAAGTTTTGTTTAATGAGCTGGTTTTGAATAGGTACGCTTATTATTAATTACTGACAAAAGCAGGAGTTTAGTCCTACAATTACTTACATGTCATAAGTCAGATTTCATAATACTCTCCACCCCCACCCACCCAGAAGAGACACACTGGAATACAGTAAACATGTTTTTGAACTGCAAAAGTACTAAACAGCACCCTTTTTAGTCATACTATGAAGATTGCACTTGACAGTGAAATCTTATGCATGCCTACTCAAAAATAGACCCAGTCAGTTCAATGGAGTTTACTCCCAGAGAAACGTGAAGAGGAATGAAGTCTCAACATACGGTAAGTCCTACTGCTTGTTAATTAATGACAGGGGCGCCAACTATAGGGGGCTTTGGGGACCTGGGGACCCACAAAAATGTTGTTGTGGGTGCTCAGCACCCACACAACAGGGCCCCCCACAACCTCTGAGGTTTTGCAAGGCCTCAGACAGCATCTCTGAGGCCTCAGAGGTGCCACTGGAAGTCAGGTTCTGAGGGCAAGGGGTGTGCATGACGTCATGACGTCACACACACTGGGCACCCATAACCCAAGTTGGCTCCCCTGATTAATGATAGCATCAACACAGCACATTTAAAACCCGGAATGTATGGGACTTCCGGGGTGGCGCCATCGGTAATGGCTGCTTCCCTCTGATTCGGAGGGAACTGGCTCTACGGAAATTGGGTCTGTACCGCTACGGCGCAGCAGGGACCCTCCAAAAATCACAGGCGGGTGAAGCCTGTGACCGTGGGACTCAGCGGGCACCATTTGCGCCCCCCCCAATTGCAAAAGGAGCTCGGCAACGGGCTCCAGAGCGGAGCGGGGGTGGCGTTGTGCTGTGAGCTAATTGCTTCTTCCGTGGAGCGAAGCCGCGAAGCTGTTACCGGAGAGTGCTGCCTTTTTCCTGGGACAATTGGACTTTGAAAACAACTACCCGTGAGTAGGATTAAATTGGATCTAAAAGGGAAAAAAACAAACAAACGTCTAATTTGGCACTGAGCGGGAAGGTACAACCAGGAAGTCTGCCTTCCTTTCATTGTAAATAGATCAAAGCAAAGAGACTCTAAAGTGGAAACATTGAAAGTTGCTTGAAAAAAGAGCTAAATCTTAACATCTGGAAAGTGGCCCCCCCTCCGGACTGCAGGAGAGGAGGGGGAAAAGACTGAGCTGAATTTACCTGCAAAAAAGAAGGGGAAAAGGAAGCTAAAATTTATTGTTTAAAACCTGGAACGGACTGCCTTGAGATAAGGGTCGCGCAGTGGAAAGCTTATTTTTGACAGCTAATTCTGCAAAAGGGATACAGTGTTTCTGGACTTCTTTTGGCTTGAAAGTAACTGTTTAAGTGCACTGAGACTGTTGCTTTTAAAGTGAATTGGGGGACTTATAAAGACTATCTTTGTTCTCAAAAGTTGCAAGTTCTGGCTGTTACTGTGTCCCCCTAGAGGAAGCTGGACATTGTTACAATAACAACTGGCTTAGAGGAGAAAATTGGCTTCCAGGTTGTAGCAGGAACCCCCCCACCCCAATCATTCAGTTTGTACAAACTTCACACACTCACACTCACACACCACATATGCCACACTTCTGTTATAAATTCATAGAAAAATCAACCATACATTGGATTTGCACTGTTCCATTTTTATTTTACTCCATATGACAAGGACTATCAAAGGGGGGTGGCCTGGTTCTGGTCAGCCATAATCCCTTCACCATCCCAGCACATCCACCGGAGCCCTGCCCAGTTGCTATGCCAACCCTGATGGTCCTAGACAGAAGACCATCAAGATCACAAAGAACTTGCATATGGGAGTGGATTCAGCATGGACTGAAACAAAGGACAATGATCAGATCTTCCCTCTGGGGGCAGGAAACTGCCAACTCCCTTTGTCTCCTGGAAGTGACTCATGGGCCGGGGAAAGGAGGAACCAGCCAGGTGACAGGACACTCAGGTTACCACCACAACTCCTCCCTCAACCCCTCCTTTCTGTAATGTATGCATGATGTCAACCCCTCCTTTCTGTAATGTATGCATGATGTTTCTGGGGGTGGGCTTGACCTAGAGGAGGGAATTTCAAAAGTTTTTATAAGGTCTTGCACACCATCTTTCTGGGTCTTTCCTCTCTCCTGCAAGTGAGGGGAACACCCTGTTGCAACAGTCTTTTCTTCAATAAAGGCCAAGCCTACAGGCTGCTGTTTTGCTCCAAGTTATCCTGGTTGGTGTCTTTGTTTTTGTCCAAGGGAGCCCTCGGATTTTTCCGGTAACAAGGTGGAAAAGTCAAAATTAGAAACAGAACTGCTAGAACCCAAAACTAAGAATCTGTCAAGAATGTATAACTTGCTGTTGAAATGGAATACTCAGGATGAAACGGTGAAATCTGCTATGATTAAATGGGCACAAGATGTTGGACATAATATTATGTTTGCTGACTGGGAACAGTTATGGACCACAGGTATGAAGTTTACGGCATGTAATGCCTTAAGAGAGAATATTATGAAAATGACCCCAGTCAAGCTTGCAAAAATCTATCATTTGCCCGATAATAAATGCTGGAAATGTAAAGAAACTGAAGGTACATTCTTTCACCTTTGGTGGACGTGCCCAAAGATTAAGGCTTTCTGGGAAATTATTTATAATGAATTGAAAAAGGTATTTAAATATACCTTCCTGAAGAAACCAGAGGCCTTTCTTCTGGGCATTGTCGGCCAATTGGTGCCAAAGAAGGACAGAACTTTTTTTTATGTATGCTACAACAGCAGCAAGAATACTCATCGCAAAGTATTGGAAGACACAAGATCTACCCACTCTGGAAGAATGGCAGATGAAGGTGATTGACTACATGGAATTGGCAGAAATGACTGGCAGAATCCGAGACCAGGGAGAAGAGTCGGTGAAAGAAGACTGGAAGAAATTTAAAGACTACTTACAGAAATATTGTAAAATTAATGAATCTTAGAAGGATGTTGGATAGAAACTAAGTGGTTTCCAGCTGTAATGCTTTAAGAGATACGAAAAAAAGGTTCACAAATGGGTAAAAGCTTAATGGTAAGGATTTGCTGAACTAACAAACTGAACTGGAATACAAAAAAGGGAGGTATGAGGAGGTCCGGGGAAATAAGTGTAAGGAAGATATGCTATGGAAAATTAATGTGTTTTTAACTGTTCTTATTTTGTATGTTTCTTTTTATTTTTCATTTCTTTGTTATATTTTCTTGTATTTTTACTTTTTGTTTTTGTATAATTCTTGTATTTTTTGAAATTTTAATAAATATCATTAAAAAAATAAAAAATAAAACCTGGAATGTATGAAGAGGCACACAAATGCACTGTGGGTGTGGGCAGTAGATAACTACAGTGGTACTTCGGGTTAAGAACTGAATTCGTTCTGGAGGTCTGTTCTTAACCTGAAACTGTTCTTAACCTGAGGTACCACTTTAGCTAATAGGGCCTCCCGCTGTCGCCGTGCCACTGCAGCACGATTTCTGTTCTCATCCTGAAGCAAAGTTCTTAACCCAAGGTACTATTTCTGGGTTAGCGGAGTCTGTAACATGAAGCGTCTGTAACCTGAAGTGTCTGTAACCCAAGGTACCACTGTATTGTATTAGCTGTACTTACCACATGATCAGAAATAACCTGCTCTTTGCTCTATTAGCAATGGAGTGTACAATATTTGTTCTGAGCAAATCTTGAAATGATTTTACACATTATGTACCCCCCCCACACACAAATAAGGTGGCTTTGAGATTCACTCACTATGCAAGCAAATAAATTCATAGGACGGGATATGCTATTCATTCAATTAATAAAATTTATATACCACTTGATTGTAAAAAGCCTCAAAGCGGTTTACGGAGAAGAATAAAACAATGAGATAATCAGCAAAAACAGTAAAAATGCAACTGTTTAGAACAAAATTAAAATCAATGATAAACTAAAAACCAGATTAAAGCACAGGTCAAGTTTATACATACTGTATCTGGATATGCTTAGCCAAACAAAAAAGTACATGTATTATATGCATGCCTGTAGCAAACCAGCATCTATTAGGATCAGAACAATCTTGGGAATTTTGGATCCAACTAACGTTTACATTTTTAAAAAAGCCCTACTAACAGAGCATCCAAAGGCATTACCATTTAGTACTGAAACGAGATGAGCGCTGCACCCCATAGTCGCCTTTGACTGAACTTAACTGTCCAGGGGTCCTTTATCTTTACCTTTTACCTTTACTGTGTTCAGCAACTATTTTAATTGGAGGCAGATGGATGGAAGAAATGAGGAATAGCAGGCCCAGGTCGCTGCCCTTAATTCGTACCTTTGTGTACGCCTCTTGCGTTGGCTTTGCGTAATCGTTTCTTTCCCATGTTGCAGGTATTAAAATTTTGACACTCCCAAAATGAACCCTTCCTTGTGTAGCATTGAACAAGTAGAAGGAAGCTTCAGTAATCATTTCCTAATAAGAGAACGAAAGGATAGGAAAGTGGATTAGCGAGAATCATTAGTTCATGCAAGGAGAAAAGTGTAAACTCATAAATCACTATGCAATCATCCAGTCAGACTGGAATGAAGCTTCGGAGGAGGGGGGAGGGTCATTGATTTGAGAAATAGTGAAGATTATGTTAACCCAGAAATTTTTAATTAATAATTTGTCCTATTCAGTTCTATTTTTCTAAAAAAAGAGGTCCTGAAGTTAGGAATGGTTTAAAGACCCCAAATGGCATGAAGATGGTTTGCGAAACAACATATTAAATGGCAGTATTTTATAACAAAGTACGGGATAAATAGCACACGTTGGATGATAAAAAGTCCCAGCGCTGGAAGTGCAAGGAGTGTACAGAGAACACAGACTAAAACAACCCATAATAAGCAGCTGCAGGGCTGAGGGAGACAGAAGAAATGCCAGAAAATGGCTTGGTAGTGATATGTGCATTCCTGAAATGCTTTGCTGCTTATGAAAACATTTTATGATAACTGAAAAGTGGCAAACCTTTTCCCCCCATCCTCATAGCTAAAGGTGAAGCTTTTGTGCTTCAAACTGCATAGAAATTCTGCCACAGAGAGCCAGGACACAAGGACTATTTTATCAATTTCACAACGCTTTCAAAGCAGTAGCTTTCATGCAGCGTGCGTGAAGCCAGATTCGAAATACACACTACACACAGCTTGTCTGGGCAATTATAATTGCCTTCATAATTTCACAACTGTAAACATGGGCTGAAGCAGCAAAAACAACCGGCTTCTGTTGCGGCAAGTTCACTCCCATTAAAACTAGACCTCTCCAGGCCACTCCTTAAATCCACCATCTTAATAGAAGGGTTCAAGCACCACAGTGTTGATATGGCAAGTCCATTCTACTAGGAAATCCAATGGGATTTCCAAACCAAGCTTGCCATTATCATGAAACATTTGGATTCACCTCACACGCATTCTTGAGCTGAGGAAATACAAATCTGTTCTCCTCACAATAAATATTGCTAATTCTAGAAGCATTCTGTACAATGTGGTCCTATGCATATGTTTACTCCAAAGGAGGACTTGATCTGATGGGGTTGACTTCTTAGTGTGTTCAGGACTGCATTCTTAACTACTTCTTCGCAGCCCTTCCTTGACACATTGTCTGGAGGCGGTTGGAGGATGGATGGAGGATAATGGATTGGGGTTGAATCCCGACAAGACAGAAGTACTGTTTTGAGGGGGCAGGGGGGCAGGCAGTTGTGGGGGACTGCCTGGTCCTGAATGGGGTAACTGTGCCCCTGATGGACCAGATGCGCAGCCTGGGAGTCATTTTGGACTCACAGCTGTCCATGAAGGTGCAGGTCAATTCTGTGTCTAGAGCAGCTGTCTACCAGCTCCATCTGGTACACAGGCTGAGACCCTGCCTGCCCGCAGACTGTCTCGCCAGAGTGGTGCATGCTCTGGTTATCTCCCGCTTGGACTACTGCAATGTGCTCTACATGGGGCTACCCTTGAAGGTGACTCGGAAACTACAACTAATCTAGAATGTGGCAGCTAGACTGGTGACTGGGAGCGGCCACCGAGACCACATAACACCAGTCCTGAGAGATCTGCATTGGCTCCCAGTATGTTTCCAAGCACAATTCAAAGTGTTGATGCTGACCTTTAAAGCCCTAAATGGCCTTGGTCCTGTATACCTGAAGGAGCGTCTCCACCCCCATCGTTCTGCCCGGACACTGAGATCCAGCTCTGAGAGCTTTCTGGTGGTTGCCTCACTGCAAGAATTGAAGCTACAGGGAACCAAGGAGAGGCCTTTCTCAGCAGTGGAGCCCTCCTTGTGGAACACTTTCCCTTCAGGATGTCAAGGAGATAAAGAACTACACAACTTTTAGAAGACATCTGAAGTCAGCCCTGTCTCGATAAGTTTTTAATGTTTGATGTTTGATTGTGTGTGTTTTTTCTGGTAGCCGCCCAGAGTGGCTGGGGCAACCCAGCCATATGGGTGGAGTATAAATAATAAATTTATTTATTTATTTATTTATTTATTTATGTGGCTTGCTATAGTTGCTAAACAGTAATGCTAGAAGAGATTGGCATAAAAGCACCATTTCTCCAGTTAGGAGGAGGCTATTCCCATGGGCACAGGGGATATGTGGGGGAACAACTTTGCATTTCTCATCTCACTGGCAATAGATTTATCAGCATCCAAGGATCACAGTCTATGACTTCCTGAAATTGAAAGTAGGGTTGCAAGTCCCTGCCTGTCTGGAACCAGTTACATCAGGGAAGGAGCCAGGAGGGAGGAGTGGAGCAGGAAGTTGTAGGAGCTGAACGAACAAGCTGTGGGAAGTAACACGTAGTTTGCAGAGCCCTGGGCAGGTATATCCAATGACCTTTCTCACCCAGATCCAGAAGATCCGGTGAATTCTGAAAGAGGTGCAACTTCATAATTTTCAGGGTGTGCTGCAGTGAAGTCTGGCACAGAAAGTCCCTTAATTCCTGACCGCTGGAAGCAGAGACCAGATCCAGTGCAGATGTACAGCAAAAAAGAGGGGGAACACTGTCAGATTTTAAATCCATAACTATAGGGGATCAGGATCCCAAACATTATTCTTTACTATTAAATATATCTGGATTTAAGATTACCGTTCAGTTTCTGGCAGCTATTTGACAGGCAGAAATGGTTCGTCGCCCTAGGGGTAACTAGGGTTAGGACAGCAGCCAGATCTGCCTAGAGATAGAGCATGCAAAAGGAGGTCAGTAGTGCCCCCAGGGCCAGATTTAGGTTTGATGAGGCCCTAAGCTACTGAAGATAAAGGTAAAGGTACCCCTGACTATTAGGCCGACTCTGGGGTTGCGGGGCTCATCTCGCTTTATTGGCCGAGGGAGCCGGTGTACAGCTTCCGGGTCATGTGGCCAGCATGACTAAGCCGCTTCTGGCGAACCAGAGCAGCGCATGGAAATGCCGTTTACCTTCCCGCCAGAGCGGTATCCATTTATCTACTTGCACTTTGACGTGCTTTCGAACTGCTAGGTTGGCAGGAGCAGGGACCGAGCAATGGGAGCTCACCCCGTCGTGGGGATTCGAACCGCTGACCTTCTGATCGGCAAGTCCTAGGCTCTGTGGTTTAACCCACAGCGCCACCCACATCCCTTACTGAAGGTAATGGGGCCCTTTATATTCAGCTGTCCTTTGTCAACATCAAATTGTCACAGTTTTTTGTGTTGAATTTATGCTATATGGTAATTTACAGACCTAACTGGGGGAGCCCCTAAGCTATAGCTTGTTTAGCTTATACGTAAATCCGGCACTGAATGCTTGGTCAGGAGCAGCAGCCATCCTTCGGAGAGGCAGGCTGCCTTCTGTCTTAGGTTCCAACTGCATTTATTGAGACTAAAGTACTGTACCCGTTTACGAACTATGCGCCCAAAGTCAGCATCAGCGGAAGCCAACAGGGCCGTTCTGTAGTGCCTGGGGTATATACTCGCTAAAGGAGCATTAGGCAGAATAAGAGCTGTTGACAGTGACACCACCTTACATAGATGAAGGAAGATACTTCTCCCCCCAATACCAGCTGAATGAAAGGATTCAAACAAGCAAGCAGTGGATCTAACGACCTTTGTTCTTTCAAAGTGCACCTTCAGATCACAGCGAGCATCCTTGGGATTCCACACTTTCCTCCGTGAATGCTTTGGATCTGATCAATACGAGGGTAGCTGTAGCTCTTGCTGAGCATGGAAATGAGAAAAATACTTTGCAAAAGGCGCAGAGGAACAAATGTGTTCAGGAACACCACATGTTTGTGGAAGATGCCTCGACGTGCAGCCACGGAACAGAATTTGAAAGAACAGATGCATGAGTACATTTTGCGTAAAGGCGCAAAGGGAGGTCTATGCGACACCACGAGCACCGTGACCAACTCCTTGGGGGGGGGTTGTGCAACTGGTGGGTTTCACATAGAAAAATCCCCCTGAACGCATTAAACCATTGATAGTCGCGAAATTGGCACAGACAACCTGCCACCTTTTTATAGCATTAGAGCTGTGTTTTGCAAACAAAAAATATTTGCACCCTTGCAAGTGAAGACTCGTGCGGAGTTCAGAAAAGACAGGGAGACAATAGAAGCATCTTCAATGTATTCAGTCGTGCCCGCTGGTAAACTAAGAGGGGCAGGGGCAGGCAAAATCTGAAGCACCAAGGCGCAAAGGCAATCCAGGTGGCGATACATAACCGCAACGCGGAAGATGTGCGTGATGCCAAAGTGGTAAAATGACAATCGTAGGCAGGCAGAGCCATCAGGACTTAGCTGCGATGCCTGCATTGCGGGGTCGGGGCGGGGGGTTGGACTGGATGACCTTGCGGGTCCCTTCCCCCTCGGGTCCGCTTCCCATCACCAGATGCGCGAAGGGTCCATTGGCAACAGCGCCGGTTGCCTCCTCCCTTCATCTTTTACCTTAAGGCTGGAGACGATTTTCGCCTCTTGGGGGACGGAGGGGTGAATGGCGACCAGCAGCCCCTGGTAAGCGCTGCCCTTCAGCGTCGCGGCGGTGACCCCCCCTCCGAGGAGCTGCAGGAGGGCGAGACCCACGCTCAGCCCCAGCAGCCCCACGGGGCCGGCCCCCGCGTCGCTTTTTCTGGCCATCCTTTTCTGGAGGAGCACGTCGGAAGTCCGCAGCGCTTCCCTCGCAAGACAACGACGCGCCGCAGGTTTTGTTGCAGCTGCGCGCAACGATCTGGAGATTGCAAAAACGAGGCGCGTCGTATGGAGACGGGATTTGTGTTCTGTGGTTTTGTTTTTTTGTCTTCCCTCCCCCGCGGGCGCTTCGTATTTCTTCACCTTCTCTCACTTCAGCTGCTTCTCGAGATCGGGAAAATGGAGAGTTTCTCTTGCGCATGGGTTGTTCTCCCTTTCAGACGGGACGCAACTTCTTCTGAAATCGCAGCCCTCATCCCAAGTTGCGCTCGCCTCTCCCGGAGAAAAGTCGTGCATGGGCGCAAGGGAAGCTGATAGATCGGGTATGTGCCCCCTGACTGGACGGCCTTAAAGCAGATAGTCCCCTAGCGAGGGTGGAAGACAGAATGCGCATCTTCCTGGCACCTTGGCAGCTGTAATACCACGTCGAGCAGAATTACTTATATTTAAACAAGTTTAATCGTCCTTTTGGGCTGCTTGTCCCAGGTGGCTTTTACAATCAGAAAGCATAAACGTAGCATGAGTGGCAGTATAATACATATATATGTATAGATTGTGGACTTTCCTTCCTTGGAGGTTTTTAAGCAGAGGTTGGATGGCCATCTGTCGTGGATTTCTGAATTGCAGGGGGCTGGACTAGATGACTCTTGGGGTCCCTTCCAACTCTACCGTTCTATGATTCTATGTTAAAAAGCTCAGCATAACCAAAGTAGCCAAATGCCCTTAAAGACCCTGAGATGCCACTTCAAAAGTCTTGGAGGAACATGCTATTCCTGAGTGTGCTATTGCAGAGCTTTGGAGGGTCACTACAAAAAAAGGAGTTGTACGCAGACCCTTTGGTGTGGGTTTAAACAGGCAACAGTTGTAGCTCCTCTGGGAGTATTGTGTGCCATAGAGCAGGTTTGAAGAGCTGGCAGCCTTCCAGATGTTGTTAAGACTAGGTAAAGGTAAAGGGACCCCTGACCGTTAGGTCCAGGAGCGGACAACTAGGGTTGCGGCGCTCATCTTGCTTTACTGGCTGAGGGAGCCGGCGTACATCTTCCGGGTCATGGGGCCAGCATGACTAAGCCGCTTCTGGCGAACCAGAGCAGCGCTGGAGCTGTACCTATTTATCTACTTGCACTGGCGTGCTTTCGAACTGCTAGGTTGGCAGGAGCAGGGACCGAGCAACAGGAGCTCACCCCATCGCAGAGATTTGAACCGCCGAACTTCTGATCGGCAAGCCCTAGGCTCTGTGGTTTAGACCACAGCGCCACCCGTGTCCCTTATTGTTAAGACTACAACTCCCATAATTCCAGACCATTATGGCTGGGACTGATGGGAGCTGGCATCTTCCAGAGGTTCCCCATCTTTTCCCTGGGGGAATGTTGCTACACATAGAAACCTACACCCAAAAGTCTGTGCAAGGCTCTTTAGCCGTAACCTGTGTGTGTGCATGTGTGTGTGTGTGTGTGTGTGTGTGTGTTTGGTAGCAGCCCCAGCTAAAACTGGGCCTGCTAACAGTAGCAACAGAAATTCCTGCCCCCAAGGAATTTGCAAGTTAACATTCAATTTGGGGCAGCGGTAGAGAGGAGCGGAAGAAGTTTAAGTTCAGTTAGATTCCAGGAAGGGTTGACGATTGAAGTGCTGTGGCAAAGGTTCTATTGGAAAGTTGGGTTTTTGAGGCGGATCTGAAGGAAGAGATGGAAGTGTTCCTGGAGAGAGGTTGGGGTGTGTGTGTAAGAGAGAGAGAGAGAGAGAAAGGGTGCATGAGAGCTTCAGCCAGTTGTGATGGGGTTAATTTGCTGCAGCCCATTTACGAATTGCTTCATATGAAACACCTGAAAGCAATTTAAGAAACACTACAATAAAACAAGGGACGCGGGTGGCACTGTGGGTTAAACCACAGAGCCTAGGACTTGCCGATCAGAAGCGGTTCGAATCCCAGCGACGGGGTGAGCTCCTGTTGCTCAGTCCCTTGCTCCTGCCAACCTAGCAGTTCGAAAGCACGTCAAGTGCAAGTAGATAAATAGGTACCACTCCAGCGGGAAGGTAAACGGCGTTTCCATGCGCTGCTCTGGTTCGCCAGAAGCGGCTTAGTCATGCTGGCCACATGACCCGGAAGCTGTACGCCGGCTCCCTCGGCCAATAAAGCGAGATGAGTGCCGCAACCCCAGAGTTGGTCACAACTGGACCTAATGGTCAGGGGTCCCTTTACCTTTACCTTACAATAAAACAACTATAAAATGATTTCCACATATTTAAAATAATTTCACATATGAAAACAATTCTAAAGATCAGACCTCCCAATGAGATTTATCGGCTGCAAAGAACATTGTGATCACCATGCTATGGTGCTGGTGGTGCTACAATTCTATGATTCTAAAGAACCAAGATGGGGGGGGGGAGGTTTAGGTTGGAAGGCTGAAGATTACAGGCTGGGGGCAAGGCAATGAAGGGCTTTGAAAATAATAAACAAGGTGTTTGTGCTACAAATGACAGCAAGCAGGAAGTTATAATTAAATGAATTATTTCAGTGACAAGAAGGCTGCTGTAGCAGTCAAGGCAGGAGACAGGTGAAGAACAGGATATGGTGGCATTTCTTACTGTTTAGAAGATTTGTTGCATCTCCAAGTCACTTTTCTCAAAATTGTTGACAGCCTTCCTGATCCGGCCGTCCCACCTGGCCTTTTTTCTTTTGCTGCAGATGCCTCTTGAAAAGCTAAATGTACAATCCTGTGTGCGCTTACCTAGGAGTAAGTCTCAGTGTGGGACTTAACTTTTGAGTAGCCATGCACAGAATCAGGCTGCGCATGAACTGTCCGCCACAGCAGAGCTGCATTTTCTGAGAAAACCCAACACTACCAGGCCCTGGCTATTAGGTAATACAATATAATCAAATGCACTTTTTTAAAAAACCTACTCTCTCTTGCAGATTTGCTCCAGTGACTGGTCTACTTTGCAGTGCTTCTACTGGTCCAGCAGTCAGGGAGATGGCAGGAATCTTATGGTTGAACATCTTCAGATTGGGCAAATGATTAGCATTGCTTGCTATTCCTTTGTGTCTTCAAACCTAGATTAGCTAGGGAAGTTTATGATCTCTGTACCTTGACAAAACAAAAGGCTACAATCCACACACCCATATCGCGCTGTGGGAGGGTTGGGTTGAGCAGCAATACCCAGCAGGTGAAGGTAAAGGACCCCTGACCGTTAAGTCCAGTTGCAGACGACTCTGGGGTTGTGGCTCTCATCTCGCTTTACTGGCCGAGGGAGCCGGCGTTGGCCGAGGGAGCCGGCGTTTTGTCTGCAGACAGTTTTTCTGGGTCATGTGGCCAGCATGACTAAGCCACTTCTAGTGAAACCGGAGCAGCGCACGGAAATGCCGTTTACCTTCCCGCCGGAGCGGTGCCTATCTACTTGCACTTTGACGTGTTTTTGAACTGCTAGGTTGGCAGGAGCTGGGACTGAGCAACGGGAGCTCACCCCGTCGTGGGGATTCGAACCGCCGACCTTCTGATCGGCAAGCCCTAGGCTCTGTGGTTTAACCCACAGCGCCACCTGTGTCCCTAATGCCCAGCAGAAAGCCCCCCACCCAAATGGGTCATTCTGAAGGCAGGGCTGACCTGACCTAGGATCTGATAGTTCCTGAGTTACTATCACAGCTTGCATTGACCATTGCTGGACCTTATCAGTAGTCTCCCTGCCACACCTGCTTGGTGCTGTGAGTGGCAAAAGTGCAGACATGGTGGTTGCTCTCCAGAGACTCGGCAGTTGCAGGAATTTTGGGTTGCTCTGTGCTTGCGCTAACTCATCAGCATGGAACAAAACCTGAACTGTCAGCAAACCCAGGTAAACCCTGGCATCTGGCAAGTCTAGGCTTGAACCAGACACTGAAGAGAGGATGAGTAATCTCTTTGCTACTTGCTGTAAAAGGAAACACTGTTCTAGCATTAATGTTTTCGAAATATTTTAGAACTGCAATGCATATTCTATATTATTATTATCCTCCCTGTTATTGATTAAAACACACACACATTAAACAGTATTTTTATTTGCAAAACAATTATTCTGAGGGGCATTTTGCCGAGTGCTAGGATCATTGCACCATTTTTCTCCCTGAGGCATGCAATGGGTTCATCGAGAGCAAGAAACACCCATAAGCCCTTCCTGAATATGCAAATGAATAACGATGGGCCAACTATTTGTATTATACTACATGATTATTTCAGCCAGTGATATACAGTGTGTTTATCCATGTTTAGGGTGCTGTTGTTGCTTTTCTTGACAGTGTGCATTTGCAACCTTAATTTGGGGCAGGGAGGAGATTAAAATGTATAATTATTTTATGAAGCTTCACTGCAAACAACTTACCGGTATATAGGAAGAAAGAGATCAGATTAGGGAGGAACCTAATTGCTTAGCAGAAGCCGGCAAGAATTCCAGTAGCTGACTATTTGCTTTGGGGAGTATGTGACATTGGGAGTTAATTTGGCAGGCACTTTGTCTTTATGCAACAGTTACGGAAACCAGTGCCTCTGGAATCAGAGCAGCCAATGTCACATACAAATTGCAGACTGTGCACGGATAATATATAAAAATTAAGTTTCTGCTAGGCACTGGAAGCAGAGAATGCTCTCGAGAGAACACGACTGCCAAAATTAAAACAACGGACAAAGAGCTGCTTTGGAGTTTCCTGTTTCCTAAATCGTACCTGAATGAAGATGATTTTAACAGCGTTTGATAAGGATCTGAAGAATGCAGCGACACATTATAATGCAGAGTATTTGAAAGAATTTGTTTCTTAAAATACTTAAACAGAAGCTTTGGCAAACAAACTACCCCTCCCCCATAAAAACATACAATTAGGTTGCAGAAATTAGGAACGTTTGGCAAGAAACAAGAGTAGATTTGCATCTGAAAGGATGTGTTTACAAGCTGGGAATTGCAGGTGGACAGTGTTAAAGAGGCAGGTTTTGGGGGGTCAAAGCTGGTTCGGTCACACGGGTGTGAAGCCTTGGGCATGCCACTGGGGGGCGCCACAGCTATGATTTAGAATGAAGTGCCAGAGAGGCAGAGGGAAGCTGAAATTTGAGACCACTAGCAGAATGCTGTTGTGCTGATGTTGAGCTTGCAGGCTTCCCACCGGCATCTGATTGGCCCTGGTGAGAACAGGATCCTAGACTAGATGGGCAGGATCCAGCAGGCTTTTCTTCTGCTATGTTAGCTCACGTCCATTAATATAGCATTCATCTGTGTTTAAATCTAAAAAGCAACACATATAAATCTGTATTAGCCCTCCAGATGTCCAAAGAGGTATACATGGAATAGGCATTTATATATAAAAAAGATAGGTTCAAATTGTACCAAGGATGGTGAGGAATATTGGATAATGAACAAGGGTACCCAGGCTCGAAATAGAAATCTCCTGGCAACCCTAAAGAGCATCCACGTTAGTTGCCCTGCTGTTAATCTGCATCCTGTAGGAATAGTGTTTAAAAGACCACCAACACCTGCAAGTATATAACATTTTGCCAGTACAAAATTTATACAGATGGCAACTTAAGACCAAAATGAATCTATCCCTGGATGTGCCTACATCATTTGCCTTAACGAGGCCTTTTCAGCATTGCATTTTTAAAAAAATCCTCAGATGTGTTCCTAAGCCCCACAATTAACATAGCATTCCTAAGATATCAGCACACTGCTATAGATGCAGTCTTGCTTGGAAATGCAATGCTGTACGTGCCAATTCAAGAAAAAGGTCACACTGAGTTCATGGGGCCTAATCCCAAGTAAATGTGTATAGGATTTCAGACTTACCAAATACAGATATTCCGGTTTGTTTGTGGACCATTCAATTCTCTTACTATGTGATTCCTGAGGGAGTCCTTGCCGACTTAGTTTCCTACTCGGCAGATATTTTGCAACAGAGGCAAAATTTTGCCTGATCCTTTGCCCAAATATTCTCTTGTCTGGAATCCGATCCTCTCTGTTTAGTTTCTTTCATTGTTCCTTCCGTGTCCTGCTGCAACTCAAATTAGGTTTCAGAACAGAGACTGACAAGCAGCTTGCCTCTTGACAGAAACTGCTAAGAAACATCTGGCTCCTTGAAACTGGTTCCCTTGGATCATGTGAAAGAGTGCCGCAGATCATGGTTGCCGGCAGAAATGGCTTTCAAAGGGATTAAAGAAGCTGTTGGAGGACCTCTGCCTTCAGCCTCAAAATACCAGTCGCTGGGGAGCAACAGCAGGGGATGGGTACTGCATTTGTACCGTGGTTATGGGCTTCCCATCTGGCTAGCCACTGTGAGAAACAGGATCGTCTTGGTCTGATCCAGCACAGCTTATGTTCTCACTAGGGTCTACTGCAGGTGTCCAGACCACACTTGGGGAACCACTGAGCTAACTGGTTTTTCGTTATTTTAGATGCAAACTTGCAGCGTGAGCTGAATCAACATTCAGCAATTATGTCATTAATAGATAAAGAGCAATACAGTGGTACCTCTGGCTGAGAATGGGATCCGTTCCAGAGGCCCATTCGCAACATGAAAAGAACGCACCCTGTGTCTGCGCATGCGCAGGGTGCGATTTGCCGCTCTTGCGCATGCACTTAACGTCATTTTGCACGTCTGAGCATGCATGAGCGGCGAAACCCAGAAGTAACCCTTTCCGGTACTTCCAGGTCGCCGCGGGACGTATCCTGAAAGAACATAATATGAAGTGGATGTAACATGAGGTATGATTGTACTGGAATAGCAGGGGCAGTTTAATAAGGCATGTTTAAAGGATCATGCACAGGAATAGCTTTGGAATATTTTGAGCTATAGCTTACCAATCCCAAGGACAAGTGTGTGTGCACACAGACATATGCACACATGTACATAGCTGCAGCTTCCATACCCCTCATGTGCCCCTTATCTTGTGCAAGTGCATGAAGGCTACACTGTGGGGATCCCTGTAAGGGTGAAGTGTGGGGAACTGGGAGGAGGACATCTTTTTCTCTTGACACCTCCTGCTCGCCCAATCTTTCTCTCTTTTTGCAGCCTTGCCCCCAGGTGTGCCAATAAAATATTGGGGGGGGGACGACAGGTAAGCCCCACCCCGCATAATTAATTACTGGTATATGACGCAGTGCACACACACATCATTGAAAGTACTCAATTAACTGAGGGTCTGCCCCCTAGCCTCCGTAATGTCCTCTTTCTTGGGGGTATTTTTTTCCTGTGAATTCCCAAAAGAAGCTCAACTTCAGGGTGTGATCTTCTACCTTCTCGAAATCCTGGCTATGCCCATGCACACAAATGCCCATCAACGGGGGGGGGGGGGCCGCCAATATTTTATGGGGGGGCAAGTCTCCTCGGCCGCTAGGAATTGCAAACCCTCCAAGTGTCCCTATTTTCCAGGGACATTTCCAGGCTGATTTAGAGAAGCCGTCCCGGTTTCTGATTTGATCCACTTTTCCTTAGACTGTCCCTATTTTCATTGGAGAAATGTTGGGAGGGTATGGAGTTATCCGACCCGCCAAGTCGTCTGAAGGCAATCTTGTATAGGGAAGGGTTTTTAAAAAATCTTTTTGTATATGCTGGAAGCTGCCCACTGTGGCTGGGGCAACCCAATAAGATGTGTGGGTATAAATAGAAAAATTATCCATTATGGAATGGGATGTCCCAAAGCTCAACCATTTGGGTTTGTTCCCAAAAGCCGGACAATTTTGGCAGTTTCTTAAAAAAGGAAATTTACTTTTTGGAACATGGCAACCCTATACACAAGTCCCACTTGGGATGAGACTTGGTTTTTTTTGGGGGGGGGAGGGTGTCAGAAGAACGCTGGCGCCTACGCTAGCAAAAGGCAACCTGCATTTTCCTAGAGTATTTCCCTGTGGAGATGGCAGAATTGAGTCAGTGGCCCACATGCAGATTCTGGCTTGCGCTCTTTATGAAGATTTGAGGAGTGAGCAGGGCTGGATTTAGGTTTGATGAGGCCCTAAGCTACTGAAGGTAACGGGGCCCTTTCTATGTCCAGCTGTCCTTTCTCAACAACAAATTGTTGCTGTTTTTTGTGTTGATTATATGCTATATGTTGATTATATGCTATATGTTGATTATATGCTATATGGTAACTTATGAACCTAATAGATATCTAAAGCCATTTGCACGTGTTTCCATGCAACCAGTCCATGCAGAATGTAGGCACCCTATACAGTGGATGCTCAGGTTGCGAACGTGATCCATGCAGGAGGCACGTTCGCAACCCGCAGCGCCACATCTGCGCACGCGCGGGTTGCAATTCGGCGCTTCTGCCCATGCGCAAAGTGCAATTTAGTGCTTCTGCGCGAGCACCAAAACCCAAAAGTAACCCGTTCCAGTACTTCCGGCTTTCGGCACGTCTGTAACCTGAAAAAACGCAACCCGAAGCGTCTGTAACCCGAGGTATGCCTGTATATAGAAATGAGCAAACCAGTGATATTTTAGGGAGCAGGCTAGTCCCATTACTCACATCATAGGAGCCTACACAACATAAAACACTGCTGCTGTATGTAGGTTTTATTTTATTTGTTTGTTATCTTATATTTTGGAAATGCACATCCAGGTTTTTTTTTCCTTTAATTTTTTTGGGGGGCCCCAAGAGAGTGGGGCCCTAAGCTCTAGCTTGTTTAGCTTATACGTAAATCCGGCACTGCCTGCCCCCAAGAGGCGCCCGGTTTCCCCTCTCCTCCTTCCCGCCTTTCGAGAGGCCAATCCTCGCGCCACAGCCGGCGCGCAGCGGAGCCCAGCCCCGAAGGCGGAGCGAGGGCTCCCCGGAGGAGCCGGTCGGCGTCGGCGCTGCTGCTGCTGCTCTGCTGTTCCGGCGGCGCCTCGCGGGGTTGCCTGGCGAGGGCGGGAAGCGCCGCTCCGTTGTCCCGCCCGAGAGCGCGGCGTCGGCGAGCTGCAGAAGAAGAAAGGCGGCCATGGAAGGCAGCGGGGTAATGGCGGCGCTCGGGGGAAAGGGGTCGGGAAGCGGGAAACGCCGCTCTGCGAGGGGACGAGGCGGGTCGAGGCCCAGAGCCGCCTGTCATCGGTGACCTTGCAAGGCGTTGCCAACGCCTGCGGTCTCCGCCGGTGGCCGGCCTCTTCGTCCGGCGCCCGGAAAGCAGCGTGCCTCTGAGCGCGTGCAGAGCGCTCCCCGCCAGCGCGCTTGCTGCGGGGCGGCCGCGCCTCCTCCCTCGGGGCGGGGAGCGGAGGGAAAACGCTTCCACGGGTCTAAATTTTAGAAATGGATCCCCACCCCCTGCGCTCGAGATATTCCCCTTCTTCAAGGTTTAATTCTTGCTCTCGAGTAGCAGAGGTGCCAGTCTTGGAGACTCAAATAGCTATATAGCTGCAAATAAAACGTTGTCAAGGCGCGTTATACCAAAGAGACGCCAGGTGGCGGTAGTGAGCCACGGTAAATTCAAGACATTTTTCAAAACTTTTTTTTTTAAAGCATTTTTGCAACTTATTTTTACACGTGTCTAGATTCCAGCTTGGGCGGCTGCAAGGCGAATGGTGCGTGCCTCTTCGAGCTTGCAGTTTCTTGCTCCGAACTTGCCTTGCCAGTTGTGGCCGTAGAGGCGCGCACACACCTCTGAATCTCACTTAATGCTATCGTGTGCAGAAGCTGCACCAGCGTACTTCACATTGAGTTTGCATCCTCATAACTCCATTTCGACTCTGGCAAGAAATCATGTCAGTGGATACTGGAGCGTAATCAAACTAAATTAGGAGAGGTTGTCGTCCCTGTCCCCCCGGCAAATGTAATATATTTTGTACAAGGGCCCACAATGAAGAGTGGTTGTCATGGCTTGGGGCAAGCCAGGATGTATGTATGTATTAGAGGACTGGGTGGGATTGCTTTTGGGTATTGCGTGTCATTGGTTTAATCTGAACCTGAGCTCAGTTGCCATTCTTCCCAGCTGGAGGCTTCAGAAGAAGTCTTGAGCCCCTCTGTCTGGTTATAAGTTAACAAATGACCCCCAATAAAATCGTTATCTGTGTGTTTTTCCTCAGATCCTCCACGCTACCCCAGTTACTAGGAAGGATTGTCAGGTACATGATAATCAGAAGGGTGGCAATCGCCCTGTGGAATTCTAATAATAGGGGTGTGATCATTGCGTGGCACCCAGGAAGCCCCAGAGAATTTTAGAATGAGGGTGTGTGACCTGGAAGGCCATTTAGTTCAGTCCCTTGCTCAGTGCAGGAACTTTTAGGATGTGCAGTGTGTTTCTGCTTATGCGATGCGTAGCCTTGGCTTTTTCTCCAGTGACTGAATAGCATAAATAATAACAAAAAGCATAGTACAGTGGTACCTTGGTTTAAGAACAGCTTAGTTTATGAACAACTTGGATTAAGAATGCTGCAAACCTGGTACAAACCTGTTTTGGTTTGTGAACTTTGCCTTGGAAGCAGAACATGTTCCGCTTCCTGTTGAGTGTGTTCCATTTGTAAATTGAGTCCCCCGCTGCTATAGGAAAGCACGCCTTAGTTTAAGAACGCTTTGGTTTAAGAACGGACTTCCAGAACAGATTAAGTTCATAAACCAAGGTACCACTGTAATAGAAATAAACTCTACTTGGAATAATTGTGTGTTAGAATTTTTTGCAAATGCCTCATTTGCAACATGGCTTTTGCATCTCTAAACTTGGAAGACCTTAAAGAATTCAGTTTTGAATAATATTCTGTAAATGTGTGTGTTATTTTCAACAGATTACAAATACGCTAGTAAACAAAATTGTAGCACTTAGCTCAAGTGGAAATGTATTACAGTGGTGCCTCGCAAGATGAAATTAATCCGTTCAGCGAGTCTCTTCGTCTTGCGGTTTTTTTGTCTTGCGAAGCACAGCTATTAGCGGCTATTAACAGCTATTAACGGCTATTAACGGCTTAGCGGCTTTAAGAAAAAGGAAACAAACTCGCAAGAACTCGCAAGACGTTTCGTCTTGCGAAGCAAGTCCATAGGGAAATTTGTCTTGCGGAACGACTCAAAAAACGCAAAACCCTTTCGTCTAGCGAGTTTTTCGTCTTGCGAGGCATTCGTCTTGCGGGGCACCACTGTACTTTGACATTAAGAACTCCAGGGATTACTTAGTCATCTCTAAGGCTGCCCATGTACCTGGGGCTAAGAGTTCAGTAGGACTTAATTTCAAAGTGGACATGGCTAGGATTACTCTGTTAAACACTGACTTGAAACGGAGCGCCTTTGCTGCAACTGATACAAATTCAGGCAGCATTTAACTTGTGAACCCAGTAAAAATTCAGACACTCTCTACGCTCATACTTTATTTTTCAGAAAGAAAAGGAAGCACCACCATCCAGCCTGTATGAACAGAACAGTGATGGGTCGCATGACCATGTGCAGAGGGACCTTTCCTCTTCTTGCCGTTGCGAGGTAAGCTGTTAAAAGGAAGTTTGTTACTGAAATAGCTATGCCCCCCCCATTCCAAAGTTTGTCTCTGCAAACGGAGACAATATATTCTTAAATATTAAAGAATAAGACTGTTGTTATATCACAAACTAAAAAATGCACTCCTCCTGATTTTCCGTCTAAAGGAGGATGGGCGCAGTCTGAAGAGCAACTTTGGTTCACACAAGTAAACCAGAGTCAAATTTGTGCCTTCCCCACCCCACATTGAATGCGTTGTCAACATCGCAAACTGTTTTTGAAACTCCCCTCTATTCCAAAAGGAATTCATTGTGCCATATGTACAAACAAAATAGCAAACAGAATAGCAAACAGAAACTGATTTCACTGTTGTTTGGATGCTGTTCAGTATTCCTTAAAATTTGCTGATGTGATTAAACTCTGATACATTTCCCATGGTGTCTATTTTAAGTAATTTATTGCATTTAAAAATTCTTGTTTTGATAATGTAAGTCAGGGATGGAGGTCCTGCGTTGGACCACAACTCCCATAATCCCTGACTATTGGCTTTGCTGTCTGGGGCTGATGGGATTTGGAGTCCAACAACACTTGGAAGGCCACTGGTTCCCCATCCCTGATATAAGCAGCTGTGTTCTGTTTCTGAAACAGATGTATTTGTCTAGCAGCACGCATTTACTTAATGTTATATGGATGGTGTTTTTAGGAAACAAGACTTGTGCCATACCTAACTTCTGGGGAAGCAGAAAAACTTTGTTCAGTTATTCAGTCCTGTGATTTGAGTTTTAAGAGAGATCTTGAGACAGAAACATCCAGCCAACTTGGAAAGTATTTGAGTTCTCTAAGTGAAGAAGTGGACAGCTCAGATAATCATGTAAGATGTGCAGGAAATACAAACAGTATTAATATAAATCTTGATTTTATTTTATTTTTAAGTGAAAACGTTATTCAGCTAAATGTTAAATCACCTAAACCTAAAAACCTATATACGTTCATGGAACTATAGTTAACGGTATCCAAACAAGTCACGATTTAGAAACCCGTTTTAAACCATAGTTCCATGTCCCACTTTGTTTGGAGACCATCAACCATAGCTTCCTCATTTGGATTTAATATGCAACTGTGGTAAACCCAGTTTGTTTCCCCACTTTCACCAGCACAAAAGTTGTGGGTGGTGCACAAATCTCATTTGTATCCCAGCTTATTAAGATACTATTCATGAGAACCAAGGCAGGATGTTAATCTGGGGAGCCTTGAAAACAAATACACAGTTATGTGAAGGCTACGATGAGTGAAATTATAACTAATAATCTCCCTAAAAACCATTTCCTGCAGAGACAGATTCCTCTATCCTCCACTCTTTCCACTCCCTTTTAGCTGGCAGAATGTTCAACCCAACTGTCATTCTCTGCTCATTTTAGTTCCCCCTCCCACTTCACATTCCACCCACACCCACCCACCCCCGCTGAAATCCCCCACCCCCGCAAAAAAAACCACTGTAGCCTTCGGAGTTACTTGAGAACAACAAGATTAGTAACGGAAGCCATACTTCCCTGGAAGATATGTGGCCTTCACAGCTAATGCCCCCACACACACACACAATGTGGAAGGGTGAGATAAGCACTTCGTGGGATGAATTCCTTTTGCAAACTGCCCCCAGGAATATAATTGCAAAGCACTGTATAGCTGATTATAATATCTAAAACAAAACCACGCTCAGTTCACAAAAGGCAACTGGCCAGGAGGTCTGACGTGTGTCCTGGCTAAAGTGCATGCACCCGGAAACATTTCTCAGCATACTTTGCAATGCATTGATTTTTTATTTTTATTTTTACTGGGAGACGCTCAGGGTCCCCTTTGTCAGGTGGAGTGGTGTTGGAAAGGTTCCTTGCAGATAAATGGTACTGGTGCCATTCAAGGTGTTGCTTCACCAGTAATAAACATGTTCTCAGGCTGGGTGTGTCAAAGGTTGCAGTGGCTGAACACCATGAAAATGAGGTTGCACTTGCGTATAACACTAGGGCTTCTGAACTAGGATGCCTGTAATTTTTTAAGAAGCCAGCAGTTTAGATGTTTGAAATTAAACTACTAATAAAATTACTACTTGAAGGTATTATTTTTAAAATAAATAAAAATGAAACATTTATTCAAATGTTACAATACAGTTACAATAAATTTTCAATCACTATCCCGTCCACAGACACCTCTGTGATGATGGTGGCATTAAAATACCCTGTTCTTCAATAAAAGAGGAAAAGGGGAGATCAGATCATGTCAAAAGGTATCTTTTTTTGGAGATGCCTTTGATTAGTCGTTGATGGTATGTGAGGCGTTATAATAGAGCAATACTCAAGATGTTCCAGATGTTATTAACCCAAGCCTCTATTGGTATTTTAGAAGTTTCCTTCCATCATTGGGCAATAACTAGTCTAGCTCCTGTGAACAGGAAGGAAATTAATTCTTTAGATTTAATGTGTAGAATTTGGGGTCAAATCTAATGATAATAGGACAAGTGTCAAATTAGGAGGGATAGATTGGTTAGTGATTTTGGAGGTCAGATTAAAAAACTTTCCCCCCAAAGGCATGGACCATGGTAAACTCCCACCAAACGTGAAAATATTTCCCAACATAATGGTGAGCTTAAAGGATTTATCTTTGCAAGGTGTGTGGGGGTACAATGCCACTGAAATATAATTTTAAAGGAAACTTCCTGGAGGCGAGCCGAAATTGTTTTTCAAGATGGATTTTGTCATATTGATTCCCATGCTTTTTTGCTTACTGATTCCTATGTCGGGTTTCCTATCTCATTCGAATATCTTCCGCGTTTCTTACGAAGCTTTCTAATATCATACCATATATCACTGAGACTGCCCCTTTTGTGTCATGGCTAGGTCTGTTACTGATTCCAAAGGTGCCAAGAGTCTCAAATCCTCCCCGCTTTGTTCCAGATACTTTGCAAAAGTGCATAGTTGAGGTAAAGGTAAAGGGACCCCTGAGCGTTAAGTCCAGTCGTGGACAACTGGGGTTGCGGCGCTCATCTTGCTCTATAGGCAGAGGAGCCAGCGTTTGTCTTCAGACAGCTTCCAGGTCATGTGGCCAGCATGACTAAGCCGCTTCTGGTGAACCAGAGCAGCGCATGAAAACGCCATTTACCTTCCCACCGGAGTGGTACCTATTTATCTACTTGCACTTTGACGTGCTTTCAAACTGCTAGGTTGGCAGGAACAGAGACCAAGCAATGGGAGCTCACCCCGTCGTGGGGATTCGAACCGCCAACCTTCTGATCGGCAAGTCCTAGGCTCTGTGGTTTAGACCACAGCGCCACCCGCGTCCCATAGTTGATGTAGCCAGGACCATTTTATGCCTTTTGTCTTTGCCACCAGGTCCTCCTTTAAAATTGCTTTACTTTTTAACAAACAGATCTCTTAATTCCAGAGAAATGAATTGTTTCAAGATCTATGAGTTGATTATATTTGTCTTCATGTTTGCATCAGAAATTGTGCTGCTGTGGTGCGCTTAGCTGGAATGAAATATTCATGCCTTAATAGAGAAATTAAAATAATAATTTATTTGTCAGACAAATGATAGACACAGTGGTATATGGTTCTGGCTCTGCCCACTCCAGCCTGACATGCAGCACTTATATTTCCTCAGCCCAGCCTTGCTCCTCCTTTGGCTGCCTCTGTGTCCAGCCTGGTTGTTCTATTGGCTGTTTTGATAATCCTCAAAAGATACACACTTCCTATTACCTTTTATGGGGAGACAAAACTATATTTCTTCTATCCATAAATGCTGGACAAGTAGCCATATATCTTACATTTGCCTCGACAAAGACACCTTAATTACCAGATCACCTTTTGCCCCTGTTGTCCCTGCATTCCAAAGCAAATGACTAAACAGCTGGCTCATGGTGGCCAAATTTTGTCTAAACAAGGATCTTGGGTTCACGTTCTCACACACCATCAATGAAATAAGAATCTAACATAAAGTCTAACATTTTCTTACTCCTCAGTCTTTACTTAATTTACATTAAGCCAATAAATCTCATACATAACATGGTGTTTTTGAAGAAAGGCCTTTGCAAAGTAAAAAAGGAACTCAGTAAAGCAACCAAAATAAGCCTCTTCAGTTACACCCCCTTTCCCAATGACTGCTTTCCCCATTGCCCTTTAACTTTCTCAGTATACCTTGACCTTAGAATATGCTAGCATAGGTCTGATGGAGGCACATGTGTCTGTTAAACAATAAATCATAATATTTACAACTCTTAATTAGTGTTTTTGCAGCTTGGTTGGCATTCTGTAATATGCAGGTCAGTGTAACATTTGCTCCAACCTGTAATTCCTCTTGCAACTTTGGCTGTCTCCTGCTACTGCGCTATAAATCAGAAGGCATGTTCAGGAGAGCAGGAAGATAAACACCCGATACTTAGCCAGCTGGTTTCTGCCTGACATGGAACATACAAACATTTGCAAATATATCTTTAAGCTCATTTTAAAATACAGGCCTTGATCAGATGCCTCAATCTAGCAGAGGCATCAGTGCTGAAGGCCTTGAAGGTATTCTGAAATTTCCAGGCATTATTACAAACAGGAATTGTGTGCAGCCCTTGGATTTTGGTCTTCCACACACCCCTACACAACCTGGCCCGTCTTGTTGTACTGTATGACGTTTTAAGAGGACAGTACAATGCATGTAACAAGCTGAAACGTGGACTTGCTGTGTCTTATCGTGTCGATAGGAGGAGACAGAAATGTTAGAATCTCTGAAGTGCAAGTTTGCTATCCTGGATTGCATGCATTTTGATGCAGAGCTTTTTGATGCAGATGATTTGGTGGCTCTGTGTGTGTGTGAAAGAGAGAGAGAATAAGCAGTGAAGCCAAAACATTATTTTATAAGCTTCCAGAACAAGAATGCTTGAAGGAGAACTGGGGTTCATACGGCCGACTTGTGGATAAACACAGGACCAGGATGAAGGAAGCCTTGCCTTGCCTTACAGGGGAATCTGAGGAGAGTTCCTTGGAAGAAACACAGAGTGAAAGTGAAAGAGAAAGGTATGCTTTTAAGTTGAGTGGTGCTTGTAACGCAGCTCAGATATTTTACCCTAGAACATTTCCCTAAAGCTATTCATTTAGGGGAATGCCATGCAGTGCCAATTACAGTGGTACCTCGGGTTAAGTACTTAATTCGTTCCGGAGGTCCGTTCTTAACCTGAAATGGTTCTTAACCTGAAGCACCACTTCAGCTAATGGGGCTTCCCGCTGCCGCCACGCTGCCAGAGCACAATTTCTGTTCTCATTCTGAAGCAAAGTTCTTAACCCGAGGTAGTATTTCTGGATTAGCAGCATCTGTAACCTGAAGCGTCTGTAACCCGAGGTACCACTGTACTTCCAAACTAGAGCTATCTGAAACATGGGTTTAACATGTGTGCTGTTCCTACACGTTCTTACATTTTTTAAAAACTTTTTTTTTAAAGCACACAGAAGTTTTATTTAATACTCACCAATTTTCTGTTTGAGTCTCAAAACTTATTATCGTAAAACAAACCATAATTTGCATATATGTTTTGCAGTGTGCACACGTTCTGGCCAGCCCCTAACTTTCCATGGCTTCATATTGCATAGATGCCCTATGGATGCCCATGATACATGTTTACCCTAAGCAAAGTAAATGCCCTACGTGTGAAAAAGCATTAGGTGAAATGATGTACTAAGTCCTCGCGATTCACAAAAGGAAAGAACCACTGTGGAAGTCTCCAAGAGGATAATTAACTCTTACTTTTGATGGGACGTTAGGCTTTGTGTTAGTAAGTGTGCCCAGCCACTGGCTGAATTGCAGTTAGCATTTAAATTAAGGTTATACAGAGTAACACGGGCACAGTTTTTCCTAATAAACATTAGTCTTTTGTTTATAGGTTGTGGGAAGACACCATTCAGGACGAAGTTGCTTTTCAGAAAAAGCTCCACGAAGCAGAGTTGGCAATTGGTTCAGCAGAAATGTTCCTGCCGTCTTTTAAAGAAACTCTAACTAGAATTTCAAAGGTAAGTTTGCATTGACAATTACTGAATGATACTTGGTTGCAGTATGGCCTAAGAACAACAGAGTTCTGTTCTTGATACTGGATTTTCCTGAAGCCCACTGTGCTCAGTTCAGCAGAGAGCTGCCCCTGGGTTGGCAACTGGCAGAAAATATGTGCCCTTCCTTTGCATGAATGGAAGCATCTTTCTCTCATGCTATGACTTTGCTATATCCAAGCTTATGCTGTTTGCTGCTGAAACACAAAAACATTGACTGCCGTTATGCATACAGTTTGAAGAAGGAATAACAAGCTTTGAGTACTTTAAAGACTAACAAATACATTGTGGCAGAAGCTTTTGTGGACTTCATCAGATGCTCCATAATGCTGATGGCACAAGTTTTTGTAGACGATACGCCACAACAAAATTTGTTAGTCTTTAAGGTGCTGCAAGACTCTTTGCTGCAAAAGACTAACGCAGATACCCTTCTGGAAATTTTGAATCAGGTATGTTAAAATGATGTGTCTTGTGTCTAGCTGCAATTCAACCTGTGTCTGTAGACCAAGGGCTGGTGAATATTTTTCAGCTGCATTCTTATCTAAGCAACCTTCCTTGGGCCATGTGCTTAGTGGTGGATGAGGCCAGAGGGTAAAATCAGGTAAAGCAACAAAATTAAATTTTACCTTTGTGGAGTAATTCATATGAACACTCACACACCTTCACAGACACCCTCTATCCTCCATTCAGACGACCAGGCATCATCTGAGTGCAAGGACACATTCCCTTCAGACAAAACACTTGAGATGCAAGCATGGCCAGTGAGGGAGAGTTTTGGGGGCCAGATTGATAGGCCTGCAGAGCTGCCTTTGGACCTCTGGCCTGAGGTGTCCCAGCCTTGCTATCATCTCTGCTCCAGAACCAGCAGTGCTGCTTTGGTTTGGAGAAAAGCTAGTTACAGTGGTACCTTGGGTTACAGATGCTTCAGGTTACGGACGCTTCAGGTTACAGAGTCCGCTAACGCAGAAATAGTACCTCAGGTTAAGAACTTTGCTTCAGGATGAGAACAGAAATTGCGCAACAGCAGCACGGCAGCAGCAGGAGGCCCCATTAGCTAAAGTGGTGCTTCAGGTTAAGAACAGTTTCAGGTTAAGAACGGACCTCCGGAACGAATTAAGTTCTTAACCCAAGGTACCACTGTATTTGTGACAGGCGTCATAGCAAAATCGTTTCCTATCGTTTTGTATTTGTGATCGTTCTGTGTGTTCAAATGATGTAAAAGGTTTGTTTTATCAAAACGGTTCTGTTTTAAGGTTCTGAACAGTGTCACACTGGTTTGGGCAAAAAGAGGGTTTTCTTTTTTTACAAAACGACTTATCTGCGATTTAATATTTTTGTCAGGCTTGTTACGTTTCTGCAGCGGATATGATAAAGATTTCTATGCAAGAGGATTTACTGGTAATGGAGCTAGGGGCTCTCAAAAATATGAAGGGACTGTTACAGCAGCTACTTAGGTCAAGCAAGGAAAAAGAAGTAAGAGAACGTGCACAGAAACCACAACCAAGTATAGTATTTATCAACAACAAGTTTTAAGTATTTTTTTTCATTGTTTGAAGTAGAATTTTCAAAGAAGGAGGTGAATTCACAGAAAAATAAAATGAGATGATAATATATCAAGCAGTGTCCTGAGACAAGGGGGGCAAGCCCTTGCGTTTGTTGGCCCATCCCGATAAGTTTCTGTGTTGCTCTTTGTTTGTGTCTAGCCCAGGAACTGCTTTTGATTAGATGCTTTTATGAACAAGGTTTCTAAGTCTCTTGCTTTGTGCAGCAGAGCTGTAGCTCATTCTCCCAGACGGATTTGTCAGGTGGCCAAGAATCCATTCCCCTCGTGCGCAGGGGCAAACTACCATATTTTTTGCTCTATAAGACTCACTTTTTCCCTCCTAAAAAGTAAGGGGAAATGTGTGTGCGTCTTATGGAGCGAATGCAGGCTTCGCAGCTATCCCAGGAGCCAGAAAAGCAAGAGGGATTGCTGCTTTCACTGCGCAGCGATCCCTCTTGCTGTTCTGGCTTCTGAGATTCAGAATATTTTTTTTCTTGTTTTCCTCCTCCCAAAACTAGGTGTGTCTTGTGGGCTGGTGCATCTTACAGAGCGAAAAATACGGTAGATCCATCTTGCTGCCACCAAAAGATTCCCTGGGTTGCAGCAGATCTGTTTACAGACCAGAGCTGCACTTGCCTACTTAACAGCATCAGGTTTGGTTTGGTCTTCCTTGCCAGTTGATCTGGGTTTCGGCTTACCACTTAGCACAGCAGCCTGTAACCTCCCTGTTGGCAAGCAGTGTGCTCATGAAGAATGTCAATATGCAAGCATTTTCTTCACATAACTGCATATTGTACTTAAAATGCTTTGGCTTATGCTAACACCTGAATCCTGCACAATGTCGTCAGGACCCCATTATCAACTTTCCCTGGGCTGGAACACAACCTAGACAAACATCTTCTTATAAGAATTAAACCTTCAGTGCAGCAACGAAGTTGTTCCTGAACTGAAACAGGGCTGAGTTGATATCCACCTGTCCATTCTCTTGGCAGGAAATTTAGTATCTGATAACTTTTTAGAAAAAGATTTTCGTATATGTGGAGGGCTGTAGGTTGGGAGAGAGCGGGCAGGTCTCACATGCACACAAACAGAGGTCTTTTGAACAAGAGAAACTCTAATAATTTTAATTTTTAAATTATTATCTTATATTGGATATTGCCCATTGAATAGAATACTCCTTTAAACTATTACTTGGATAAGAAAAAATAAGTAGAAAATCTCTTCTCTCTCTCTCTCTTTTTAAAGATCAATTAATAAAATAGACTTTTGGGGCTTAAAAAAATGACCTCTAAACACATCAGATTTTAATTCACAAAGGAACTTTCTTATCTGCGCTTGTAGTTTTTTCTTTTCTTAGTTCTTAACTGTAAATAGAGGGCATGGTCACTTGGAATGTTGGGAGTTTTATGTCGCAGGAAGTACAGTATGTTAAACATAATATGTTGTATTCAATATTAAGTGACACTAAATCAGTTTTGTTTCATTTTTCTTATTTTTAGATTATCAGTACACAGATTGAAGATTTGATACGGAAGTTGACTGAAAGCGAAACTGAAGCTGTAGTAAGTTCTGTTCTTTGGCATGTCATCATTTCGTTTCGTGAAGGCGACACCACAGCCTGTTTTAGGCATTTTAAGCAGTTGCACATACGATGAGGGAGCCATGCTGCATGTTGTCTGTATTATTTTTATTATTATTATTATTATTATTATTATTATTATTATTAGCAGACACAGGATGGACACTGCAGCAAGGAGATGGCTTGTCCGCTCCCAAGGAAATGTTCATACATTATTAATAGACAAAGCAGCATTCGCCAATTTGGGTGGGATTTCCCATCACTTCACCTAACTAGATAGGTGGCAAATACCCAAATCTTACAGATAGTTCCCCTTTTCTGGGCCCAGAGCCCAACACTCCCGAGCCGCCAGATAGTGATAACATCAAGGCAAACCAATTAGTTTCTATCAAAGCAAGTGGCTATACGCATATATGAGCCCACGGCTTTAACATCTACCAATTAATTGTAAGGTTATCTTGACTACGAAGATGTCATTCTCAGAGCTTCTGGGGAAAGTTCACACAGTGTTTTGACTATTTTTGGGCCTGCTGATATTTAAATGAGCCCTCTGTCATGAAAGCCAGTATACTTTCGATCCTTGTTCTCTCCCCCGCCCCCCTCGAGTTACAAATCCTTGGCTCTCTAGTATGCAAATAATAATAATAATCTGGTTTTTTTTCCTTTGAAGGAACTCAAGCATGAAGTGCTTCGAAAAGAAAGGTATATTTTAGAGCTTTCTACTCAGCTTCAGCATGAGAAAGTAAGTTAGCATTTCCCTTTGTACAGCTGTTTTACTTCACCTGCCATAAGTTTATGTTTACCAAATTACATGATTTGACAACTTTATCAATCTCTTGTGGTTCCTGCTAGTTCTAAGCTAGATTTTGGTGTGTTCCGATATTTCAGTACGTTAACTTCCAGAATGAGAGTGTAGCTGTGCAGTCTCAGACTTGTCTACTCAGAAGTATCTATATACTCAAGTATCAGCTGAGCCGAATATAAGCCGAGGCACCTAATTTTAGCACAGAAAACTGGGGAAACGTATTGCCTCAAGTATAAGCCGGTTCACCACACCACAAACCTGGTGGTGGCGGCAGCGGCGGAGGAAGAACAAGCAGCCCAAAAGGGCTGCTTTCGGGCTGCTCGTTCCACCGCCGCTGCCCACCTCACTCGAGTACAGTGGTGCCTCGCAAGACGAAATTAATTCGTTCCGCGAGTTTTGTCGTCTTGCGATTTTTTTCGTCTTGCGAAGCACGGTGTCGGGAAAGTTTTGGAAAAGTTTCAAAAATCACCAAAGTCTTTAAAAACCTCAAAAAAGGCTACCACACCGCGTTCTATGAGTTGCTCCTCGAAGTCAAGTCGCAACTGTATTAACAGTGTTAAGAAAAAGGAAACAAACTTGCAAGACATTTCCGTCTTGCGAAGCAAGCCCATAGGGGAAATCGTCTTGTGAAGCAGCTCAAAAAACAAAAAACCCTTTCGTCTAGCGAGTTTTTTGTCTTGCGAGGCATTCGTCTTGCGAGGTACCACTGTATAAGCCGAGGGGGGCTTTTTCAGCATAAAAAATGTGCTGAAAAAGTCGGCTTATACTCGAGTATATATGGTAAGTCCCACTTTATTAAGTGGATCTTATTCCCAGGTATGTAATGTGTTTAGGATTGCAGCCCAAGAGTGTATATCTTTTACTAAAATAGGTGTTTAGTTATCCCCTTACCTGTTATTTGAAATGTATGTGCAATAGGATTGTATTGATTTTGTGGAATGTATTAATTGAATTATTATTTCCTCTCCTTGGGTATTGAAATTTTATTGATAGGCAAATGTAGCATTTAATTTTTTTAAAAAAAATATTGCTGGGTACTTGTTCATATCATCTGTTTGGGGTTTTTTTTAATTAGTGTTTTTAATTTCTTCTATTAAAGTTAGCTGCTTTTCTTTCAGAAGGGCGCAACAATGGAATGTCTAGGCGCGCTTATTTATAACTAGAATACAAAGCTGGAAATGAATGAACGGCAGCTAAAATCTTATGTTCATTTTTCACATGGTATAGACCTCATCATGTTTCCCCTGCCTGCCCCCCTAATATTCTTAAGAGGGTCCCTTCTTCAGCCTTCAGAGAGTGGCTGGAAATGGGGAGGCAGAAAAAGGTCCCCCTTTCCTTCCGCTCTGCAGACAAGCCCTGGATTCTCCCTATACCCCATTTCCTTCATATAAATATATATTTTTGGCACCACAAGTAACACAATAAAGGCCTATACAACTGATGGCAGAGACACCCACATTGAGTGTCCAGTTCGCAACCCTAAGACTTAAGGGTCCTTCAATGATCCCACTCCAAAATTTGTTTAGATTTTAAGCATCCCTGTGAGCGTCTGAAGTAGATAACACTTTAACATGCACTACTTAAACCATCATAACTAACTGCCTAGCATATTTCGAATTAAAAGCACACCATACATTAAAAGTACATTCAACAAGGCAACTGAAACCTAAACAAAACATGTTGGGTTAAAAGAAAAGCAAGTTTTCAGGTCCCCAATCCATGCACGTTTTACTTGGGAGGAAGCCTCAATGAACTTGGTTGGGATTTACTTCCGAGTAACAGTGGCCATTTTAATCTGAAATCTTAGACACAGTACTGCACCCAGAGCTCAGAAACTGCTCACGCTTATGAAATTCCCTGTCGCAAAACGTGCCTAGAACAATGGGAGTTTCAAACGCTGAGTAGATCAACCAAGGCTTCCCAACTGTATAACAACTGCAACAACAAAGTGACTTTTCCCATTTAAATTAGGCTGCCTGAATGAATATAAAGTTAACCAGGAGGTGACTGTTAAAGGACTCCATTCAGTTCTGGTGCTGAAAACAAATTCTTAGACTTGTAACATGCTCAGAGGCAACTTGCTGTTTCAAATCTTGTTGGATGTCTTAATACCAGTCCCCACTTGGTAGATCCCAGGGTTCTAAAACAAAGGAAAAATTGAAGTAGATCTAGCAAGTCTAAAGTCTGCCCGCCCCTTCCATAGAATACGAAAGTTCATTATAGGTGCTGCCATGTAGACGTCATAATTTATTATGGGCTTTGTTTTATTATTTTAGGCTAATGTGTTAAAAGCATCTCGTCATTCCGAATCAACACAGTTGGTGCAGACTCACTTGCAATGCCAGATAGAGAGAAAGGAGGCTGAGAATAATCAACTGAGAACAAAATTTAAGGTTACTGGTTTTTGTTGGTTTTGCTTCTTTGATCGATTGATGATGGGGGGTGTTTTTGGCAGTGTTGAGGAGGGTCGCTATGGATTGAAGTTGCCAGTCACAAAGCAGCTATAAAAATTTTAAAAATCTCAGGTGCACTCTCTAAATTTCACGAGAAAAGCCACAAATCTGTTATATCTGTATCAGCCACATTCTGTCAAATAATTCACAAAGCTATATCTGCATTGGCACAATAATTGCTTATTTCAAGAAAAACCCTCTACACCTCCAGTCTGGAACTATAAATATAGTTCAGTTGACCTATGGCCATAAATCATTGCATTTATGAATATCCCACCCCGACTCCGGGTCCACGTAAATAAAATGGGAATGCTTTGTTCATAGAAAGAGTTCACGTGTAATCTCTGTGGACCAATATTCCGAACTGAAGAAGCCTCTAAAATGAGGTCACCAGCTTCTAAGTGTCCTTTATCTCAGGTTGATTTCCTTAAATCTCTACCCCAGCCAAATACTCCCACAAACCAGTCCCATCACTGGGGACAATCTGCCTTGAAGCTCCAAAGCTCATCCGGTAGTACATCTGGCTGCTTGAAGGTTGGCGGTTCAAATCCCCACAACGGGGTGAGCTCCCGTTGCTCGGTCCCTGCTCCTGCCAACCTAGCAGTTCGAAAGCACTGTTCGAAAGCGCAAGTAGATAAATGGGTAGCACTCCAGCGGGAAGGTAAACGGCATTTCCGTGCGCTGCTCTGGTTCACCAGAAGCGGCTTAGTCATGCTGGCCACATGACCTGGAAAACTGCGGACAAATCCCGGCTCCCTCAGCCTGTAAAGCGAGATGAGCGCCGCAACCCCAGAGTCGTTTGCGACCAGACTTAACTGTCAGGGGTCCTTTACCTTTTTTGTCTGGAGCAAGAGAAAACCCTTGAGCTTGGAGATCAGACAACGTGCTCAGCCTAACCCAAGGTTCAGCTCATGGCAGTACAGCATCGGGAGAAGTGGAGGAGAAGAAAAGTAGCCACGCTCCCCTCCTTAGTTGCTCACACGCTTGCCCTTGAACACTCAGCCATGTTTTGGACTAGCGTGATGTGCACGTCGGGCGTAAAGATTTTTTTAAAGCCGTGAGATGGAGAAACATGAAATAAATAATGCAAAGACTCACTGTTGGTTATATGAGCTGAAATACTTTTTTTGTGTGAGGTGTTAAATTCTTTTTTTGTAAAGAAATCAGATTTTTTAAAATTAATTAATTAATTAATTCATTTCTGTACTGCTTTATATTTTTAAGAAAAATCTCAAAGCGGTTTACAGCGTGTAAAAACATCAATAAAACAATCCAGAACCAAACATTTTTGAAGAAAGTCAAATCTAGAGTGTACAGTCAAAGCAACATAATTAACAGAAAACTAAAAGATTTCAAAATAAAACATTACAAAGGTCAACTACAGAATACATATTCAATGCAAACAAAGTTAACAAAAAAAATCTTAAACATTTCCAAAAACAACAACACCATTGTGAAGTCAAATATAAAATACATATTTAAAACAGCATAATTAACAAGAGAATAAGGTATTATCATAAGCATGACAAGGCTGTTTGGCAGGCACAAAAAGATGGGGCAAAGGAATCCAATAGTTAGGGTTTGTTGTCAGGCATAGTGATGTCCCTCTGGTCTCGCCAGGAGCCTCTTCAGTAGAGCTGGGGAGTCTGCCCCCCCCCCCCCGCCCCAAGGCCAGGTGGAAAAAGGCCTTGCAGGGAGCGGCCTATATTTATATTTATACCTGAGATTCCCCATACAGTACCTTCTTTTTTAAAATGGCCCGTTTTTACATATTGAGAATTGGCGGTAAACTGAATTGCTTTTACAAAGAAACTTACATAAAACTGCTGTTGGCAACCCTTTTCACTGGTAATTTCTTCTCAAATGTTTCTGTAAGCTTTGTATAAGGATGCTCCAACCGCAGTCAGCTTCCATCTACCTTTAGCCTTCAAATACAGGATTAGTAGTGCAACTATATAAAATCTTAAGTGCAACCAGACTTTAATATTTGCAGATCTTTTGAAAAATGTAGAACCACTTACTGTACAAGCTGGTGTTTTACCTATGTTTTCTCGTGTGTGTGTGTGTGTGTGTGTGTGTGTGTGTGTGTGTTTTCTCTGGTCATGCAAGTTGTGAAATGGTGACCTCTTGTGGGGACTTGATAAATAACACCAGTGTCCTCTCGCAAAAGGCAACTTCCGTTTGCCAGCAGACTTAACCTTTCTAGGTCAGGCCTCCACAACTTCTGGTGTTGCCCTTGTGAATTGCCCTTGGACAATATTTGGCTGCGTTCCAGGCCTGCCACAGGCAGATTTCACAGATACCAGTAGTATGTCTCATCAGGGACAGCATCCGTTGGAACACAGACACGCAGCATCACAGAGGAGGGATCAAACATTCAGAAATACACGCTTGGACAGGAACGCACGTGTAGAGCCACTCGCACGATTGGCATTTCCACTTATTCTGACTCCAGTGCTGGGCTGAGGGGAAATGCTGTTCTTTTTTTTTACTCTCAAAGAGCAATTAGGGGTTTTTTCTCCAACCTAAACACTGTGATGCTTTTGTGCTAAGGCTGAATATCCTCTCCAAAGGGTAGCCAGAGGGAACTTTTCTCTCCTGACTGGGAGATACAGCTGCGAATCTGATGGGCTGTTTAGTGTGTCTTGCTGGGTCAGAAATGACCTCCTGGCCTCAGATTAGCCAACCTGCCACTGCAGTTTAAGTCAGTCTACAGAGTTTGACTGGCACCAAGTACTTCAGGGTTCATGTTTTCAACATTGAACAGAATCTTCAAAATACAGTGGCGCCTCGCAAGACGAAATTAATTCGTTCCGCGAGTTTTGTCGTCTTGCGATTTTTTTCGTCTTGCGAAGCACGGTGTTGGGAAAGTTTTGGAAAAGCTTCAAAAATCACCAAAGTCTTTAAAAACCTCAAAAAAAGGCTACCACACCGCGTTCTATGAGTTGCTCCTCGAAGTCAAGTCGCAACTGTATTAACGGTGTTACGAAAAGGAAACAAACTTGCAAGACGTTTCCGTCTTGCGAAGCAAGCCCATAGGGAAAATCGTCTTGCGAAGCAGCTCAAAAAACAAAAAACCCTTTCGTCTAGCGAGTTTTTTGTCTTGCGAGGCATTCGTCTTGCGAGGTACCACTGTACTTCAGCATGTGTTTCGATGTATTTTTTTTATTTAAAAAAAACATTGTTAAACTATTTGAATTAACTTTCACATGTTACTTTAAATCTGTTGCCTTCAGTGCTCTGATGAACCAAATCAAGCATCTCTGTTTTGTTTTGTTTTGTTTTGTTTTGTTTTGTTTTGTTTTGTTTTGTGTCTTCTGTACTCCAGTTTAATCTTTTATACATACATGCAAGCGCAAACACACACACTGCCCCCACCCGGCTAATGTCCACCTCAAACTTTTCATGTTTGGAGCATATAATAATCTTCTGTAATTCTGATGCAGATGGTAGAAAAGAACATTACAGAATGGAAACAGCAAGTCGGAGAATATAAGCAGCAGATTTTGGCTGAAAAGGACAGAAGAAAGGAGAGGCGGATTGCTCTGAAAAGGGCAGCTAGTGTTCAGAAACAAAGAGCGGAACTGTTGAAAGTAGCTGTGGAGAGCTTAATTTCCAAAATTAGAGAGAAGGTGAGTGATTGGGGAGGGAGCCATGGTTTCAAATTAATGAATAAACTGTGATGTTAATCTCACAAAGCAGCAACAGGAGACCTGTGGTCCTCTAGTTGTTGTAGGATTTCCAACTCCCATCAACCCCAGCCATCTTTGCCAGTGGTCAGAGATGATGGGATTTGGAGTCCAACAACATCTAGAGACCCGCAGGTTCCCTATCCCTGTCTGAAAGAACGTCAACAACGTCTTGATTTATAATAGCGGGAACTTTCAGGGGCATACTTTGCTTTCTGTGTCCATATTAATAAGTGTACACGATCAGGTAATAGACTTGAGATGTGTGCATGTATATACTGGTAGTTTGGGTGTAAGAAAATATCTGAGAAGGTTATGTTCTTTGGTTTGGGGAATCCCGCCTATGTGTTCAGCTCAGCCGGCCTCTGGTTGGCTGGAGTTAGCAAGCCAAGGTACCGTCTCCAGTCGTTTGAGTACACAGGCCCTTCATCAGCCAAAGTAACCAGATGCCATCCTACTAAACTGCGTGTAAAAACCTGAAAACAATCCTTTGGTGCTGGAGATGTGAAAGAAGTGTGGGAGCCCCCTGTGAGCTGCCCTGAGGTTTTTCATGGAAGAGTTGAATATAACTTGTACAGTGGTACCTCGGGTTACAGATGCTTCAAGTTACAGACTCCACTAACCCAGAAATAGTACCTCGGGTTAAGAACTTTGCTTCAGAATGAGAACAGAAATCGCGCAGTGGCGGCAGCAGGAGGCCCCATTAGCTAAAGTGGTACCTCAGGTTAAGAACAGTTTCAGGTTAAGAATGGACCTCCAGAATGAATTGAGTTTTTAACGCGAGGTACCACTGTGGGTAAAACCTCAGCGCCTAGGGCTTGCCGATCGCATGGTCGGCGGTTCGAATCCCCACGGCGGGGTGAGCTCCCATCTTTCGGTCCCAGCTCCTGCCCACCTAGCAGTTCGAAAGCACCCCTAAGTGCAAGTTGATAAATAGGTACCGCTTTATAGCGGGAAGGTAAACGGCGTTTCCGTGTGCTGCGCTGGTGCCGGCTCGCCAGAGAAGCTTCGTCACGCTGGCCACGTGACCCGGAAGTGTCTCCGGACAGCGCTGGCCCCCGGCCTCTTAAGTGAGATGGGCGCACAACCCTAGAGTCGGACACGACTGGCCCATACGGGCAGGGGTACCTTTACCTTTACCACTGTATAGGAAAGATGATGCCACTGAAAACTCATTTCCTACATGATGAAAACTTGTGAGGTGACGTATTCTGAAATAGGTGTCTAAACCGTTACATTAGGAAGTGCAGCTTTCTCGCGGTTGAAGTGCAGAGTGTTTGATGACCAGGACATTCACAGGGAAACCAAAATTTCCTATTTTACTACCAACCTTCAGTACACTTGATTCCATCAACGGTGTCTCCGAAAAATTTTACACATCACTTGGGAAGACAGGCGAACTAATGCCAATGTACAGGAAGAAGCAAAGATCACCAGTGTCAAAGCAAGTGACTCTTCAACATCAACTTCGTTGGACTGGTCATGTTGTGCAAATGCCAGATTATAGTCTTCCAAAGCAACTACTCTGTTCCGAACTTAAAAATGGAAAGTGTTTATAGACTCTCTCAAGGCAAATCTTTAAAAATGTAGTATAAACACTGACAACTGGGAAACACCGGCCTGCGAGTGCTCCAACTGGAGAACGGCCTTTACCAAAGGTGTGATGGACTTTGAAGACGCTTGAACTCAGGACGAAAGGGAGAAGCGTGCGAAGAGGAAGGCACGCTTGGCAAACCCTCACCATGATCAACTCCCGGCCGGAAACCAATGTCCCCACTGTGGAAGAACGTGTGGATCCAGAATTGGCCTCCACAGTCACTTACGGACTCACTGTTAAGACCATATTTGTGGAAGACAATCTTGCTCGGCTATGAGTGATCATCAAAGAAGAAGATAATTAGGGACAGGAAGCTTCAAGCTGGGGGTGAAATGCAGCCCTGCAGGCTTTCTTCACTCCTCCATCAGCTCTGAATTGTGCTAGTTTTATTCCATTACTAGTTTTATTCCAGATTTAGATGCAGCGGTCTGCCCACCCCTCTACAAGCCTGCTTATTTGACCACATGCAGTTCATCACTGCCCATGCCTACCAGCTGACTGCTTTTGTGCAGAGCTGCTCTGGTGGCAAGGCATGCTCCAAGTGACTTGATTTAGAAATACTGCTTTAAAATTCCAATTGTAATACTGTGTTCCTTGCTGTCAGTGATGTCATGGGCACTAGCCAATCAGGTGCCCGTAGCAGTTGAAGAGGAAGAAAAGTAGCCAAGCAACAGACTAATCCCTGTCTACAAATGGCATAGGAGATATGATCTGGAGTATTTTCTATAACCAAAAAGCTTACAGGCATGGCCTCATATTTCACAGTTGGGAAATGTCTGTATAGAACTTTCAAATACCTCGTCTAGGGAAACGCTCTTAGCAAGTTTAAAACTTCTGTTTTGCTGGAAAGTTAGTACAATCGCTTAGGTTCCAGCTGATTCTTGTGTTTCAGGATTTTATTGGTGTGTGTTTATGTCGAGATTTCAAGCTTTTAAGTTTTTACATTATTCCACACTACTGCAATACACCTGGAAACTGCTTTGAATGAAAATACCTCCTGTGTCTAGGGAATCGGGAAGAATTAAACAGAAAATGAGTTCTTATATTACATGGTCTGTGTTTTGTACATTCTCCAGGAAATCCAATTGTCTGAGGTACTTTCAGCTTGTAATGTCTGGAAAAGTCATCACGAGGCAGTGGTAGATGAAAAAACCAGGTTAGAAGTTCAGGCTGAAACTCTGAAAAAGTAAGTTAATGCTTAATACCTCTTTGCAAATAATCAGTCTCTTTATTAAAAATGAGGAACTGGGCTAATATGGTTGTTCTAGGATTTTGCATGTGCTTTTTTTAGTCTGCCATCCCCAAGTGTGTTTACTTGACAACCCTTCACTGTGGGAATGGGATGGAGCAACATTTTCATCATCTCCTAGCCTGCTGTGTTTTCAGTGCTAGACACGGAGGAAAGGAAACCAAGCTCACCTTTAACGGTTATGGTTTCTCCTCCCCACAACAACAACAACAACCAAAAGAAGAAAAATGGGGGAACTGTTGCTAGTCAAAGAACTGCAATTCCTAGCATCCTTAAACAACTACAGTTCCCATGATTCATTAGAGGACTCCGTTAACTGTTAAAGTGGCATAAGAGCACTTTAAATGCATGGTGGTGTATGTGACCCAAGCAGGATAGCAAAGGTATGGGTGTGGATTGCATGAGGTTCTGGTGGCCAAACGCATGTGATCGTACTGCTAAGGTAAATCGTAAGTAAGGTCAATGTGCAGTCATAAAGTAAAGGTAAAGGGACCCCTGACCATTAGGTCCAGTCGTGACCGACTCTGGGGTTGCAGCGCTCATCTCGCTTTATTGGCCAAGGGAGCCTGCGTACAGCTTCCGGGTCATGTGGCCAGCATGACTAAGCCGCTTCTGGCGAACCAGAGCAGCGCACGGAAACGCCGTTTACCTTCCTGCCAGAGTGGTACCTATTTATCTGCTTGCACTTTGACGTGCTTTCGAACTGCTAGGTTGGCAGGCGCAGGGACCGAGCAACGGAAGCTCACCCCGTCGCGGGGATTCGAACTGCTGACCTTCTGATCGGCAAGTCCTAGGCTCTGGTTTAACCCACAGTGCCACCCGCATCCATGTACAGTCATACTTCGAGTTAAATATGCTTCAGGTTGAGCGTTTTCAGGTTACACTCTGCGGCGACCCGGAAGTAACAGAATGTGTTACTTCTGGGTTTTGCTGCATGTGCAGATGCTAAAAATGACGTCATGCACAGAAGCGGCAACCCGCGCAGATGTGTAGTCACGAGTTGCGTTCTACTCAGGATGCAAACAGGGCTCCGGAACGGATCCCATTCGCACCCAGAGGTACCACTGTATAGGCAAGTATATTGGAAGAATTAAGGTAAACAGGGAGGCGGAAGAAAAGTGAGTTCGGAATCTTGGTAGTGAATGATGATTGGATGAGAGTTTGAAAGGGAGTTTGAATGCTGGTGGCGAGACATATGAGCTTTGAGCCAGAGTGGAGTTTGGGAGTGGGTGGTGGCAGATTCGAAGCAGAGTTGCCTATTTAGTGTGATGTAGGCCATTGTACCAGCCATTGTTGAAGAGGAACGTTTTCACCTGGTGCCTAAAATATATATAATGAAGGCGCCAGGTGAACCTCCCTAGGGAGAGCATTCCACAAACAGGGGTGGGGGGCACTGTAGAAAAGGCCCATTCTCTCTCTCTTTTTAATAGTTTTTATTGAATTTTTCATTTTTATCATAATAATAACAGTTGCCACCCTCCAGACCTCTCGTGGAGGAGGCACACGAAGAAGTGTTTATACATGATCAACATGGAACACGTACATCTAAAATTGCTTCTAAGAAGCTGAAAGTAAAGTGGATGTAGTTAAGGCACAATAGTTACCATTTAACTAAATGACATTATGCAAAACAATTTCTACACAAGTTGTGTTTGAAATGTTAAAGGCAGATAGCTGACCGTGTGATGGAACTGAGAAGACTTCAGGATGTCGGAAGGAGGTCGACGAATGAGATCCTTGGGAAGCTCAACGCCATCACCTCTGAAAATGAGAAGATTTCACTTGAAAATACTAAATTAAAGGTAAGGTCATCTGCAATCCGCAACTGTAGTTATGCCAGTTTTAGTTCGGCGTTCCACTTTGGGGAGAGCACCTTAATCCTTAATTTTAGTTATACATTTCGAGTCTTGCCTGTCGGGGTTAGTATCATAGCAATTTTACTGATGGTTAAATTGAAGCAGAAATATTTTTTCACCAGCTTTCTAAACACATTCGGAATATTTATACAGTGGTGCCTCGCAAGACGAAATTAATTCGTTCTGCGAGTTTTTTCGTCTTGCGAAGCATGGTTTCAATTTTTTCAAAAAAATCTTCAAAAACCTCAAAAAAGGCTACCACACCGTGTGCTATGAGTTGCTCCCCGAAGTCAAGTCGCAACTTCACCTCTTCAAGCAATGCACCCTGTATTACTGTAACGGTTTTAAGAAAAAGGAAACAAACTTGCAAGACATTTCCGTCTTGCGAAGCAAGCCCATAGGGAAATTCATCTCGCGAAGCAACTCAAAAAACGAAAAACTCTTTCGTCTTGCGAGTTTTTTGTCTTGCGAGGCATTCGTCTTGCGAGGTACCACTGTACCACTCTTATGTATGAATTAGGGACGCGGGTGGCACTGTAGGTTAAAGCACAGAGCCTAGGACTTGCCGATCAGAAGGTCGGCGGTTCGAATCCCCGCGAGGGGGTGAGCTCCCGTTGCTTGGTCCGTGCTCCTGCCAACCTAGCAGTTCGAAAGTGCAAGCAGATAAATAGGTACCACTCTGGCAGGAAGGTAAATGGCGTTTCCGTGCTCTGCTCTGGTTCGCCAGAAGTGGCTTAGTCATGCTGGCCACATGACCCGGAAGCTGTACGCCGGCTCCCTCGGCCAGTAAAGCAAGATGAGCACCGCAACCCCAGAGTTGGCCACGACTGGACCTAATGGTCAGGAGTCCCTTTACCTTTACCTTTATGTATGAATTACTCAGAAGTAGTTCCTTCAGTGGGACTGAGGTACAGGCAGATCTGTTTAGGATCGCGATCCTGGCCTTGTCATCTTGGTGATAATATAAGTAGTTTAGTTTTACTTACGCTACACAATTTTTGTTGTTGCGGCTTTAATCATTTTTTGGCAGTACAGTATTTATTAAAGACGTCTCCTTTCTGTAGGCATCCTTTGCATCTTTGGAAGCGAGCATTGTCTCTGCGGAAGCTGAACTTGTGGACTTACGTGAGGAGGCACAGCAGCAAGAAAACATAATTGAACATTATAAAAATGAGGCAAGTTGATGTCTTGGGCATGCATAGAATCCCACTACCTCTTGCAGAGAACAGCACCATCACCAAAATTCATTCTGCTGGTATATTCCTAGGTCCAAACCAAAATATATTCCATATATGTTCAGCCATAGCTGTCAAGTGTCACTTATTTGAAGGGACAGTCCCTTATTCCAGCACCATGTGCTGCTGCTGTCCCTTATTGATGGATGTCCCTTAAATGATGTCCCTTAAATTTCAAAGGAAGCATCTCCTCTCCCTCCCTCCCTGCCAGCCAGGGAGGAGGGAGGCTCCAACTGTGTTGCTTGGCTGTGTTGCTCACCCAATAAGAAGTCTAAGAACGACTGGGGAGTGGAGCTTGCATGCCTTGTGTGTGGCTAGTTAATGCAAGCCGAGGGGGTTTTTGAATGCTGGACGCCATTTTGTTTCACGTGCTGCTGCAAACTTTGCAGTGCAAAGCCAGGCTGGGGAGCCATCTTAAGTTGAGGCTGCATAGTCCTTGTGGTGCATGTGATTCAGATTCTATTCAGTTGAACCTCTGGTTACAAAGTTGGTTGGACAGTGTTCTTGAAGCTACTCAGCATGAGTTTGACCAGACTACAGGAGGACAGGAAGACTGGAGTGCCTGGAACAGGTGAGGCTGCAGGTCCCTTATTTTGGCTGCTGGTCCCTTATTTTCAAGGCTGCTAGTCCCTTATTTTCAAATCTGTAAGTTGACAGCTATGTGTTCAGCCCAGACACTGAAGTCCAGCTCCAAGGGCCTTCTGCCGGTTCCTTCACTGCAAGAAATGAAGCTACAGGGAACCAGGCAGAGGGCCTTCTCGGTAGTGGCGCCTGTCCTATGGAGCGCCCTCCCATCAGATGTCAAGGAAATAAACAACTATCTGACTTTTAGAAGACATCTCAAGGCAGCCCTGTTTAGGGAAGTTTTTAATGTTTGATGTTTTATTCTGTTTCTAGTGTTCTGTTGGGGGCCCCCAAGAGTGGCTGTGGAAACCCAGCCAGATAGGCGGGGAATGTATGTATGTATGTATAGATAATGATGTTTCATTGCATTATTATTATCATTATTCTGTTGGGAGCCGCCCAGAGTAGCTGGGGAAACCTAGCCAGAAGGACAGGGTAATAATAATAATAAAATTATCATCATTTTTGTGTGTGTGCATATAATAAAATATTTGTGTATATAATTTATAATTCGTAAGGGAAAAAATACATAGTTTTAAAAAATACAATGTTCATATATATATAAAATATTGTTCTAGGTGGGGAAATTAGAAATGGAAGCTGAGGAACTGAAAGCCAGGTATGAGAAGGTCATACATGAAGGCAAAAAACTAATGGATGGCAAAGATTTAGAAATTGATGTGGTGAGTATAATAATAGTAATAATTTTAGTAGTTGTACCCCGCACATCTGGCTAGGTTTCCCCAGCCCCTCTGGGTGGCTTTCAATGTGGTAATTATATGTGTGGAAGTTCTTTTTTTCACTTTTCTAGAAAAGACTATGCAAGATTCTCTGATTACAGTTTAAACATAACACATTACTTTACTTAGCTTACTGAATCATATTTACATGAAAATAGTTATAGAACTAGAAATAGGTCGATAGATAGATAGATAGATAGATAGATAGATAGATAGATAATGATATATTGATACACGCACACACACACACACACGAGACTGGAAAATATGTACAGACTTATATTCTGAGTCACATAGCAGCTTAAAACACCTGCCGCTCTCACAGTAAAACTCACTCTATATATCAGAGCTTTCCAAACTTTTCATGTTGGCGACACACTTTTTAAACATGCATCTTTTCGTGATACAGTAATTCCGTTTTACTAGCAAACCGGAGGTTAAACTAACCCCTTTCCAGCAAGAGAAACGTTTGTGCGACACACTGCAGCCGACACACTAATGTGTCGTGACACACAGTTTAGAAAGCTCTGCTTTATATACTTTGACACAGCTTTGTTATAATGTTCAGAAACTTTTACCTGAGCGTTTATAGTTCTTATACTTTTATTTTTACGCCATGTTTGCATGTCACGTAAACAAAGATATATCTCCATGCCACCATGTTAAAAACAGTTTAAATGAATAAAAACTACCAAAAAAAACCCCCACACTCTCCACAGTTGGTAACAGACCTAACTGAAAAAACTGCCTACTGTAGATTTTATCACAGGATTTTATGCTACATTAACCCTTTTGGGTACACCTCTCCCATATGCAGCCCGTATAAAAACATATGCCTCCTACAGTATATTTTGTCTTTGTTCAAATATGTTTTATATTTAGTAGTTTGAATATGGGAGAGTGTGCAAAATTACTCTCTCTCTCTTTTCTTTCTTTTTTCGCTTCTCCTTTCCCCCACTGACCCAACGCGGCTGCACAGGTGAGGGGCCAGTCGGAGGTTCGCTTGAAGGAGTTAGAACATGCCCGTGATTTACAGAAAGCAGCCGAAGGGAAACTGCAAAAGTGTCAGGAAAGCCTGCTGGCCTGCCAAAAGAGCTGTGTAGATAAATCCAAAGCCATTAGGGAACTTCAGGCTCAGGTGCTTGGAGGAAAATATTCCTTTTCCCACAAAACATCTAAACGAGCGTGCGAGGAAGGCTGGGAAACTCAGCGGTTTGCTTCTCGGGATTCTTATTTCTGAGTCGTTCAGAAGGGAAACTTCTTGCCTGCTGAGGGCACTCCTGTCACCTCCCTGTTTCCCGCAGCCCAAATGTTCCATTTGTAAAGCAAGTTGGTGCTTTTCGTGAGATTGGTTTGCTCGATTAGTTTGGAAGAGAGGCCAGTGTTCTTTCCGGGCTCAATTTGAAGTGTTGGATCTGACCTTTTCAAGCTGAAAATGACCCAAGTCTATCGAGTATCGGGAACATCCTCCTCTCTTGTGTGAACTTGTTCTTGTCTCTTTGATGACAGGTGGGGATGAGGGGAGAGGGCCTTTGCAGTTTGTGGTACCCCAGTTTTAGAACAGTCTGCCAAGAGACTTCCCAAGAGACTTCCCTGTCTGCTTTTAAGCGAGTCTTTAAGATTGTTTCACTCTGGTGGGTTGCACCCACCTGATTAAATGGCTGTCAGGATGGAGGAGCTTGCAAGGGGTGCTTCAGAGAGCAATTTGCTCCAGTGATGGCTAATGCTTAAGGGAGGCGGTTGCTTCAGAGAGCAGTTTTCTAGTCTCTGAAGCACCTCCCACCCTCCTTTTTTTATCTTCACTTCACTTCAGAAAGTTGCGAGACCATAGAGGCTTATGCCCTGGGTGATAATATTCAGCTTTCCTATGAGGGAACTTCGTATGCATCCAAAACAAGTTTTTGTCATATATAGTAATAATAATAAAATTTTATTTATACCCTACCCTTCCTGGTTCTGAAAACTGGGCTCAGGGCAGCTAACAACAAATTTAAAACACTTAATTGTGATACAAAAAAACCCAACAGCATAAAATACAGTATAAAAGTGTGAATAACAATAAATTCAAAGTTCAAAAATCAATTTAGGGGGAAATCCATCCAATAAACATTAGATGATCATCAGGGCTAGCTGGCTAACCCTGTTTGGACCAGCGAGGAGGCCAGGGGAGAATTAGCTGTGGGATCCCAGAGCGGGTAATATTCATAAAAAGGGAAGGAAGGGGAATAAAAGATCAGGCTAAATTCAAATTGAAAGCCGCAATCTGTCTTACAGGCCCTGCGGAAGGAGGCTAGAGTCCTATTTTTTGGTTAACATAAATTCAGGGCTTTTGTCATGAATTAGTCCTGGTGATAAGTGATGTGAGGATTTGCAAAGAGCTAGCACCTCGTTTTCAGCCTACAGTTCTGTGGGTTATGTCAGAATCCCTGCTTTTACAGGTAGTCGAGAATGACAGTTTCTTGAAACAGCTTGCTTTAGAAGAGGAGAATCGCAACATTCAGCTGAAATACGAAGATGTTAAAAGGTAGATGTGACATGTCTCCTGCCATTCAGAATTTCTTTCTTTCTTTTTCTTTCTTTCTGTCGTAACCCTACACTAACACTTATACTTGACTTAAAAGAAAACTAGAAGAAACGGAACTAAAGAACAAAGAGCTTGAAAATCAGTTGGCAAGCCAAGAAGAATGCCTTCAGAAAACGGAACTGCAGTTCAAACAGAAACTTGCGAGCTATGATGCGTTAACCAGACAACTGGAAGCTGCTTTGGAAGATGGAAGGAAGAAGGTAGGCCTCATCTTGAGTGTTTTGAGTATATGCATATATTTTTTTATGTACCTGTTGTTCATATACAGAAGCCCCCCCCTCCCCCGCAAAAGAGACAGTTGCTTCTTTTCTCAAAACTCCATTGAGCACACGATTTCTGTGAGGAACTCTCTCCAGGCCACTCAACCCTTCCTCTGCCACACCTTCCACTGACTCTGCACCTTCCTCAACTGCTTTTGCCTGGCTGGAATGTGTCATTGAACTGTGGTGATAGAGGATAGAGAGGTGTTAGCGTGCGGCGTTTCAACCTCTGGCTTTTGCCTGGCTGGAGAGTAGCCTACTGCAGAAAAGTAATCATATCTGTTGTCCCACCAACTTTTGCCGCACCTACCAATGGCATGCAGCCCCCCAGAAGGGGGGCTAAGACATATAAATACATTTTTAAAATGCCAAACATTAAAAAAAAAAAAAATCCGTATTTTTCAATGCATAAGATGTATCAGATGACCCCTATTATTATTTTTAACCCAAAATTAAGAAAACAAAACCCTGAAATAGATTGGCAAGAGAAAGTTGTTGAGCTTTTGGGGGGCAATCGCCTGCTGCTGAAGGGGAACCAAGGGGTAGGACGCCAAGGCAGAGCCCATTTCATGCTGTTGAGCAAACCGAGTTGAGGAAGGTGGGGAGCAGGGCAGGGGGGGTGTTTACGGGGAGAGAGAAAAGGAAAGAAGGGTGAAGAGAGGTAGCCAAGGCAGCTCTTGGCAGCGGCTGCTGTCGCTCCAGTGGTTGAGCCAGCAGGGGCTGTAGGAGGCAATCCACTCACCAGCACATAGCTGGAAGGGGGAGGAGAAAGAGGGGATAGGGGCAGGAGAGACTGCTTCGGCCTGCCCAAGCCAAAATCCCGGACATTTGCTTAAATATTGGGGGGGAGCCAATGCCCATGTATAAGATGACCCCCAATTTGTTACTAAAATTTTAAAGCAGAAAAAACTTGTCCTATACATGAAAAAAATACAGTAATAAGTCAAAAAGTGCCCTTGATTTATTGGGCAGCTATGCATGCATGCATGTGGGACACGAGTGGCGCTGTATTCTAAACTACTGAGCCTCTTGGGCTTGCCAATCAGAAGGTTGGCGGTTCAAATCCCCTCGATGGAGTGAGCTCCCGTTGCTCTGTTCCAGCTCCTGCCAACATAGCAGTTCGAAAGCATGCCGGTGCAAGTAGATAAATAGGTAACACTGCAGCAGGAAGGTAAACAGCATTTACATGTGCTCTGGCTTCCGTCACGGTGTCCTGTTCCACCAGAAGCGGTTTAGTCATGCTGGCCATATGACCCTGAAAAGCTGTCTACGGACAAATGCGGGCTCCCTCAGCCTGAAGCAAAATGAGCACCGCATCCCCATAGTCAGTCACCTTTGACTGGACTCAACCTTCCGGGGGTCCTTGGTCTTACTTTTTTTTAATGCATGCACAAGTATATGTGTGTGTATACAAACACATGCAAGTACTTGTTAAAAATGCAGGCGGCAATCCTTCTCTCACACTGGTTAGAACGCTTCTTCCAAGGTGATGTCTGCTACGTCACATGTGCAAATCATCTAAAATGGATGGGCAACTTATGATCCCACAGGTATTGTTGGACTCCCAGCTTCCATTGGTCCCAGCCAGCTTGACCAATAGTCAAAGATAATGGGAGATGGAGCCCAAGATCATCTGCATGGCCACCTGTTCCCTGTCTCAAAAGTCAAAGAAATTATGTTTCCCACCGTTAGGCATATTTAATCGCTCAATTAATTGGCTAGCAGCATAATATTGTATATATGTCTACTTGAAAATCAGTCCTATTGAGTCCAATGAGGCTTATTCCCCAGAAAATAGATATAGGATTGCACCTTAAAACTCATAGGATTAATTAACTTAGATTTCTCTAATAGGGCAACCACTCCCTAGAAGTCACACCTTTTATTTCCTCTAGACTTAGATTGGTGGATCTGTGGCTGGGTCAGATCCCAGAAAAGGATTAAAGGATATCCTTTCTGGATGACAGAGTATTGTGTGAGAATAGTGAATCTCCTATTCCAGAATAGTTCCTCCTTTTGTGCAAATGCTAATTCTCAAAAAGTGTTTTATGACTCCCTAGAAGTCATACTTCACAGCCTGATTCCCCCCCGCCCATGAGACATTGTGGCACTGCAGTACAAGAAGTTTTTGGATATTTCTTGAAGAATTTGAGCAACAGCACTAATGTATTTTCTCCTTCCACTCATTAATCTTTGGAATCAAGCCACTAATGACTCATTGACGAGGGGAAAAGGTACTCTATACATGCCCCAAAGCATTCTTTTCGTATGACTGTTTACATATTCCAGGGTGAACACTGACATTGAAAATTGATTCCAGACCTTAGTTCTGGCTTAAATTATGCACCAGGAAAAAAGACCCACCTTGAACTAATCTCTAACTTAGGCTGGTTTCATACATTGATTAATGGCACTGCTGCCCCATGAAAATGAAAATGTGTGGGTGAAGCAGTCTCCCATGGGGTTCAGGTAGTTTTTACAGTGGTGCAGTTAAAATTACCTGAACCACATGTGGATGAGATCTTTAGACAAATGCCTCTTATGTGAAGCAGAAGTTCTCTTTGCAACTTGTTTTCGCCACCCCACCGTTAGTGTTTCCAAACACTAGCAAAAGTATTCAGTTTTCAGTATGCATATTTTAACTGAAAATACGCATTTCGGTGCACCGTTATTATTTTTAACCAAGAGCTACATTGCAAAATCTGGAAAAATGTGAAGACCGAAGGATAACGATTCTTAATTCCCATAGGAGTCCAGGAAGTGCAAATTAGGTCCTTTTGTTTAAGAAATGCAAACCAAGCAAAACTGAGCATTCCTAATAAGGACATCACCTCTCCCCCCCCCCCCCAATAATAAAGCTTTCTGGAGGTGTTTTTCTTTGCCAGTTTCTCTACTTACATTTGGAATAGGCATCTTTTGTAATGTGCCTAAGCATTTTGGCAAGTCAGGCATGCATTTGTCCAGGATATCATCCCAGTCACTGTTGTTCAGAGACTTGGGACATTCTTATCTAAGTGGTCCCCATGTTAGAGGCACCTCCTGTGGACATTTTTTATAATAATTATTATTATTATTATTATTATTATTTATACCCCTCCCATCTGGCTGAGTTTCCCCAGCCGCTCTCAGATGCAGAGCTCACTGACTGAGAAGACTCCTATATAGCACACCAACCCTAGCCAGCGTGATTAATTATCAAGGAAGATGGGGAGTTGTGGTTGAAAACATCTGGAAAACTCCAGATTGGGGGAGGCTGATCCAACAGGTACCAAAGTCCCACATACAAAGGCCTTTAAAGGTCAACACCAACATTTTGAATTGAACCCCAAAATGGACTGGGAGCTATTGAAGGTTTCAGAGCTGGCCTGATGTGATCTTGCCACTCAGTCCATGTTAAAAATCCAGTACAGTATCTTTGTTCTGAAATGGTTACAGTTTCTAGCCTGGCTTTAAGGGGAGCTGCACCACACAGTAATCCAACCTGAAAGTTACCAGGGCATAGATAATTTAGATTTGAATGAGGAAAAAGCATAAAGCCAGTCGCACAAATGTGGTATTCAATAAAGGCGAGATAATTTGTTAATGTTCATGTAATACTTAAACTAGTAGTGTTCCTCTTGATTAAAAAATAAGATCATTATCCTGCGATTTTTATCAGTACTCTGTTGATTGGTAAACGTGATCTTTCCCTATCAGTCTTCCTTTTATCATTTTCTCATGAAACACATTTCATCTTAAATGAAAACCTCACTGCTGTTAACATTTGGTATTGCAACTTGAAAGGTAAGGGTTTTGATTATTACATTTCGATGGACAGTATATAGGTTTGACTCTTTGTTGTCACAGTTAAAAGAGGAGGTGGAAAAAATCGCATCTAAGGAGCAAGCCTTTCAGATGAAAATATTGGACCTAGAGAATCAATTAAGACGGAAAAAAGAAGAGCAGAGGCACTTGTCTAGAAGACTGGATGCTGTGAGTAGACTCCCATTCCCTCAAGAATTTTGTTCTGTGTGGAGCCAGGTCATCTAGTCTAGCTCTCTCTTTTTGCTTTAATGTTACTTTTGTTATTTTAAGATTATTGTACATTTGCCTGCTGTTGTTCAGTTTTAAGTGGGTATAATGTGGCGTATGGTTCTTTTATTACGTTTTATTGTTACTGCATTTTTGTGAAAAATTGTATACCAACTTGAAGGGGCAACTGTATCCTAAAATACGGCATCATATATCTGGTAAAGAAATGGTCTATTTCCCTTCATGCTTGGTGGAAGGATTGAATTAGATGTGTGCCTCTGCTGGTGGTGGCAGTTCCCCTTCCACTTGCCATACGGGCAGTGCCAGGGTGGGGCTAAAACAGCCCAGGTTCCAAGCTGGCCCAACTCTGTCACATGATGCACTGCTGTCACATGACGCACCAGCTCCAGGTTGCCCCTGCACCTTCTACCCTAGTTGGTATGCTCTGGAGGGCTGCAAATACGACTGTGGCTCTGCCACTGAGGCTAAGTTTGCACCCTCAATAGGTTTTGTTTTTGCCCGTTTTTTTCGGCAGTAGCAGAAGGCGCTGCTTGCAAATCTGTTGCTAGAGAAATTCTCTGTATGTATGAGTGTGCGCAAACCCATGAGGAATTATCTGCTGGGGACAGCTCATTTAAGAGCAGCGGAAAGAAAACAACTTAACAATATTTGTACATTTAGCTTGTCTTTTTTCTACCGCCGTGCATCTAGCCGATGGTTTGGGAGATTCCAGCAGGGAAGCCATATGAGCCTGTTAACCACAATCACAGACACAGGGCCTTTGGCACCCTAAAAACCATCAGATTTGCTTTGTGGCACCAGCTTCACGAAGCATAACATCTGTTAGCCTTTACGAACATAGGAAGCTGCCTTTGTACCAAGTCAAATTGTTAGTCCATGTACCTCAGTATTGTCTTCTGCATGCAAAGCCTGTTCTCTACCACTAAGGACACACGTGTGTGTGTGTGTGTGTGTGTGTGTGTGTGGGGTGTGTGTTTGGAGTATATATAATTTCTTCCCCCCCAGCTATTGAAGGGATCAGTAGCTTCCCCCATCCGCTGACCTTTAATTTTAGTTTTGTTAACTGCTTCCAAGCATCCCACTGGGACACATGGTACATAGGAATCGTAGGCTGCAGGATACTTCTTTCTCCAGCAGAACTCCCTTTCCTTCCACATTTCAAGACTGGTATATTATGTTTTAAGCATTTTCCACTTCAAATTTTACTTAGGCTGACAGAATAAATATGAAAGCAATAATATTCATGCATAAGTAGAGTGCCGTTGAGTTAACACAGAACATATTCTTAATTCATCTCACATCCATGCAGACACACAACGTGTACACATATATATTTATATTGGGAATACATTATGAAAAGGGAAATACAGAACAGATTGTTGAAGTAATTTGCTGGAAGTAGGGTTGAATTGTAAATAGTTACTAACAAGGCCCAGAACTGCTTAAACGTGTATGATTGTTAAAGGGTATCACAATAATATAAAATAAGAAACCCAAGTCCCAAGAAAGTAATTTGTTTGATCGCTTTTAACCAGAAGTGATTACTACACATAAAAATAATGTGCAGCCCTTACAAATTCTGGGACAGTTTTGACATTTATTCTAACCACATGTATTTTTAAAGATTATGTTCTAGTAAACATAAAAGCAAATCCTAAGAATCCCGTGTAGATTTTATGGGGCTGGTGAATTATGAATGGATCCAATAAAAGTACTATAAATCATTTTGTTTTAACAAGTACCTATGGTACCAAAAACATAATTTAAATTGGTTACAGGTGCAGTCTTTTTTTTGTTTTTTGTTTAAAAGAAAAACATGACTTCTGGGATTGTAGTGGATGATGATGCCACTGTTGCCTTTTCATGAAAAGTTAGGTTGAACCTTTAGGATTAGCTCTTGATGGGGCTCTATAGCCATGTTTTCAAGTGGAAGGTTGGTTAGAGATCAAGGTTATTTGGGCTCCCTGGTGAAAATAAGTTGAGTCTCTTGCTAGAGAGAAAATACGTTAAGATTTTTGGAACACCAGGTGCATTTTTCAAGTATTGGTTTTGAACTGATAAATAATAAACATAAAAATAATCCGTCTTAATAGGTGTCCATCATTCCATCTCTTTCTGATACTCAGGTGCGAGTGCCAATGCTTATGTAAGTAAAATGGCGCCATTTGAGCACAAGGCAGAAATTTCAGAAGCCCCAGCAAAGCCCTGACGTTTGTAGTGAAAAAATATTTAAGGGAGTCCAAAAACAGTCCAATGAGAACTAAGCATGAAATACTAACTACGGGGAGGAGCACAGTGAGGCAGAAACCAGATGGGAAGGAGAAAGAATTGGAGACTTCTAGCAGAGAGGATGCCTATTCTCTGAGATAGTAGACAGGATGAGCGTTCCACCATTTTGTTGTAGGCCTCACTTGAGTTTACTGATACAGTTTCTTTGGTTTTCCCCCCTCAGAGAGAGAAACATCGTCAAATGTCCTTGAAAGAGTTGGAACACAGCCTTCAAAGATCAGAAAACCAGAACCAGAGTATCCAGAATTATGTGAAGTTTCTGAAAACGTCCTACTTAACCATGTTCGGTTGAAGTTTCTCGCTTCAGCAAGTATCTCCGGGGGGGGGGGGGGGCGGCAAGCAAACCATGGTAAAGCAAGACTTGGGCACAGCACCAGACCATAGTTTTTGCAAAACAAAGCCACGATGGGTAAACCAGCAACAGGCATTCAAACAATCCATAGTAAATCATGGCTTAGTAAACGAAGCCAGTTTCAAAAAATCCTTTGGATTGTTTTGTTTTTTGCAAAAAAATTAAAATAAAACCCTTTGCAAATCAGTTACAACTAAGAAAACAGGCAGCTAGTAGAAATGTGAATGTAGAGTATACTTTTTTTACCGAAATGGTTTTTAAAGGACTCAACTCCTGATAATTATATTGGGTTCACTAAGATTTCTTGGTTTATTGACTATGAAAAGTCAGCACTGACTTTGGTTTTACATTTAATTTATAATAAAAAATTGAACATTTTCCTTGCTTTATTTTTCATATCTGCTATCCTTCACTCCCCCGCTCCCTTCTCACATCACTCCTTCCCTAAACCAAAACAGCCTTGCACCCTGATGCTGATCCCTGTATATGACCTTTGTGGCTCAGTGCCCCTGCTCCATGTCTGCCCTTGTCTCCTCTTTGCCACTCACCCAGCCCTGCGCTCACCCCAGAGGAAGGTTGGGATTCCTGCACCCCAACACTTTGAAGACACACACCAACTTAGTTCAACACAGCTGGACTGCCAAGGAGAGAAAGCACATGAAACACGATTCATAGTTGTGCTTTAGCGGTACCTGCAAACAGTGGCCATTTTGCTGTTCAACCCTGGCTCCAGATCATTTATGGACACTTCACATCAATATTTCCATTGGGCTTAATACAGATGCAAATATCACTTAACTCCTCTCACCCGGCTGTCAGACATCATCTTCTTCTTCTTCTTCTTCTTCTTCTTCTTCTTCTTCTTCTTCTTACATACATACCCCGCCTATCTGGCTGGGTTTCCCCAGCCACTCTGGGTGGCTCCCAACAGAACCCCCAAAAAGAATAAAACATCAAACATTTAAAAACTTCCCTAAATAGGGCTGCCTTCAGGTGTCTTCTAAAAGTCAGACAGTTGTTTAGTTCCTTGACATCTGATGGGAGGGCATTCCACAGGGCAGGCACCACTACTGAGAAGGCCCTCTGCCTGGTTCCCTGTAACTTCGCTTCTCTCAGGGAGGGAACTGCCAGAAGGCCCTCGGTGCTGGACCTCAGTGTCCGGGCTGAACGATGGGGGTGGAGATGCTCCTTCAGGTATACTGGGCCGAGGCCGTTTAGGGCTTTAAAGGTCAGCACCAACACTTTAAATTGTGCTCAGAAACGTACTGGGAGCCAATGTAGGTCTTTCAGGACCGGTGTTATGTGGTCTCGGCGGCCACTCGCAGTCACCATGCCTACTTTTGTAGGTAACTGTATTTCTGCTGATACAGTTTCATACAGAAATCCGACATTACTTTTTATCCTCTCACGTTGCTCTTCACAAGACCGCAGAGTAGTCACATAACTTCTTTTAAGGAAAGCCAGACGCTATGACGATTATTGACCCCGTTGTCTTGTGTGAGCATCTTTCCAGTCAATGCCTTGACCAGGACTGACTCATCACATTTACATGAGAAATTCACTTGGCCAGTTGAGACATTTCTTCACTTGTCATTTTGGTCAGTGGCTCATATTGTACCTCTGCCATCTTCAGTGGCATCACATAAGATTCTGTGTTGATGCAGTGCAAGATGCAGCTGTTAACACTGAAAATGGTGCCGAGGTTTTAGGTTTGCAGCCCTATAAACGTCATAGAATGAAACAAATGTCACGAGCTGATTTTGCTAATTGTTTTTATTGCTCTTACCTAAGCTGCTCAAAGAACTACATGCTAGAAATGAATAAATAACAGAACAACAGGGGCCCTTGTAAATTGCTAGAAAATTGAGGCCAAGCTAGATAGGTTGTTAAATGTGTATTTGTGTTTATTTTGCATGTTTTTCTTTTTAAATACAAACAGCTGGTGGGGAGGGAGCTGATAATTATTATGATTTTAGCAGGCAAGGAAGGGGAGTTTGATCCTTCCCTCTTCTGCTCTTCTGTCAAAAATCAAAAATTGCTCGTTTCAAATTGCTGTTTGTATTGGAAGGAAAGCTCCCCCTATACAGCTAACCAGCAGAGGGAGCTGTTGCGCTGCTCTCTGCTGCACTTCCACCTGCAGTGGTCAGGAAAGGGTACTGCAGTGTAATAATTCAGCAGATGTCCGGTGACACAACGGACCAATAAGGTTTCAGCTGTTCCCTCCATTTTTGGTCCTTAAAAGTTTTGTTTTGCAGAAAAGGCACAACAACCCAAACTGAAATAAGCCAGGCAGAACAATAAAGGTAATGGGACCCCTGACCATTAGGTCCAGTCATGGACGACTCGGTGGTTGCGGCGCTCATCTCGCTTTATTGGCCGAGGGAGCCGGCGTACAGCTTCCGGGTCATGTGGCCAGCATGACTAAGCCGCTTCTGGCGAACCAGAGCAGTGCACGGAAACACCATTTACCTTCCCACTGGAGCGGTACCTATTTATCTACTTGCACTGGCGTGCTTTCAAACTGCTAGGTTGGTAGGAGCAGGGACCGAGCAACGGGAGCTCACCCCGTCGCGGGGATTCGAACCGCCGACCTTCTGATCGGCAAGTCCTAGACTCTGTGGTTTAACCCACAGCGCCACCCGCATCCCTACAGCGCCACCCGCATAACAATGGTGTGGTGTAAATATGCAAGCTTCAGATACAGTAGCCACAAGGATTTCCTAAGTCTTGCCACAAGGCTCAACGAAAGCTAATAAATCTCTGCCATTTTATCCCCCTTCCAGATTGTGTTCCCCAGGAGCGGACAGGAAAACGTCTCAAATGAGTCCCAAAGTAACAGCGGGTCAGCCGGGCTCGTTTCACCTGTTCCCTTTTGCAGAACAAAAGGAAACAAAATACAGTTATAAGAACACAGAATGCAATGATCAGAAACAATTAAAATGCAGGGGGAACTTTTCCTTCTGGCCCAGGGGAGAATGAAACAAGTGCAATAAAAGCAGCAAGACCCTAGGGTTTGTTTAAAGCACTGGTTTGATTATACAAGGGCAAACAAAATGATCTTTACGTGGTGCCAAAAAGACCACAAAGGAAGTGCCGCGAGGGAGGCTATTCAATCACCTGGGTATTCAATCATCAAGGAGGCGACCTGCCTCACAATTTATGTGAGAGTTTCTAAATATTTAAGGTCCAAGGCTGAACGTCTTCCAGAAATGGGAGACCTATGTGTTCAAACTGTCCTTTACGACTTGGGGATTTAACTAGGAAAAGATAAGGAACTTCTAATTAATTTTGATCAAATAAGAAGGGTATTTTACTGCAGGAGGAGGTTGCTTGCTTCTGTCACCTAATGTAAGACTTTTTTTTTTAAAAAAAAAAAGCTAGGTTATTCAGCTCTGTGTTGTGTTCTTTTGTCGCTTCCAAATGGCTAAAGTCGGTAAAAAGATTTTAATGCTAAGTCAAGACATGGAATTTACTTTATATCCTCTGCCTGCTCTGTTATCATAATGAAATGAAACACCTACTGCGTGAACAAAGCAACACAAGGAGAGTTTCTTTTCATTATTTTGTATTAACAGTGGCTGGCATGTTCTGTGCTTTGAAAAGTACCTTTTAGTTGGCCTTTTTACCATCACCTTACAGAATTCAAATGGGCATCCGTACCTGTATCTTTCATGAAAGATGCAATTATTGACTGATAGGTAAAGGTAAAGGGCCCCTTCTTTTACCTTTTTGTTGACTCCCACAGCAACAGAAATCAGTTAGGGACATTCATAGTTTTTACAGCAGCGGATGGCAATCTTGATACAGTTGTGAGAGACGTAGAAGGAAAACAAAATTGAGATACTATTATCTTAGCACTTACATGATTTCCATCGCCTCCTTTTTCCAACCAAAAAAGTACAGCCATTTTCTCTCGCTGAGATCAAGTGGATCCTTCATGTTAGATCCATAGCACTCACTGTATTTTGTTCTTGGTTTTGTGAAAGATGGATCCTGTAGTTCTTTTAAGACACCAAAGTACTTCTTAAACATTCAAAAGGCTCTTAAACTAGGCCTGAATAGATGGAAATTAGAATTTAGCCTAGCATTGGGTTCTGTTAGGGTTGTTCAATGAAAATTGCTTGTTGTTGTTTAGTCATTTAGTCGTGTCCGACTGTTCGTGACCCCATGGACCAGAGCACGCCATGAGAGCTGGACCATAAAGAAGGCTGATCGCCGAAGAATTGATGCTTTTGAATTATGGTGCTGAAGGAGACTCTTGAGAGTCCCATGGATGGCAAGAACATCAAACCTCTCCATTCTTAAGGAAATCAGCCCTGAGTGCTCACTGGAAGGACAGATCCTGAAGCTGAGGCTCCAATACTTTGGCCACCTCATGAGAAGAGAAGACTCCCTGGAAAAGACCCTGATGTTGGGAAAATTGCTTATTAACTATTATATTTCTTCCAAATTAAAATAATTTTAAGTTGCAACACTTGATGGAAAACAGGTGGTGATTCCCTTCCTGTTCCTGGACATAATTTGTTTAGTTTGCGTATATGAAATACAGTCAAACCTTGGTTGTTGAACGCAATGTGTTCCAGAAGCCCACTCGGCTTCCGAAATGTTCAACAACCAAGGCACGGCTTCTGATTGGTTGCAAGAATTTCCTGCACTCAGCAGAAGCCGCATAGGATGTTTGGCTTCCAAAAAACGTTCAAAAACCAGAGCCTTTACTTCTGGGTTTTCAGCGTTTGGAAGCAAAAACATTCCAAAACGGAGCCGTTCAGGAACCAAGGTTTGACTGTACGAATGCATGTATCCAGGAAACTTCGCTTTCCTTAAGCCTCTGTTAGCCCTACAGAGGGGCCTGTGAGAAAGCTATTTCACATTGGAAGAGAAAATGGGGCGACTTATTTTCTGCTTCGTTTGCATCCAGTGAGGAGGGGTTCCTAAGGAATGGGAATTTTGTTTTCGACTTCAATGGAATGTGCATTCTTGCTATCCCTCTTCTAATACGACCCATCTTCTCATGGTAGAGGACATACACATTGTTTCCATTGTTAGTTTTGTACGGCAGCCATAACATTGACTTCAACAAAATGGGCCTGCCCTCTTGATCTGAAATATTTTTAAACCATTTCTAAACTCGTCTATGCGGGCCTCAAGAGTACATGGTAAGTGTTGAACAAACATAACTTCTCAAGAAGAGTGTGAGAGAGGTGCTTATGAAACACTGGAAGAGCAGACGAGATAAGGAAAATGTGTCCATGGGGAGAGATTTTGGTCTCTACTGAGTAAATTATGTTTCATGCTTCTTGAGCAGGGATGAGGGACCTGTGATCTCTCCAGTTGTTGCTGGGCTTCTGCTCTCATCAACGCCAGCCAACATGGCCAATGGTATAAGCTGGGCCAGTATTTTGCCCATCTGGTGCTAACTGATGATTTCAGGGACCTTTTGTATATGTAACATGTTCTGCCATCCAACTATGCAAACCCTTTAAGTGTTCCTATTTTCCAGGGACAGTCCCAGATTTACAGAGTCTGTCCCAGTTTCTGATTTGATCCCAGAATGTCCTGCTTTTTCTTAGGACCTCCCTATTTTCACTGGAGAAATGCTGGAGGGTAAGGAGTTATGCGACCCTCGAGCCAAGTAGATAACTGTACAACCCTTAGAAGACACCTGAAGGCAGCCCTGCACAGTTTCATTATGTTTTTATGTATGTTGGAAGCTGCCCAGAGTGACTGGGGCAACCCAGTCCGATGGGCGGGGTATAAATAATAATAATGTTGTTGAATAGAACGTCTCTATTTTCATAGAAATGGAGTGTATTCTGTGGCCCCTACACTAAATTTGTAGCTGAAAGAATATATTTCAGTGTGTTCATGTTCCACCATTAGGGCTAGAACTTCTTTCAAAATACAGTGGTACCTCGGGTTACATATGCTTCAGGTTACAGACTCCGCTAACCCAGAAATAGTACCTCGGGTTAAGAACTTTGCTTCAGGATGAGAACAGAAATAGTGCTCTGGTGGCACGGCGGCAGCAGGAGGCCCCATTAGCTAAAGTGGTGCTTCAGGTTAAGAACAGTTTCAGGTTAAGAACAGACCTCCGGAACAAATTAAGTACTTAACCTGAAGTACCACTGTATATACTAAGATTGGGATTATGGGATTGCTAACATTCTGCAAAGCAATGACAGTCCGTTGTCCACCAATTGGTTGCAAATACCCTTTTACAAAAGGATTTGCTTAGATGCATAGTAATAGAGTTTCCAAAGGCAAGTTTCGGATTTTCTATAAAATTATGGAGTTCTGTCTCTCTAGTCTAGCAACCCCCCCCCCCCAAAAGGAAAGAAAGACAGTGATTGAAATATTTTGATTGGAAGAAGAGAAGTCAGCTCATTATCACATTGCTTCACCCTCTGCTTGGGAAGAAGGGAGCTTGAAGCTGAAGAATGCTCATATGATCATATGCTTTTGATTTGTTCAGTGTCTGGGAAAACGGAATTTAAAGCAGAAGCCCAAGTCTCTTACGGCAACTGGGGGCCCCTATCCTCTTTAATCCTGCCTGCCAAATAGACTATTACTAGTGTTTCAGGATTGATACGGAACTTTTATCTCTATTTCCTATCCATGGCATGAAGCTGCTATAAATCTTATTGCAAGAGTGACTCCAGCCAGATAATAGAAACTTAATGGCTTCTCTCTGTAAATGTGCTGCCTCAAGGAATTTCTTACAAGGCATACTAATCCACACTTGAGTTCCTTGCATTGAGATCATCTTGCGTAGACGATTAGCTCAAGGCTGCCAGGTTTTCCTTGAATAATCCGCTAAAGATTCTGAACATTGTCTGGAACAAAGCTCTGGATATTCAGTCAGATTTAAAGAGGACCTGTCCTAGGAGTAATTCTGTTACAGACTACTGCAATGCATCGTATGCGGGACTGTGTGTATATGATCCAGAAACTTCAGTTGGTACAAAATGTGGTTTCTAGATTAGTAACTTGGGCAAGGCAATATGAACACATTGTAATAATACTTTATCACCTCTGCAGCTTCTTGGTCTGTTTCCAGGAGTAATTCAAAGTTACGGTCCTATTCACTGCAGTTTTTCTAGAAAAAGAGGTGCCAGAACTCACCACGAACCCCTCCCTTGTTCTCTTATAACGGCAATGGTGCCTACCTGAGAGGTGCCAGAACTGAAAAAAGGCCTGGTTTTGACCTTAAAAGTCTTTCACAGTTTGGGTCCTTGATATCCGAAGGTTTCCATCGCCCCATATTTTATTTGTTCGTTTGTTTTCTTGCATTTATATCCTTCCTTTTACCATGGATCCCAAGGGGTGGGTGCATCCAGACCCAGACCTCCTACACTTTACCAAGGTAGTAACTTCATGTACCTTCAGATCATACCAGAGACCATACTTACCTGAACTCTGAGAGAGATACGATAGGGGGCTATAATATGAAAGCCTTCTCAGTAGTTGCCCTTTGGTTGTGGAATGACTTAAATCCCTGGAACAGTTTTGTAAGTGTGTGTGTGTGTGTGTTTGTTTAATAAGGTGCAGAATAAATATTTGAATGAACGGGTGTTATTTAAAAAGGAAAACGGCTTCTTGAAGTACAAGGGAAGAGAAGATAAAGCATGCAGTTCATTGATATATACATGTCATTGTTTTTGAAACAGGAGGAAACAATTTGTCCCGTTGGAGAAAACTCTTGGTTTTAATTTTGCATCTAAATGTACCCTGCGTTGAAGCCACAACTTCATGAGGTTTTGGATCATTTGTTTTCAGGGCACAATGATGCAGAAAAGAGATTGAACTATAGCAAAGGAGGCTAGCTACAGTGGTGCCCCGCAAGACGAATGCCTCGCAAGACGAAAAACCCGCTAGACGAAAGGGTTTTCCGTTTTTCGATGCGCTTTGCAGGACGAATTTCCCTATGGGCTTGCTTCGCAAGACGAAAATGTCTTGCGAGTCTTGAGATTTTTTTTCGCTCCCCCCCCCTTTTTCTAAGCCGCTAAGCCACTAATAGGGTTGCTTCGCAAGACGAAAAAACCGCTAGACGAAGAGACTCACGGAACGGATTAATTTCGTCTTGCGAGGCACCACTGTATTCTCTGTTATCTTAGTTGAAAACAAGAGCTCCTAGCCATCTCCCAAAGACATGTTTCTTAGCTTATTTGTGCCCTGTATTGTTTTATGTGTAGCTTTTCACTCCCAAACGATTACTGCTGCTTCCTGTTATCGGGCGAGTGTTTCTTCACTGATGTCCTGAGTGATTGGGGCTGTGAGGATACTCTCTAGGTAGGGAAGAGACATATGGTTAACAGAGCTAAAATTTTCACCACGAGGCTGGAAAGTCACTGAGTACAGATAACATAATAGCCCCACTACTGAGTTCCACCTCATAAGCCATACTGACTTTTGGAAAATATCTGGCTCTGATTGATGCCTTTCTCCTACCTCAAGATTAATTTAGTGACGTTAACTTGACATCACTTGAAACTTATTTATTATGGGCTAGGAGATCAAATCCCATTAATCTAAGTTTAAAACATCCCATTCTTGTCCTAGAAACCAGAGCCTCTTGTATGGTCTAGAGGCAAATCCACATATGAGCTTCTGGTTATCCCTGTGATCCCTGTGACGCGGGTGGTGCTGTGGTCTAAACCACAGAGCCTCTTGGGCTTGCTGATCAGAAGGTCGGCCGTTCGAATTCTCCCAACGGGGTGAGCTCCCGTTGCTCTGTCCCAGCTCCTGCCAGCGTAGCAGTTCGAAAGCACACCAGCACAAGTAGATAAATAGGTACCGCAGTGGAAGGAAGGTAAACGGTGTTTCTGTGCGCTCTGGCACTCGTCACGGTGCCCTGTTGCACCAGAAGTGGTATAGTCATGCTGGCCACATGACCTTGAATGTGGACAAGAACCGGCTCCCTCGGCCTGAAAGCCTTTGACTGGACTTAACCGTCCAGGGGTCATTTACCTTTACCTTTTTTTTAATCTCTGTGTATGTATGTTTGTATGTATGTATGTATGTATGTATGTATCGTATGTGTGTATGCATCATGCTTTTCCCTGGTAGAGGTTGGCTGTAATGTATGGAAGGAACTAATAGGGCTTCCCTTCCAGGTTCTAACTAGGCCCAAATATATTTTAGCTTCAGAAATGAAATTGCATCAGGTGTCATTTTCTGGACCCCAAACTGGAGGTAGCCAACAAACACTGCTGACCCTTTGATTCCAAGTCTGCCATATAGAACATCAAGGACGATGTGGGTTCTACATGGACTTCGAATTGCAGAGTTCAGTTATACTAAATCTGAACACTGAAATCCCATGAGAAGTTGTTGGACGTACCTTTAGTGGTTCCATGTACAGTGACACCTCAGGTTAAGTACTTAATTCGTTCTGGAGGTCCGTTCTTAACCTGAAACTGTTCTTAACCTGAAGCACCACTTTAGTTATGGGGCCTCCCGCTGCTGCTGCACCG